GGTCTTGCAACCTTCGCAATTGGCAGAACGGATTCTGCCAGCAGCACGCTTGTTGCCATCAACACCAAAGCAGAGGTCTGGGTGCTTGTGACGAGTCTCTTTCTGGAAGCATCATCATGTATCATGGAACTTCGGCCAACTCTGCTGCTCAGATTGAGTTAGGGGGCTTTTGCCCGTCAGTGGATGGCATGCTTGGACGAGGAGTGTATTTGTCCAGGGATATCAGCAAGGCCCAGCAGTACGGGGCCATCATCTTGATGTGCCAGGTCTCTGTTGGAAGAGTGGCGCGTATTGACCATCAAGGCCATCCCTTGCAAAAGAGCTGGAGTGCAAGTGGCTTCGATACAGCTTGGGTTCCACCCAGATTTTACATGGTGTCATGTGGCTTGGAGGAGGCTTGTATCTCTGATCCTGCCAAGATTCGAGTGCTGGATCGAGTGAGGGCATAATCACAAGAGACATGTCAAAGATTTGCAAGAGAACTGGAAGTTGAAAGGTGATGCGAAGATATTCAGTTTCAACTTCTTGGATCAATCAACTATGCAACGACTGCAACAACGGCTTTCCTGATTCCGTGACTAGTGTGCTGAGAGGGTGATGCTGTGGGGTGATGCCACCTGAGTTTCACACTAGGCAGTGATATCAGGAGCACGCAACAAGGCCACGTGGAAAAGTGATGCAGTGGCAGGGATCTTTCGCCTGTTCTCAACCCTGCTGGGGTCCGCGAATCTCTCAACTTGGGATAGAAGCATTCTGTGACTCATTGGCTTTTCACCAAGTTCCGGCCTCCACCACTGTCAGCATTCTCCAGGAGCCCCTCGTGCTCACCAGCCTGCCGGTCTTCAACGGCAAGGGCGCGGCGACAGCCCACGCTATCGGCGGCGAAGGGCGCCGGTGCGGCGAAAGGTGCTGGGCATTTCACGCCCAGAGCGCCTGGGTGGCAGAACCTTTTCAGCGAGAGAAAAGACAAGGAAACCACATGTCCATAGTTCATACCCCATGAACTTTAGAGAATGATACTCAGACGGTGAATCGACATCTATTGACTATTGACTATGGCTCCAGGGAGTTGCAGCTACCTGATGACATGAACCAGGGACTAAATGACTCGCTGACTAGGCAATTGGCAAAACCTCTCAAACTTACTTGGATTTCATTTGTTTGCCTTCTAATTCTACGACACGTCACCGAAGAAAATGATCTTGACCCCTTTAATTTTGGAGCTGTATGCATGAATCAAAATGAGACCAGGTACTGTAAACACCTGACTGTTGATCGCCAGAGACCTTCTTCAGAAAATACGCGAAAGGAGTCAAGACTAGCAGCTAGCAAAGCTACATGCCATACTAGTAAGGTTGCTGATGTTCCTTCCATTGATCATTATTTTGCTCCAAGACAATGCAGTTTCTCTTCCTCAGAAATCGTGTTGGTTTCCCGACACGTCAGACTGAGGCAATTCCTTTCGACAGCTGAGAGGCAGCCGGCACGACCGGCTTCGCCACTACGACTGGTCTCAGTCTGCAGTGGGTGGCTGCCACGCAGCAGTCGTCTTCAAACGAAAATGGCACAGCAGTCCTGGGTCAGCACAAACCATGGCTGGTTGACATCGAGCAGTATCTTTATGCCGGTGGGTCAAGCAGGGTGCGGCGTTTTGACCCATAGCATCCCATAGCCAACTCTCCTCACAAACTTCAGATAGGCCGTTCTTTTGTGTGAGACGCGCCTTATTCATCCTACCTTGACATTAGGGTCTTAGGGCAAGCGCCGATTCGTTGCAGTTTCCAGCTACCCACATCATCCATAGTTGGTGGTAACATGCGACAACAGACCACTTAATCAAAAAGGTCTAGAGGTTTGAGGTAACCGGGTTTGAGGTATGTCTTCAATCCAGTTCTCCCAGTCTTTGGCATTTCAGACGGAGCTGCAGCAGCTTTTCCCACGCTGTCCGGTGCTTTGCACCGGACATCGATCGTCCGGTGCGCGTGTTTACCGCGGACGTTCTGAATGCGGACGTGCACGGCCCCCGGTGAGCGGAGCGGACGCCGAGGTGACGAGGTGACGAAAAGGCATCGAGACGACACTTGGAGAGTTTGTTCGTGGGCATGAACATGCTTGCCTTTCCCATATGATCCCTGAGGGGTATGCGTTTTCCCAATGAGCCGGAACGAGAAGTGAAGAAATCCCAAGAATGCCAGCAGTTTGCATCAGATTTCCAGGATTCTGCAGGCCTTTCATATCTGGACTGTTCTTGACGAAGCTTTAAGCAGTTTTATGCAATTGTGATTTGACTCATTCCACGATTTGCACAGACTTGCTGTGCCGCGGCCACTGGCTCTATAGTACGATTCGTTTCCGAAATATGTTTGTTTGCTCTTGGGATTCAGATGCAGATGCTCCAATCAATGGCACCATTCCCCTCCAGAACTGCTGTTTTCTCACCGATTCTGCTGTTTTCTCTTGCGATGGGTGAGGCACGCCGGTAAAATCTGGCGCCTAGCTCATCGCACGGAGTGAAGTGGACACTCCCTGAAGCAACGGTTGCTCCTCCTTTCTTCATGCTCATTCATGCTTTCATTTCAGGCCTTTTCATCTCGCACTTTTCGAGGTGGATGTCTCCCAAGAAGACGAGCAGAGTTGTTTTGGACGATCCCCAAACCAATCCTTCTGTGACTTCTGTTTCTCTGAATGATCCACATGGCACTGCCTGCGGTGGTATCGATGAAGTGCTCTCGTCCTTGGGCACTGCTCGGGCTGCTGGTGCTCAATGTTCTGCACATCGAGGTCCAGGCGAGCGAGGGGCAGGTGTGGTGAACAGCGGTTACCACCGGGCAGTGAGCCTTTGGTGGTACATTTGTAGTGTGAGAGAGCTCTTTCATCAACAGTAGGAGTGCCAAGTATTCGCGAAGCGGCTGCAAGTGGTGGACTAGGACCACTACAATCATCGCGCACAACGCAACGATGCACATGAGTCATTGAAAAGTGAAAAAGAAATCTTCCAAGGTAACTGTTTTAGCTGAAATTTGGAGCAGCTTCGTGAATCAGTTGAGTCAAGGAAGGGGACCTGAAACGTTTCTTTGTTGTGGACTAGGGGTGCTTGTGAGCATTTCTCTCACCAATGGCTCTCTCTTTGGACAGTGACCGTGACCCATGGGTCAATGAGAACCTATTGGCCAGAAGAAGGGTCAGTAGAGAACGTGAGAAAAAGTCCTACCTGCAAGAATGGTCCTCAGTGTTGACAAGGCATCCCTACAGTCAACCCAACTGATGAACCACACCTGCTGGTGATGCCGCCAGGCATGTGATCTTAGTGAGCGCCTTGGAAGACCATATTGGTGCTCTGGGGTGAAGGCATGGGGCTCCCTTGGAACGTCTGCCAGTTCCACTGCAAAGCCGCTGATGAGAAATATGTACTTGTTATATATGGTAATTGGGAAGATACGTGTAGTATCGTGCAAACGAAGGGACAGCCCAATGGCCATGGTTTTTAAGATTTTGTTGGTGAGGTTTTTTTGGAGGATTTCGGCTATTTTGAGACTTTGTTTTGTATTTTGTGCCAGCTTTTGGAGACACCTTTCCAGCAAACTGACGACAAGAGACATCATCTGGGGTGTACGATAGTGACCCCTTTTCAATTGCCAAGTGTCATGTAAATTTACATGCCATGGCCAATAGCTGTTTGTATGTTGAAGCCGAAGCGCTACCGACGCTTTATCATTTTCTGATAGGTGCCTATTTGCCGTTAGAGTTGGTAAAACGACTAAACTATTTTAAACTCTTCTAACGCCAACTGAAGTGTAAATGGACAAAATGAATCAGAACTGTGCGCCCTTCGCCTGGGCCTCGAGAAAAGACACCTCCCAGAGAAACCAACAAATGCATCCTGAACCACCCACCATCCATCTCTGAAGTGATGTGCTTTCCTGCAGCGCGTCGAAGAAGTCCGGCACGAGCCACTGGGCTATGGCACCGGTCTTTTCGGGGTGCCATCTCAGCACCGATCCCTCAAGTGTTTGGGACGTGGGTGTCTGAGGACCTGCACGCAGGGTGTGGCCGCCGCGTGAGGGACCTCAGGTGGACGCAGTTGTGAAGGGGTTTTCAGTGAACGTTGCAGGTGCGTGCAACCGGACCCCGCCGGCGCATCCGCCGCGTCGTGCCGAGGATCATCTCCTCCTCGGACGTGGACATGTCGTGCGAAGAACGCTGGTCCCGCGGGGTGGCGAGGACGCTGGGCTCGGGATCCTTTCAGATCTGCCCGGCCACTGCAGGCGAGGGACGCGGAACTTGGACAATTAAGAAAACTTGCAGAGAGAAGGGTGAGTAGCAGGGTCAGTCACTGAAGGGTAGAAGATTCAGTGGATTCAGTGATGTTGGCTGGTTGTAAAGGCTCCGAAGCAGCTGGCCAAACATTTTTCGAACCTCCAATAGAAGGCCCCTTTGCCCCTTTGACTCTTTCTGAGTCCTGGGGACGGCCAGATGCCGTACGCCTGGGTTGAGTCATCATTGAAGTCGTACGCCGTCGTATGCCGTACGACCAGGCACCGGCAAGGACGTGTGGATCAGCCCCATCTACAAGCGATGTCCGCTCCCCAGCGGACACGGACATCACCTTTCGTCGACGAGACCGAGGGGGTGACCTTTGCCACTGAAGTGTTTGAAGCTGGCATGGAGGTGCAACGGAAGGCCATTCATTGGTTTTGGAGTTTTGGATGGTTCAAGGCATCCAGTCAATGTTGTAGATAACGATTGTGCAAGTCTTACTTGATGCAATTATTCTCTCAATTGTGTGACGTGACTAAATGCAACAAAAAGTTGCTTCTTGACCAGTTTGGGACAATGCGGACCCTGCTCTAAGAACCCAATGTGTGTCATTTCATTTAGCACATCGTTTTCAAGCATGCGAACTCCCACAGAACACCCTCAATCGAATCAAATGATTCATATTTGCAAGTGGAGTACACGAATCAGATTATTATTACACATTTTTTCAAGTTGCATCCAGTTGCAATATCGTTTTAAACATCATTATCATCATTTTGAATTCCGATTTCCACAAAACCACACCGACCGACCTATCGCTCCCGACACCGAGGTTGGCCCAAGATCGCGGCGGCAGCCCGCGACCTGGGGACCTCACTGTGTGATCCCATGCGGGAGGCGGGCCTGGCCGCCCGCGTCGAAACGACGGCGCCACCGGGATGAAGCGACCGGTCGAAAGAAACTGGAACTGTGGGCACTATGGGCCGTTGATATTTCGATGCCCCAGATGCATGGGGGCTTTGATTAGTCAAAAGTCGACATTTCCCGCTTACCAAAGACTTTTGGGCTGTGGCAACTCCCTCAGAAAGGACTTAGGTGTGTATTAAAATGGGGGAGATCTCCCAAAGACACCCTGGAAGAAGAGTAATAGACCAACACCCGATGCTTGGGGGTCTCACTATTAGCATATACACCCAAATCTGTGGCCGCCTGGCCGGTGTGGCACTTGAAGACGGAGCATCTTGCTGTGCCAGTTGATGGCACCAACGACGACCACGACCACGACCGCGACCACGACCACGACGACCACAACAACGACCACAACCACGACGACAACGACCACAACGACGACGACCACTCCACAGGCAAGGGCTGTGTGGAAGCAAGTTTTGCCGGCTTCACACACAGAAGGATGCAGACGTAAATGACATAATGAGAAATCTGAGATGATGCAAGGAGCCACCGACCATGGACTTGAGTCTATATCTATACGTGCATTGATCCTCCCAACCAATTCAAGCCGATTTGCTATGATTTGCCTTTCCTAATAAAGCCAAGTTCAATGGTCCGCGACAAACGATCTGCCAGGGGACACCTGTGTGCGGCAAGCTGCCGGTGGTGCCAGTCTGGGGCACTGTGGTGGAAACGAAAGGCCTGGGAAATCAGTTCACTGCTGGGTCGGGGCGTGGGTGGACAAAGGTAGGGTGGGCCACCTCTGAGGACGTCAAGGGTGTTCCAACGACACAAAAGATGGGATATGAGATGGGGCTGAAGCGTTGCACAAGGTGCGGTGTGAGTGCGGTTCTAAGACCTCAAGGATGGAAGACCTCAAAAAAGGATGGCGCTCTGACCATCCAAGTAACGTCTTCATGTCTTGAAGCGTCCAGGCTTCTGAAGGTCCAGATCATAGGAGCTGGAAGAAGGAAAAGGGGGGCCTACTCAAATCAGCTGACGGCTGGTGTGAATTTTCTAAGCCCGACCCATCTCTTTTGTAAACTGCACAGCTGTTGGAACGGTTCAAGCATGTGCTCGTTCCATCTTCCCTCCTCTACTCCTCTTTTCTTGGCAGGAAAGATCTGGGACGGCACGAAAAAGGCGAGACCTGTTCACCCTAGCATCGGCACTGGGAACGGGTGGCATGACATGATGTTTCTTTTTGTATTGCTTTTTTCTATGCTGAAGACCTGATGGGGTGACCGAATGGGGTCGTCTTTTTCGGAGCTTTCCAGATGAATCATGTCCACATGGTTGCATGGGTCGGGTGGTCTCGCGTGGTCGCATCGCTGCTGTGTCTACTCTTATCCATTCTGATATGGCCCTTTTTTGTCTGTTGGGAAGGAAGGCTCTTACTTGCGGGTGTTAGCACGATATCCTTTATGACATATGCTATACACACATCTAATCTAATGCTTGCACCACAGAGTAAATCGTGTGTTCAATGTCCAGTCCTTGTGTAACAATATCTTTGAGGAACAATCCGCCGCCAGCGGACTCGGCACGGGTCGAATGGAAAAGATGAAGACTTCCTTGCCCAAAAGTAGGCGGTTTTGCAAGTTTTCTGTAAACAAATAAGCATCGATGTCTCCGACATCTTTTTGCTGGGGCACCGGAGATCCGCGTGAATCTCTAGGGGCGCCTCCATCCAGGTGGATGCCTGGGATTTTCAGCTACACAACACCCCGTGCCGCATGGGTGTGCGGGAGAAGTGGCACATCGAAGAATGCCTCAAAGGTGCTACCGATGCGGCGCGAGACGGCACGAAGTTGGCACCAAGGTTGGCTCAACTTGCTGAAAGCTAAAGGTTTGCAAGTGATATAGGAGGCCATAGGCGGCCATAGGTATATGATATTTACCCCTCAGCCAGGGACGGAATGGCTATACATCCTGCAGAAAATCATGTTGGTGGGGGTCCCCGTTTTGATTTCCCCTCATAAATTCACAGATAAAGACTGATGGGATGTTTGACTTAAAGTTCCATGATATCTGTATGTACAAATTCGAGGCCTCAACACTTGAATTTTGGTCTTTGACTTTGCAAAGTCTAGATCTCAAACTGAAATGACCTTCCAGGTGCTTGGATCTTCCCCATTGATATCCTGGCTCTTGACCTTGCAAAGAACTGCCATGCATCCTCCTCTTCTCCTCCCATCTCTTCCCCATTTTGTCAGCCGGACACTCCTATGGGGCCATTATTGTTCAAGGCCAAGTAGTATTTCGGGGGCTTCGAGCACTTTGAATTTTCAAGTAGCACTGCATGCACTGGAGTTTCACCTATGCATCCCCGCAGTTCACCAACCTGCGCTGCATGCACTGCATTTGGCCCCTCCCAGCAGAACTCGGAACCCATGGGGTTCGCCGACCCGAGACTTCGCGTCGTTCTTCTCGGTTCGCGGCCAGGTTCGTGGCTGGTGCTGCTGGGTGCCTCGCAGAGCTCCGTGTGGCTGCAGCAGCTGGCGAACACCTTGGTCCCCGGGGCCTTCGATGCGAAGCGCGATCACTTCGTCACCGACGGAGCCGAAGAAATCCGGGGTCGAGCGCCGGGCGGGATTTCTGCGCATGGCGGGAAGAGCGGGGGGGCGGGAGTGTTTGGGGGTGGCAAAGGTGAAGAAGGAGCTTGGAAGATCAGCTTTTTCAGATTTTCAGATATGGTCTGGTTACTTTTTAAGTACTGTATCTCGAAAGGGGCTGCATGCTTGCATCACTTGGTGTTCTTCTTTCATGTGCTCATGTCGTGGCCATCCGTGAAGACCAGCCCTGAGTTTGGGTGAATGAGTGTGGCCATGAATGATAGCCATGGGAAGGTCCGCCTTCTGAGCCGGCCAACGCTCGGCTATACTCCTTTCGTGACTGCTACTAATATGCCACTTGCTACTTTTCCTCCTGTCTTTGAACAGCTATTGGTAGGCTCTATTGTCAGTCTCAATGATATGGGTTCTGCTGGGTGGGAACATTCAAACACTTTCTAACACTTGTGTCATTCGTCCTCATTGAAGCTGAATATGACCCTCCAGCTTTTGCCTTCCTTTGGTTCCAACCTACCTATAGCACTCATTTGTTTTTGACATCTTATTCATCACTTGCTGTATATACCTGTGAGTGGTCATGATGGTTTTGGGGACCCAGGAGGTGTGCTCAGCATGACTTGGGGACGCAGGAGTCTACTTGCAGCTCATGGATTTGATCCTCGAGGATGGGAAAATTGTGTGACCCGGCGTCAGTGGACCCGTTGTGGTCACATAGTCACATGGCCCTGGCGAGTTCATCCGGCGGATGTGACAGCGATCGGATGGGCCTTCGCGGCTGAGGCACAAGAGCATCGTCTACACCGGCGACCCCAAGCACTTGAACCACCGTTCAGGTGGATCGACGACCAATGCCAACCTCCAGCAAACCGAGTCCGGGTGCACAACAGATCTATGCGAAAGGGGGCATTCACCCTCTCTATTTAAGTTTGCAGGATTTTGATGGTGCCACAATTTGTTCTTCTTCAGGAAGACTCAGAAAAGCTTCTAGATTCTAGCTGCAAGTCTAATTACTTTGTAGCATCAGGTTGCCCAAATCTTCGCCACAGAAGCGAGTTACCCACGACCGGAGTTAGTGGAATCCATCCTTTCTTCTTTGCATTTCAAGCGCGTTTAGTTGCAAAAAGAACATCAGGGTTCACGGAAGCTCGTCAATGTCCGAACCAGCGCAAAAAGGCACAAGCCCATGGTTCACGTTCCGTGCAGGTGCCCACTCGCAGGAGCGTGACAGTGTGGAGCTGCCCTTCGTCTTCGCAAAGCTGGCTCTGGCACCGGAGTACAACGGCCGCCAGCCGCTCGGAGTGTTCCCGGATGTGGCCCTGGCGGAAATCGGCCGCAGGGAAGAGAGATACTCCGTGCCATTTCGAAACCTGGAACCACAGGCTGTTTTCTTCTAAAGTATCTTAGGTGGTGCAGGATGTTTCTTCCATTGACAATTGATGTGGGGGCATTTGGCTGGGCCCATGTTTTGGAGCGCTCAAAGTGCGATCTTGTTCTTTTCCGCGTATACCACCATCTGATTCACTGGCAGTGTGTGTAGCTTTTTGCAGCCTCTGTTCAACACTGTTTGTTGGCCATAGCATTGGAGGTAGGAGCGCTGTGTTTTGGGCTTTTCGACCCCCCCGATGAATTCGAGTTCCGCCGTACCCGTCGTACCGGACCCGCGCCTTCGGTGCCTCGCCTCGTTCGCGCCGCGTTCGGTTCGCCTCCATCGGTCCGGTGAGGTTTCGGAATTCCGCTGCAAAGCAGCTTGCGAATACCACATGTGCCGGAAAATTTCCGCGCGGGCCCAGTTTGGGGCTTTGAGGATTCGCATCACCAACATGTTGGCGGAGTACTGGGACGAAGCCAACATGGGGCTCTTGGCCTTGGAAGGCCTCAAGCATGGTGCCTGGGTTTGCAGAGTTGAAAGTGGAGAATGGCAGGAAGAAGCACGACGCATGAATACGTGGTCTCCTTTTTCCTGCGGAACAAGGGGGAGCAACGTGCCGGGGGTATCTGACCTCATCTCGAAATTCCTGGAGCCTTTCCGTGTGACTCAAGAGAGTGTTTTAGTAATGGTGGGGTGTTCCGCTGTGCAACGCAGCTGTGAGAAGCGCCTCGCTCTGCCGTGTTGAGGTGGCTGGGACAAAAGCCATGTCTTCCCGGTGGTGGCTGTCGGACTTTGGTATGCCTACAACATGGGGTGTCAGTACCCCTGGTGTTCTACCAGGCGGAACGGGTTGGGGAGACAGGCTGTCACAGGGCCACATGTGTGGGCTTTGTCGAACTCCCCAAAAGCTCATCTCGTTAAAGCGGATTTGCATCGAATTCTCATCGGTTTTTCTCTGTTTTGCCACCTGAACACTGCCCCAAGTGCTGACGCCCTCGCCCTCGGTGTCATCGACCTCCCGCTCCGCCGCTGAAACCGCCGCGTGGGGTGCGCCGTGGAGGCCATCGATTGCCGGACTGCACACGGAAGCCATCGTCGATCTCTTCCTGTCAGGGATGCGCAGGACCGGCACGGTTCGAAGTTGTGGAGGATGTGGATCTGTGGCTTGAAATGATTTCAATTTGGCTCTTCAGTTCTTTGTTTGTTGTTTGTTCCTACTCGAAACATGGAGTCTCCTTAGTGGATCTTCGAAAGATGCAGGAAAGATAGATGGAAGACGCTCTCTCTCTCTCAGTTGCCAGTTGCCATGATTTCTGTCCATGTCCATCGGCCCAGGACGGCCGGCACGCTGGAGAGGTTCTGTGGCCCCAAGGGACGTGCTTCTAAGCACGGCTGCACGGTGATGTCCGTGCGGGGCCCTGGGAGGTAAGATGGGAAGATGGGAAGGTTGGCTTGACGGAACACTCATGGTCGGATTGAATCAAGAGAATGGGCTTTGGAGTAGAAACTCTGGTGATTCGTCTTTGTGAGGGATTCATTCCGGAAGCGTCAACGGGAATGCCCATGCCACTTTCAGGATGCACTTTCAGGATTCAGCTTTTTGACTTCCTTGGAGAGGTGATTTGGGCCATTGAGATCTAAATGCTCTTCTGAGAGGACCCCAATGACCACCGATTCAGATGGATCTGAGCATATTCGTTGAGAGCCAATATGAACAGCTTACTTGGTCTTAGAGCACCCAGAACTCAAGGGAACAAGTGTCATCCGTACAGAGCTTCCGGCTCTTCGACATGAGGAATTCCTTCAACCGATACATGGACCGACCGAACCTTCATCCAGACTTCTACATGCTCCACATCTTTTGAACCACACCTTACCCAGTCTTAGGGACGCTTTGGCCCAAGCTGTCTGAGACCGCAGTGGCGTCACCAAGTCATCCAAGTTCTCTGCTTTCCGAAGCATGCGGAAGGCGGAACATGGAAAATCCGTTGAGAATTTGATGCCCGGAACGACTGATCACACTGATCAGAGCCTACATGGTCGTGTTTTTCTTCAGGGGACTTGATGCGAATACGTGGAACGTGCAATGCTATTTCTCGAGGGTACGTGGTTCATTAAAATGTTAGGATCCTTAGTTGTAAACGGTAGGTACCAGGATTCCGCAGGGGATCGAAGAAGAGGTTTTGCCATTGGTTTGCAACAACAGGTTTGAAATCAGCAGGCTGTCCCAGTCACATCATCAGCATGCAGCGAACCGAGTGTCTCGATGCTTCCCATGGAACACTGTGGTGCATCCACGTCGTATTGCTGAGCGGTACGAGTACCACTCTGCATGTGGCGGAAGACGAATTTGTACACGAGCTGAAGTGGAAAGCGCAACAGGAGCCTCATGGGAAGTGCTTCGAGCATGATGTGTTTTTAGTTCGTCAGCCCCACTTGGGGAGCCTGGTGTGTTCACTTGGGTCTTACAATAATAGAAGTCTTGACAATCCACCGAGGGTTCCTTCAATCGCCTGGTCCAGGCATTTCGTGTCGATCCCCGGTTCGGAAGAACATCCGGAGGTGTATGGAGTCAATGGACCATGAAACACGATGAAACACGTCTCCCGAAAAAGCGACACCACCTTTTCCTGCAGCAAGGCAAGTACAGAAGCTTTGGTCGGCAGGTACGTTGGATCCTTCCGACCTCAAAAAGAACCTCGGCCTCTCCTGGCCAACCCCAACTCATGGGGTTACATTTCTTGATATGCCCCATGCTAGCTTCGAGGCCGGGCTTCCAGTGCGGTTCGTGAACCTCTGCCCACCCATACCACCGAGCATAGTCACTTCCAGACTACCTCTTGTGGCATGACGCGTGCACCCTAAGGGCTGTGCACATCACCTTTCACATCCAGAATCCGAAAGACATCCAAAGACCGTTTCTGCCACATCTCCCTTCGGCCCCTGAGGAGCTCGGAGTGTCCTTGCAGAGCTTGGCCTCTGGGACCAACGAGGGATGGGTGAGGGAGGGTGAAGGATTCAGCTACAAAGATGTAGCAAAAAAAAGCGACTGAACCATTGACAGAGTTGGGAGTAGCTGAGAAGGATATAGAGACTGTATCTCTGCGGTATGCGAGGGGAACTGCGCTTCCTTTTTGGACTACTGAAGCCCGGGACCTTTTTCGCCGTTCGCTTTCAAGAAGTTCCTTCATCTTTTTTGATTGTGGGTGGTCAAGGGCCGAGGGTATGCTTTTAAAGCTTTTCTGAGGCTTGTCTTGTCTGAAACAAGGCCCATGAAATCTATCTGAGGACTTGTAGGACTTGTAGAATCAATCGGTTGGAACATCTTCCTCAGCACGCCTCCCAACTTCCATTTACAGTGGATTGAGAGTAGATGGCACAATCCCCAAAAGGATCCAAAGGTGGTTTATATGGATCCCCAACTAAAAGACATCTTGGGGTGCCGGTGCCATCTACTCTGAAACCGCTGTAGACCTCTTTGCACATCAACGACCACTTCAGTGTTCCACGAAAAGTACGCTGTAGACATACCAGTCCTCGCCGCATGGATGCCTCCGACCCATCGATCCCCTCACTCTGCCGCGGTTTGGGGTTCCACAAACAAGAAACAAGACGCACACATATGCTTTTACTGTAATCTATATTTCAGTCGTTTTTTGCTTTTTATATTCTTTCGTTCTTTTTTGTTTTTTCCCAGTTCTTGTTCCTTTCCAAAAGCGCAGGTCACCGCCACCGGCCAGCCGCTGTTGGAGGAGGCGCGCCTGGCCGATTCGCCGCTGCGCAGCGGCGCCACGCTCACGGCGCTCCTTCGTCGCCGGCCGCCGCCGGGACACTGGCCGCACGCGTTCGCGATGGTGGCGAAGCAGCGAAGAGCCGGGCAGGACGAGGTTGTAGCTTCGTTTTCTTTTTTTTGGGGCGGGGAAGACCTAGCGGTAGTAGTGTTGTTAGTGACTTGTGCTCGGTGGAACTGTTTTTTTGTTTCGTGCTTGTTGTTTTGGGCATATGTTGGCTACAAGACTCTCATCAAGGAGATTACATTATTGCTTCCATGCCTTGTGCCAACAAGCAAGGCGCCTTTTTCTTCATTGTTTTGGTCGCTGACTCTGACCATCCAATCTTTCACAAGGTGTCGATGTAACGTTTTTGTTGGGCATCCTTGCGAGTCCACTGTAAGAAGGCTCCCGGACTAGCTTGGACGATCCTTTCGAAAGCAGATCCTTCAAGTTGGACTTTAGACAGGACATTCTCATGCGGAAACGAGGGGCGTTCTCTCAAGATTATTGAAAAAATGCCTATCCAACTCAAACAAACTCACTCGTGGAGTGGTGGAGTCGTGACCATTTTCTTTGAGAGACCGGAAGTGGCTCGGCTCGTGGCTCGGCTCGGCTCGCCGAGGTGCGCCAGGATGGTTCGCTGGTGGCCTGGGGCGCTCGCTGCACCGGAAGGCCGCAGCGCGGGGACGTGGCGGTGGCCGCCTGCGTGTGCAGCTTCGCGGCCTTCGCGGCGCGCAGGACGGACGGCAGCGTGTACAGCTGGGGCGAAGCCAGGCAAGTGGGTGCTGTGCAGATTGAAAGGCTTCCAAGCAGAGGGATTGTGCAATCTATGTGGCTGTGGGTGAAAACCGGGGGGCAGAAAGCCTTCTGAAAGCTAACAACCTCTGTTCTCAGAGACGTCCCCAAGGATCGAACGACGAGGCGAGACGACCGCCCTTCAAACTGCCTATAGGTCTCCCGAGATGACCATCGAAAATAGATCGCTTGTAACAACCGGACCCCGCAGGTATGGGGGTGACAGCTCTGCCGTGCAAGCGCAACTCGTTAAAGTGCAACAACTGGCCGCGTCCTACGCGGCTTTCGCCGCCCTCAAGAGCGATGGCACTGTGGTGGTTTGGGGCGATGCGGATTACGGTGGCCACGTGCCGGAGGAGGTGCAGAGTCAGCTGAAGGAGATCCGACGTCGAAGACAGCGCGAGATCCGACGTCGGAGGATTTCGGAGGATGGAGGTGGAGTGGATGGTGGAGTGTTCTTTTTGTTGGAACATACGCAGGACATGCTCCCCTCCATGTTGGAGTATAAGTGGAACTGGACGGGTTTTTCAAGGAACAAAGTTCTGTGATTGCAGTTTCCCTGCGGTAGATGCCTCTAGAACATTGCCCATATCGTTTGAATTCAGGGGCAAATGCTGTTTCTTCTACCGTTTGTGAGGGTGCAGCTGAGTAGCCTTCGCTCCTCTGGCTCCTCAGGAGGTCCGGGAACTGAGTGCGACCCGCTATGCCTTTGCTGCCCTTTGCTCACATGGCAGGCGAGTTGATGGGCGTTTGGGCTCACCTGTTAGTGTGATGCTTCTGATCTTGCAGAGGAAGAGGCATGGATGAACAGCTGAGATCACACATGCGCACTCACAACCGCGCTCACATGGGTGTATTTTGCGCATTTGACCAAGTCTTGGGTGTTAACCTTCTTTGCACATGTCCAAGTCTGCTTTGCTGTGACCCACGACATCCATTTGACCCACATGGCAACTCTCCACGACGAAAACACCCGATTTCACCAGGCAACTCCTCACGTCGGAGGCAACGAGCCCGCTCTTTGAGTGAAAAAGTGCTTCCACCTGACATCTCCAATCCTCCGGCTTCTTGCTCCCGTGCATCAGGGTGGTGACCTGGGGACAACCCACCAAAGGCGGCCTTTGTCCGCCATTCAAGCTGCCTGGTTGCTTACATTTTGTGCATTGAAACATCAATTTAAGTTTTGTGTAGTAAGTTCCTGCGTTTTGAATTTGAGATGGGTTTTTGAATTTTGGAGGTGAGGATAGTGCAAGAGACACTTGCATAGCACTCGCTTGTGCACGCGGAAATCGCCTTGCTTGTGCTCGCGGAAAATGCCTCGCTTGTACACATGAAAGTTGGAAGGCTGAGAAGCCCTTGAGGAATGTGCGCCTGCACACTCTATCAAATGCCAGCATGACAATACGTCAGCAAAACAGCTCCGGAACCTTTTCCGAAACGTGCTCGGGAAGCAAGGTAGCAGACCTTTTGTGAGCCACCAGGAAGGTGCCCTTCCAAGGTAGCACAACTTTTGTGAGCCACCCGCCACCCGAGGAAGGTGCCGTTCTAAGGTAGCACACCTTTTGTGAGCCACCCGAGGCTAGAATTTAGACGGGAAGGTACCATTGCAAGGTAGCAGACCTTTTTGAGCCACCTGAGGCTAAAATTTTGGGGAAGAAGGTGCCGTTGCAAGATAGCAGACTCTTTGTGAGCCACCGCAGGCCAAGATTGAAAGAATGCGCCCAGCTAGGACTGAAAAAGAGACTAGGTTTTAGGGTGGGCCTGTATTACGTGTGCAAAACTTTATGTTTTACGATCTGCGTGCTCAACCGCCTGAGGCCGCCACCTCCTCCGCCGGCCCCGGCGGGTGTTTTGGGCACTGCGCTGGGACCGGTGCGGCAGATTGTTGCCTCGAGCGCAGCCTTCGTGGCCATCCACGACAATGGGCAGGTGGGTGTGGTGTTCCAGACTTTGTTCTCTTTAGAAGTGGGCACTTGTTCACTGATGGCCAACCTTGGCCTTTCATTTCAGGTCTTTGGCTGGGGCGAGGATTGCGAACCCTCTTCCGCCGCGAGAGGGCGCCTGGAGAGCGCGAGCGTGGCCAGCGTGGCGTGCTCGGGGAAGGCCTTCGCGGCGTTGACGGAAGATGGGGAGGTGATCTGCTGGGGTGATGAGATCTTCGGCGGCAACCCAAAGGAGAGCTGTGGGGGTGCTGCGGTAGCTGATACTTGATGACTGGGGATGAGTGGGGTGAGGGACGGTGAAATGGCAGTCGCAGTGCTATCATGAGGCTGCTTGGTTTGGAGGACTATTTGTTGATGACATCGGCAAATCAGAGTCATTCGGTCGGTGCCCCGAACGAGGTTGACAAACTTTCCCAAGTAATCAGGCAAACCTGTATTATATATCTCGAGTTACGATTGTAAAGCTTGGCGAGCCAACAAACAGCTTTAAGAACGGTTAAATTACATCTACGTTTATAGCAGTTCTATATTATAGGTCTCTACAACTCTCATGAACCCCTCCTAAACCTGCTACAGCTATTGCGTTGTGCACCACGCAGGAAGACTTGAAGGATGTCCAGGCGGTCTTCGCCTCCAGCTTCGCATTCTGTGCTCTAAAGACTGATGGCTCGGTGATTTTGTCAGCAGCCAGAGAGATATCACATGAACCCCTGCACCTGGCGAGAGTGATAGCTGATAGCGGGTAGCGATGGTAGTGGGGCAAGCTGACAGGTTTGGTGAACCTTGCTTTTGAAATGATGGGTTTGTTTCGTGTTCAAAAGGCCTAGTCGTTTGACCCAGCACATTTGCTCATTGAATCTCTTTGAAACTATACCCTGCCCGAACACAATACTGACACATGTACCTGCACGATCCCTCGTTGACACTTGTCGAACACCTGGTTTCTGCTCTTTGTGCCCCAACAAGTCCACCAAAGCAGCCAACGGGCTGCCTGACCAGCACGCAGCAACTACTCTCAAGGAACACGCAAAATTGTGAACCCAGCTTGCATGCAAGTCTCAGACCAGGGGTGCAGTGGTGAAACGCACAGCATTCCAAGGTCTTGCCATTCACCAAACTGTAGTACTCCCCATCTCTTCTATCTCCTCAGAAAGGATTTCTCACCACTTTGCAGAGGTCAGCGACTTTCGCCCCAAAGCCTCAGGTGATCTGTTGGGGCAACCCCCGCTTCGGTGGCTCCCTGCCCGCTGCCACCGCCGTGGAGCTGCGCCGGCACGGCGTGCGCACCGTGCTGGGCTCCGGCGGAGCCTTCGCGGCGCTGCTCGGCAACGGCACGGTGAAGGCGTGGGGCGAGCGGTGCTACGGTGGGGAGATCGGAGCGCAAGAAGAGGAGCTGCAGGAGGTGAAGGAGATCCAGGCCGGGTAGATGTGAGTGTCGCGTCGTGTCTTTTTCATTGTGTTTAAAGGATATGATTTTCAACTACCAGTGATTGTGGATGGTGCTTTCTTGTTCCTTTCCGTTGCTATACTCTAGACTAGATGGATGTTGTCAGAAAGAACTGGGCAGTTGGTGCGGCGGGTGTTGCCTTAGTTCAGTTATATAGTGGCCTGCTCAAGTCGAAGATCTGGAGTTTCCCATTGTAGTTTCTTACATTCTACGCTCCCTGAACTAATCATGGAAGTGCGTGGCATGGCCCCGCAAGGATGAATAATATTGTGGTTTCTTGGTCTCCACATTGTGAGGGTTCTCCATATTTCCATGTCTAAACTGATGGCCAAGCTTAGCTTCTATGGATGCCCAGTTCAAGTCCATGACCCCATCCACCACAGTGTATGATTTCTGAACAATTCATACTTGTACAAAGCGTTCTCAAATAAAATGAATTTTCACATCTCATCCACCGAATTCATCGATCTCTCTCTTCGGACCCAGCCGGCTGGAGGCCACGTATGGAGCCTTCGCTGCCATTCGTTCGGACGGCACGGTGGTGACCTGGGGCGACGCGCGCGATGGAGGCGATAGCAGCGCCGTGAAGGAGCATCTCACGAAGGTGAAGTGCTCGTCCCGTGCAGGAGAAAAGCAGACGAGATGCACCTGGTAATAAGCGACCAGGAGGTGTTTTTTTGGGGCCGCAAATGGTACAGGGCCCAGATACCGTGGTCGAGGTCGAGGGCATGAGCAGGGGATGGCAGCTTAGTTCTACAAGCACCAGCCCACCACTATCCTGGACATTTTGAGAGGGTCAACTGTAGGGGTTTGGGAGTTTTTCATCCTGCGCAGCCATCCACAGCTCACTCCAGCGGCCTAAGTGGCCAGGATTCTGCCAGACAAAGATCTCGCAGGGCTCATTGAGTCACAGTTTCCTCCAGTTCTGGCGAATGGCGGAAAATCGAAGTGACTGAATATCTGGGGGCAGGATCGCATGCATGTCCTGGGCGGATACGAGCTTCCGCTGCAGAGCTTCCATTCAGGAAAAAAATACACTACACGACTAAGTCATCAGTTTTCAAGATTTCGACATGCGTGACGGTGCCAACAGATCCGTCAGTTTCAAACAAGTCTACCCATGACATCCAAACAGATCGGGCAGATCGGAAAAACGGTTGGCTCTAAAAACCTGCTTCATGCTCAGGTAGAGTATTGCAGCGAGTACTACAAGAATCCCATCTACAACCACATCCACGAAGCAATGAGAGGCCACTTCCAAGAGCATCTTGGACCAAGACTGAAGATTATGACTTCCATGCAGGGTTCACAGCGATCGTGTATTGGACGAAGCGAGCTTCGTGGCTTCGGAGTTCGATTACTGCTTTGAGACTTTTCGGACGCATCAAACTCCTCCCAAAAGGGCTAAACACTGCAACAATTTTCATGGTTTTGCAACTCCCAACAGGTTTTGCATCCCAAAATTGTATTTTACATCAAGGGTCATTGGTCGTTTGTCTAAAGCTTCGAAGCACTCCACAAACGTTTTACCTAAACCATACCCAAACCATCCAAAACCAATCCAACAAAGTCCAAGGTTCACTTCGACTTTTTCATCTCTACTTAGTGGGGGGGTCGGTCGCTTCGACTCCACCGTTTTTGGAGACAACCGCTCCGTGCAGGATCGGTTTCCCCGTTCCTGCGAGCGTCTTTGCCTCCGAGCGGCTGAGGTTCACGAGCACGTCGGTGCGGTACTTCGATGTGTGGGCCTTCACGGAACAGGCGCCGTGCGACCCCACGTCCCGGGTGTCCCGGTGGAGGAAGGGGCCGCCCCGAGCCCGCGCGAAGAGCCGTGAGGACGGCCCGTTGAAGGAGAGATGAAGAGACGACACAGTAAGACGGTCATAGTCGGGAGGATGGAGCACTCACACCATTCACTTCCCCCCAAGAAGACCAAAGGGGCGCGACGAACTTGGAACCATCAATAGAATTGGCCGTGAAGGGCCAAAGGTGTAAACCACCTCGGACCTCGTCGACCGTGGCTCGCGTTTTGGGCCAACGGCCGTTTGGCCACGGCCAAAACGGCAGGTGCCAGAAGATTGCATCTATGGACACATGACGCCAGCGAGTGCCGCCTTCATGATCCAATTCCTTCTCAGCAGCGGGGGAGCCCAGTTCGGCCCAAGAAGGCCGAGGGAAGTTGCTGTTGCTGTCAACCCCACTGGAGGGGAATTGTAGATCGTGTGCCAGAATCTTGTCTTTTGGAGGATCACAGAATCACAGATGTTTGGGTTGCCAAAGACCATATCAGTCTTCTCCGTCGCTGGGCCTCGCGAGAATCCGCACCAATTGGGACATTACGCTGGCTGCGCAGCAGCGAGGACCGGCGGCCAAGCTGCTTTGCTGAGGTGTTTGTCCGGTGACGGATGTGGCCGCGGGCAAGTTGATCGCATTCGTGGGCGAGGCCAAGCCTTGGAAAAGGAGCCTGGTGCTGTCAAGTGAAGTCTGGGGTGGGAAGATCGCAAAGTCAATATTTGGAAGTAAAAGCAGACAACTTGTTCGAAGCGTTCGAACAAGCATTCTTACTGAATGTCATCCTGTGGTTTCATCCCGGAGGTGTGGTGTGAGCAGTTGAGTTTCATCGTTTCACCTCATGGTGGCTAGGAAGCCAACATAAAGCAACTAAATCCATTCTAGATCATTCTAGTGCATCATGTGTTGCTTCAGAGGGGGATTCTTCAACACAATCACTACCTTAGACTGAGTCTGTGCTGCTGAAATGAAACTGCTGCCCGACCGACCGCCCCTCCCTCACGGCATCGCACGCGACGGGAGGCCTGTCGCTCAGGGCAAATCTCGCCGACATGTGCCAAGTTGGAGTGCAAAGGCTGGGCCGGACGCAGGTGAACTTGAGGATTATAACAAGAAACAAGGGGCAGGGCCGGGCAGCATAGGATGATTGCCCCATGTACCCCTATAGCCTATAGCTCCTACTGTAAGTCTGATGACGTTTGACGTCTTTTCCATGATTGCTTTTGAATCGGCCCCAGGATTCGATTTTCGAGAGGTGAATCATGGAGTCAATCGCGAGGTGTTTGTTTTGAACATCCCGTCTCCCAAAGGCCCGTCCTGCCCTTCACATCTTTTCCGCTCCATACGTGACGTTGGACACGCCGCTACGCCGCTACACCGGTTTCGTTCCAGGCTTTGCGTACACCTGGGACTATGCCTTGTCCAAGAACTGCCAGCTCTTCGCTGCCGTGGGCGACTCCGAACCCAGCGACAGCGCCAAAGGCGCGAAGGGTGTAAAGCCGGAGCGGTCGGTGAAGTCGGTGCGACACCGGTAGCTGTTTTTTGGCGTCTGTCGAAGGGGGCTACGGCTACATCCCAGACCCAATATGAGTGTTTCGTGCATGGTATTCCTGCATGGGCATGAGCTCTTGGTGGTTACGGCCTGGAACTTTTGGGTGGTCGATGCGACATCTACCCACGTCGTCAATACATCTACCCACGTCGTCAATCATATTGTTGTCTTGATACACCACTTTCATCCACTTTTGACTTCAATGACTTCAGAACTGCGAGCCCTGAGATGACCAGAAGTATGCATGATCATACAGTCATGCCGATTGTAGTCAGAACATAACTATGTCCAATGTTTACGGTCAGTAAGGCTTGGGGACGGGACACTCACAATTCTACGCAGATCACTCCGCAAATCCTTGTCAATTGGAGAAAGTAGCACTGTCCATCTTGGAAAGCATTGATGGGCGCCTAAATTAAGTGGACTCTCAAGGCGGCCGGACAATTTGGCGTCTTCCCTTGCAATCTCTCGTATCTCTTGGCAATGATTCGCAATGCTTCGACACTCGCGAGTCATTCGTTGCGTGTCCCATTACCTGTGACAGTGGGTAAACAATTTTTAAGAGAAGGGCCTCAAGTAACCGTTAACTAACCATCATCATCCACAGTAAAACAGGGAACAGGCTATACCGTGATATACCCAAGTCATTCGTGTTGATATCATGTCCTTTTCGACCGGTCGCTCTGAACGCGTTGGAGTCGTTCAGGCGGCTTTGCTGTGGAGAAGTGGATGATCGAGGCGTGGACGGGTTGACCGTCTTCCTGGCTGCGCTTGAGATATGACATGCCAAAGGCCTGCCAAAGGGCCTTTGTTTTTCCGTTTCCGGATGCTTTTACTGTTTTCTTTCTTGAGAGATGCGTCAGGACCATCAATTTGCAATGACTGTAGGTTTGCACCCTGCTGTTGGTTCTTTTCATCCTGACGCATTGCAGGGTATGGGACCTGACCCGAAAAACATCATGTCATCTATGGCCCACCGTGCTTGAGGTCTGGTACGGCTACGCAGGATTGTTTCGCTCTCGTTTAAAGCACCTGTATATCAATTGTTGGCCATTTCGGCTGGGAATTCACAAGGACCTCCACGAGTTCGGGCCACCGCCAAGCAGCGAATCACTCAATCAAATTGTCAATGACTTTTTCCGTCAATTATAGATTTAGGGTGCCGATGGCCCTGTAGAAGAAGAGCACAATTATATAGGGTTGTGGCAAAGAAGACCTCAATAATTACGGTCTTTTGAAGTGCAGAATTTGGGTTCGGTCTGCATGGAAGTTTGTCCAGCGTGGATAGCAACTACAGTTGCAGTAAAGGAATGGGCTATATGGGACTGTTTACTCATTTATATATTGCAACTTAGCTACCACTTACATAAAACTTAGTCTGGCTTCAACCACACATTTCACAACTCGCTTCGCCTTGCTTCGTTGCCGTGGATACTTGCTGCAAGCCTCTTTCAAGCCTGGATAGACGGTGAAAGCATATTGCAGTGGTCTTGCACATGTGGAGGAGGCACTCGAACTGACAGCGTTTCCAGTTCTTTTTCCTCGAGGGACGAGCCATCGAGTTGGACGACAGACAGATTAACAACGAAAGCAGGACAACCGCAGCCGCCTGGTTTGTGGGCCCGAACTAGCATGACTTCAGCTATGTGGTGCCCCAGCTTGAAGCTCTAAAAATGGCGGACAACTGTCCAACTGCACTGTATCACCCAGTTCTATTGCGGACAAAACCTAGGAACATGTTCGATCTGTTAGTTGTGTGAGACTGCTTTTTGGGTGCTGCATAATTGCTCCTTCAAGCATGCCCCTGTAAATACGAGGCTTTGCTCGTTTGCCTTTGGTCATAGTCAACAGTCACCAGATGTCACCAGTAACAGTGCCTTGGCTTTGCCTTTTAGGTAGTGCGGGTATTCTTACACCTGCAACATGTTTCACCGGTTTGCTTCAGTCTTCACTGCACGCCATGCTGCGGGGCGTTTGCTCGGGTCGCGGGCAGCTGTGCCGGGTGATGAGCGGTCGAAACCGGAGGCCGGGTGGAGAAGAGGTGAAACGGAAGACCTGACTGTTCATGAAGAATATCCAGGACCATCCGGGATCCAAAGTATAAGGAACTGATGATAACTGATGTGTATTGGCTGTGCCATGGATTCTTGGTTCGATGTACAAGTCTAAGAAGGCCCACCCTGCGGTGAACTCGTCCAGCGGTTCCTCGCTCAAGATGGCTTGCTAGCTAAAATCCCAAGTATGTGTGGGCAGTCGATGATGCATATGATGCTGCGTCAGTAGCATCAGCACTTCCTGGAATCTGGGAGAATTCCGTTCGCAACATCGTATTTACATAAGACAATTGATTGATGTAGTTAAATATCTATACATAACGACCACTTGTCCGACCACCCGAGGCGGGCCACGACGGTGGAGACCATGACGGTGGAGGAGCTGAGAGGCGTTCTGAGCTCCTGGGCCCAGGAGGTGAGTTTCGGACGAGAGTTGACCATCGATAGGTAGAACCATCGATCGAATGAAGATTCACTTTTGGTCCACTACTATGCAATGTTTATATGTATACATACACAATATAAATAAATAAATATATATAGACAGTACAGTAGTATTATTAAAGATCATTCATTAGTTACTTTTCTGCCAGGTGTTTTTCGCGATTTGTCTGGACGTGACATCTTTGAGTTTTTTTGGGGCCCCGGACTCTGGAGAAGCGCACAGCCCGAAACCAGCGGGTAGACCGCTCCCCTCTTCCACGGGCACCATGGGCACCCGCCACAAGACGCTTTGCTCACCTGGTCATGATGTGGCTGATTGGCTTGGCTCACTTCACTCCCTCCCTTCGATGGCAGAAGGATTCCATGTTGGTGGAATCCATTCCGTCTCTCGACGCTTGGACCGCGTGACGGGGGGAAGTCTAGCACCGGTGCCACGAAAAAACTGCGAGAATTTGGGGACGTTGCAGGTCAACAAGACGACGAGGAGCGAGCATGCAGATCCCAATTGGCGTTTGCCTGAAGAGATGCTGGGCCAGGCACGAGCGCTGAACACGTGGAGGCGACGAGAGGAAGACGAACCGAGCAACATGATGGTCAAGACCCAAAGCCATCGGATCAGTCAATGTCCCGCCGGTACAGACACTTGTGATGTTCCTTTATGTTCCTTGTTTGATTTTGAACCAGAGCCGCATAGGTGTGTGTATGAGGCAAGCCAGAAGCAAAAGTCTTTTTGGCATCCCCAGGAAGTGATGGCCAGTTCTTTTTTGATTGGAATGGAACAAGCAAGAACTAAGCTGACAAAACTTAGGCGTACCGTGAGATGGGACAATTCTGGCAAGTATGTACGTTTAGCAATCTTTAATGTAAACTGCAATTTGAAACTGACATGAAGGTTTTTTTTGCTGTTCAACTTCTGGGTTCCTTTCTACTGGGTTCAAAGGATCAGCATTGGAACCCGGACATTGGGATCTGGGATCCATTGAACGACGAGGCAAAAGCACCCATCCTTTTTTTTTTGAGAGATGACATCTACTTGTCCCCTTCCCGTGGTTTGGGGCTTCATCCCATCTTATTTCAGTGGCACACCTATTGCTGAATCAAACATGGCTTCTTCTCGATTCGATGCTTCCACGCCTTCCCATCGTGGTCGTATCACAGGTGGTCCTGCGCTTGAGCGCAGTGTCACTGAGTCCTTTGCAGAAGCGAAGCATCAGCAGAGACTGCCTGGATCTACGGCTCAAGTTTCCGGAGCCTCTTCTAGGTCTGCCCCGCGCGTTGAAAGGGGATGCTGCACACCTCTGAAGGCACCAGGTCTTGCTGTGGAACTTGCTGCGGAGGTCTAACTGGTCTGTTGGTCTTCGTGGGACTCATTTCTCGTGCTGGATCCAACATCTACGTAAAGTTCGTCACTTGCGTGTTGCTCTGCTGTCACATAAATCCGACATAGATGGATCCACAGAAGGATCCGTTCTGCACGCTCTCGTGCAGTCTTAAGCCATTATTTTGTTGGATTTTCAGAAACGACCATCTGAACACTTTTAGTCCTCCACTTAATAAGGAAAATGACATGAACCTTCTAGTCCTCTAAGAATTGCGCAAACGCTGCCCGAAGCAATTAATTTGACAGCCTCGCTTCCCACACTTCTCCACGGTCACCAATGATTTCTGGTCATTCTTTCACGAAAAAGCACCGCGGTTTCCGTGGAAAGCGGCGGTGAAACACGGCCAGACGCTGTGCTGATGGACCGCGGCCTTGAGGGACCAGAGGTGCTGATGGCGTGCTGTGGACTTCAGCATCGGAGGCATGAGACTTGGAGACGGAGTTTGGAGTTCTGTTTGTTTTTCCTTTTTTGAAATGTCATTTTGGTGTTTGGAGTTCCTTTATTTAAGAAGATACCTTTCCTCTTTTATTTTTTCGTTTGAAGGTCTTCCGTGCTTCCGTTTGGACTTTTTCCTTTTTTGTGAGATTGCATGACTGGTTGTTGGAGTGGTACCGAGTGCTTTTTGTTATTGTATTAATAGACTTTACCTACCTCGTTCCACTGATGGGAGATGTTTGGAGCCGAGCAGTGACTCATGCCTGCAGAAAGGTTGACACTTATAAGAGACTTACTGTGAAGTTCAGCTCGTCCTGAGGAGATCCTGGAACACTTGAGGCAACTTCAAGTTGAGCAGCTGCCTGGACAGCAACTGCTGAAGATGGTGAAACATGTGGCACCGGAGGCCGCGAGCTGCGATGGTGGACATTTGGGCATTTTGGTGGAAGAGTCCCAAAAGTTACTCATTGAACACCGGCAAATCAAAACATCTATTTTTTCCACTCTCCATCTTTGGATCCAGGGTGTTTTCGCTTTCAGTGTCCCGGTCTCTCCAGTCACCGCGGAGGTCCCACTGCAGCGGCGCCGCTTCCATGCGCAGTTGCTCCACCAGGCCTTCTACGCTGCGACGGCGACCAAACCGGCGCAGTGGCCACGGCGGTGCGAGTCGCTCCGCAACGGTCTGGGCGGCCTAGGCGGCCTCCCCCGATATTTGTTGTACTTGACTTGGCCGCTTGCTGAGCCAGGAAAGGATTTTTTACTTTTTTGCGAGGAAAGGTGGAGTAAGCAGTGTTTGAGCAGGTCACGGAGAGAGTGCAACACAGAATTTCCAATCATGTATTCACAAATTCTGTCAATTTGGGGTCACTATATCCGACTGCAACACATTTTTTTGTATGATTATAGGTATAATTATGTATATATGATTTATATGATTATATAGATGGGTCATGAGACAGGTCATGAGTGGGACTGAGAGACTGCAGCTTGTTTGGTGTGACCACTCGTGGACGGATGTTGGTGAGTGGACTGACTTGGGTTGACGATTCTTTCTCGGGGCACTTCCGTTCTGTGGCTCAACTCTTGAGTGACCCTTTGCTCAAAACCCAAAGAGAACAGACAAAAGCAAACTCCAATCACTCAATTCTTTGGTGAGTCTTCCCGTTCTGACCAAATCTTCGTTTGCCTTCTCATCTGCAAAAGATGCTCTTCATCCCAAAAACCCGCTGCAAGCCGCAAGCAATCACTGTCTTGGGAGCATGAACTTCCCCTCAGAAGCACGCTTCGCGCCAACTCCAGCGCGTTTCGCCCGCTTCCACCGGCTCAGGTGCGGCTCGTTTCGCTTCCTTCAGGGCCTTCCCACGGCTTTGCTGCTCCAGCTCAATGAGAGGTCGGAAGTCCAAAACACGGAGTTGTGGCAAGTTAGGCACGCCACTTTTGTAAACACCTCGCTTTTTCATGGGTCATGCTGTTTTCGTGGGACCTGCGAATGATCTACATCAGCGGGTGGGAGGCGAGGTTTGGGGTGTCAAAGGCACCACACATTCACACATATATGTGGCTGATTGGGTATCGGTGGCCCTGTCCATCAAGGGGTGAGGAGTTTCAGCAAGTTGAAATTATCCAAGTGAGTGACATCCGAGCTCGAACAGCTTAATTATTGTGCCGGCTGCCCGCGTTTAGATGGGTTGAACAAGCACGGAAAGATCACACTCCCTCTATTTCCCCAACCGAAGAAACACGTAAAGCTTTTCTCTTTCCAGCTCCAGGCTAGCCTGGTCAGAGCCGGCCCGGCGAGCGAGCGGGCTGAGATCCTTGGCGGATCTCACGGAAAAGGAGACCTCCTCCACCTTGGAGAAGGATGTGCTACGCGTTCTCCAGGCCGCCGCATGCGGTTTTTTTATCATGCCGCGTGCCTGCTTGATGGATGATGTAAGTTGACAGGAGACATGGTGGACAGGGGATGGGTCAGTAGACTGCAGCTCATACCCATGGTGAAACACATCAGACTTTGAGGGAGAAAACATCAAGAAAAGCTCCTCGGTGTGGGATTCGGAGGATCTGGCGGGTGAAGGGCTCTGACGGGTCCTAGTCTGTGCTTTTTTGGAACTGACGTTCCAGTTGTGAATCAATCCACATCAGAACATGATGTTGAATCACTTGCTGCCACCCTGGCAGATTCCATCAGATCATCATCAGCCTGGGTTCCCTCAAGCAAATAGCAAAGCAACAAGTGCGAACACCTCTTGACTCTTGTCCTTGCATCAAGGATGCCCTCCCTAGAGAGGTGATTTTTACACTTTGATCACTGGATGGCCCACAGATAGCCCACAGGATTGTTTCAGGTGGCTCGGCAAACATCCAGGTGGAAACATTATATACCTTCAAAGCTGAGAGGAATCTGCAAGCTCGACCCCCATGCTCGCCCTGCCCTTTTGTCGGTACCAAAACATGGGTTCTTTTTCTCCGAAACCACACCAAGTTGCGAACTCTGCGTAGAAGAACCAGGCCATCTTCCGGGGGCAGCGAAAAAGAAGGACTTCGATTGTGCCGCAGCAGAGCGTCTCAGGGCTGTTTTCCTTGGACATCTTGCTGTCAAGTGAGTGATTTTCGGGTCCTTCACCCACCTCGGGACATGACCAAATCGGTCGTTTCCCGACGGCCGTCATGGCCCGGTGCTGCAAAGGAACAGCGCCCAGAAATCGATTCAAAAGCCGACGGTCCGTCGTGCACGATGTATAGCTCTGCAGCACGTCGAGTGTGGGACAGTTTGTCAGTTGGCATGGTTCAATGCGTTTGAATAAAACCAAGGCATTTGGCGTTGTCACTATAGATGGTGATATGTGAGTAGTATATACATTTGATCTTCAGAATCGACGGGAGGAGGAAGGGGAGTGACTGCACTCAGAGTTGTTTTTTGAAAAGACATGCGTGGAGAAGAGTGGTTTGAGTTACGTGTAGGAAACGGTATTTGCTTGCTCGACTTGGGAAGAGCGTAGGATCTTCTGCATTTGTATATATATATATATATATTTGCCGCCGTTTCCTTTGAAGCCTGGCTGGTTTTCAGCACTTTCCAAGTCCGCCCGAACGTGGCAGTGCACCATGTCGACCTCTGTCAAGCTACAGTACCTCTCAGGGGAAGTCTTGGCAGTACTGGAGGGGCTGAAAGACGATGATACTCTGCAGACGGTGAAGGCGAGAGCAATGGCGTGAGGGACTGGAGTGCACTCCAGATGTTCCTAGTAGCTTCTTGTTACTGCTAGTAAGGCACTTGTTACTAGTAGCGTGGCACTTGTTACTAGTGGCGATGCACTTGTTCCTAAAAGATTCCAAAGAGTGTGAGCACATTAGAACAAGAGACCAAGTGAACTTGAAGATACCGCACGCAATGGAAAGAGAATCCCATCCCATCTCATTCTATTTTTATGACCTCCTTCTCTATTGGCATGAGTGCTCATGCAAAAATTCCAGTTTCACTCTCGAGTTTCACTATTCTTGAATCCAACTTTTTTTCACAATCATTGCAGGCTTTGGGTGACACGCACCTGCCACCGGGCGTCTCCATCGACTCGCTACTCGGCGACGACTCTGCAGTCTGCTCGCTCTCAGCACCGCTCAGCAGCGCGCCCGGCGTAGGTGAGAAGCAGCTGACGGTGGTCACCGGAGAGCAACCACCAGAGAGGCCAGAGGTGCTTGGAGTAGCGAGTCTCAAGAACTGGCAGGCCTCAAGTCTTGTGAGAGAATAGACTAGAGGCATGACCGGTTGGCAAGAGAACCATTGTGACACGGACCCCAAATGCAATGAGGAATAGATGATTTGAATGGTTTGTGTGTAACTCCAAAGTGTGATGTGTCGGAATTGGTTGATTGGATCTTTCAAGGGCAAAGTCCCATTTTCAGGTCCCATTTGTTTGAGTTGGGACTTCTGATTCACGTTTTCGTATGTTTTCGTCAGGTATGTGACTTTGGACAACGGTGGCCATCCCTTCCTGGTGAGCATTTTATCTCGGAATGCAGAACATTCTGTGAGCATCTGCTGCCTGAAGGGTGATGCTGGCCCTGACGAGGCTTCTTCTCCCTCAGGAGAGGTGAAGAAGCAGAAGGTTGGAAAATGGATGTGGCTCCACAACTATGAGACCCAAAAGCCGCTCTTCCATGAGCGTGTGAAGCAGGCAGGGTGGGGTGAGGCCGGAGACTTTTTTTCCCAGGAGGGTCTTGTCTTCTGATACCATGCTTTGACATGTTTTTTCTGCACTAGATCAGCACCTACTAGTTGGGGCAGAACCCGTTCTCCCTCACCCTCTGCACCCTTCCTTCAACGCCGTGCCATGCGCCCCCAACCTCGGTTTGACTAGGTCTGGGTGGGCAAGAGCCCACTGAATCGGATGACGCGCTCCAGTGGCGGGCATGGCGCCGACTTTGATGGAAACTCAATCCTGGTCGAAAAGATGGATGGCGACTACATCTTTGTGGGTCATGACACTCGGGTGCTGAAAGTCTTTTTTTGAATCCGATGATGAGGGGATATCAACTGAACAATGTTCCACAATGATGGACACTTTGATTTTTTGTTTGGTGAGTGCAGTTTTTGCCTGATCATCGCAACCAGCCTGCCGAGTGGGAAACAGGAACTGTGAACTCTTGTATTGCATTTTTTCAAGAGGAGGCGCAAGGTTTTCAGACAACTTTCATTTACAACTGCACATCTCAGACTCAGACTGCCTCAGAACGACCTGTCGTTTGCCTCAGCTGGATGTGGGTGAAAAAACCTGTACCCCCCCCAAAAGGATCCAAAAAGGGCTCCAAAAGAAGATGTTTGAGTCTCTTCCGTGCGAAATGCCATGAAAATCCGATGTTTCGGCCTCCTTTGGTGGCATCTTTTCAGGAGGTGCTTTCCTTCAAAGCTCCTGCCAAGCTCGTGGAACACGTCTCTCCCGTGGGGAACAGCTCGGTGCCATATCCCTATGCCGTGGATGCCGATGGGCGACACTACCTGTTCATTGAGAAGGTGGTACTTGATCAGATTCCCACAGATGCAGAGCATCCAGATGATCCAGATCCGCCGCTCGGGTCGGACGGCGTGTTCCACCACCGGGAACCGGTGGCAGGACCAGTGTCCTCCTATTGTGCTTTTCATTGGTGATCGTGTAGAGTGAAGAAATGTGAAGGAAGAGTCCATTCATGTTCATGCTTTGTTGGTGTCGTTGATTTGAAGGGGAACAGTGGGATGGCGCTGTTCCGTGTGTTGAGACCTTTGGGCGACCATGTGGGACATACTGTGGGACTCTTGGATACTACTTCCTCACGTGTTTCCATGGTTGGAGCTTCCAATACCTGAGTTTCGCTGCAGTTTTTGACCCAGCAGGAGCTGCAGGAGATGTTGGGATTCTCTCACAGGAAGAGTCCAAAAAGGTGGGACCTGAGCGATTTGTGAAGGAAAACCTGCTTTCAGGTCCGACCCAGGTGCTCAAAATATCACCACGCAGCTCCTCTAGAGTACTCCCCAAACCCCTCCCGAAGACATATCGACACTAGGAATTCTCGCAAATTGACCTGTAGCTATGTTTGGCGATAGCTTACCATGCTTTGGGAGGTCTGTCCTGTATGTCTTCACATCCCGAACTAGGAAGTTGCGATTCATGCGATGGATGGACCTCTGGTTGTCTTATTCCGGGCGGCCCAGGCCCCTCAATCTGAAATGTTTCGGATTACATTTACCCCCACTCACATGTCCGTCCAACTGGTGGAGCACTTCATTGATGATTGGTGATTGGTGATGTTTCCGCCTGGGTGAAGTGGACCAGGTATACGCACTACTACGAGATGAAGCTCGACCAATGCAGCTCCGCCAAGATTCGACCCATCAGCGGATGAAATCGCCCATGGGAACGGACACCGGTCGTACTCAGCGAGATCCGACTGATGGGGTTCTCAATTTCCTTCAGTGCCTGAAGATCCATATGACACACATGTGCGACCACGGCAAGCTTGAGCATTTGGGTTTCGGAGATTCGGCAGGTCCTGTTTTCTACCTTTCTGAGTGGCAGTGGCTGTGACCATGGGCAGTACCAGGGTACTGTGCCGCACTTGCCATGTCAGTGCCGCATGCCTCGAGTGGTGCCGAGCTAAGGTGATTTTCGACTCACTTGCGATGGCCACAAATTGAGTCCATACCATGCTGTGCCTTGAAAAATCAAGGTGTGAGCCGAGGGTCGCGCGGGGCCCATTTGGTCGGTCGTGCTGAACAGGGATTGATAGGTTTACAGGTTGGTCATGATGCGATAACAAAAACTAAATAATACATGCGGTTGTTATGTCCACTAGGAACATCTGCCGGCCCAAGGTCTCCTTGAAATACTCACGAGGATCTAAATGCCTTTTGCCTTTGTTCTTGGGCCCACAAGACTGATGGGGTCAGCCAGATGGGAGCAGGGAAACAGCATGCTCAACCAGGCGTATCCGACTGAAGATGCGGGGTTTGTGTCAAGTTAAGGGAGACCGATCGAAAGCGCCCGGTTTTGTCATGTTGGAGAGTGTTCCCCTTCTTGGCACGGCTGTCCGTGTTAGACGAATTGAATAGGAAATGGCGAAATCAACCTGGAGACCTGGACAGACTTTTGTGTGCTGTGATTGTCATCAGACCTCCCTATGCAAGGAGTTGATTGAGTGTGTGAATGAGCAAAAAAGAGAGAGGACTGAATTCATGAAGACCCGTGAAAAGCGTTGGACCATTTCCATCCATATTGCCAGTTCGTTTGTCGCCCAGGCCTCGGGCCGACTGCCGGCCGGCGCCCAGTGCCAGAAGGTCTCTGCCGAGGGCACGGAGGAGCTCTCGCCTGAGAGGCGTGTCCGTTCCCGTCGGTGGCATGTCCGTCGTGAGGTTCGGTTGAGGCGATTGGGTTTGGAAGAAAGGGGGTGTACTCGGGTCCACCATTCTGTTCTTTTCTTTTTGGGTTCACGGGGGGATGCGGTAGGCTAGTGCCTGCAGTAGTTGTGGGATCCAACCATTTTGGAAGCTTTTGGTAGCGCTATTTCGTCCACGCGGGTCACCCGCGTCATTCTTTCAGATGCTGGAAGTGAATGGGTGTTCATTCGCCTTTCCTTTTTCCTCACGTTACCATGCAAGAGTTGGGTGCCCTGCTCCTTGTCTTTAGATACCGCCATTGGTTTCGCTGGCCGAGAAAAGGGATGTTAAGTCAAGCTTTTTTCGTTCCTCTACTCTCCCAGGACAACACAGCCAATTCAAATCCATCGGCATATAAATGACTTCAAAACAATAATTGAAACTTCATGTCATTGCCCTGCCTGGCGGCTTTCTGAAAAGATTGACCCCAGCAGAACTTAGCTCACTGCTCCAGTTCTTCGGGTGAAGCAGACGTGCAAACCGATACATCTGTAATATCATATCATCTAATTGTATTTTACCATCTCTTCGAGACAGGGGCGTAGCCTTCTTCGAAACTCCTGTGACTCTAAGCTCTCTTGGATCGCCCGATCCTTTCGCCAGATCCTCAGGGTCATAGAGCTCGGGCGGCAGATGATGAAAGCCCACGGCCTCAGTTTCCTCGAAGGGCTGGAAGTCATGGCACCGCGGATGTAGCGCCGCCAAAGCGCGTCCACCCGCAGCAAAAGCGGCGCACCGGTGGGTGAGTGGAATGGGGCACCCGTCGGGGGGTGAACGGAAGAGATCCGTCTTTTGGATCTCAGGTAGATCAGCCAACCATCACTTTGTGTAACCTGAACACTCAAAGGGTGAGCTTCAATTGTATATGTCTGGCCGTCGGCTGGGTCAACAGTCCAACTTCCAGCCCATGAATGAACAGTAGGGGCTTTGCAGTGTTGTTTGCTCACATCCACGAATTCTGAGAGCTTGCTGCCCCTGCAAGAAGAATCGGATATTTTTGGGTGGACATGCCAAATCCTGCTTCAAACAACTATAGTCTATGATGGTTGAAAACCAAGCTTTTCTTGCAGGAGCCAGATCTCGACCACAAATATGGCCAAGCTTCCAAACTGTTCCATGTATCAAGACAGGGATCAAGATGTCTTCTTCTACATGTATATATAGACTCCCAAATAGATAGAAACAGCAAAATCACTTTCAACATGTATGGACTGTTTCTATCTATTTGGGGACCACTACACAAAGACATGGCTTGCAAATGCTTTTGAATTCCGCGCCAGGGTGGGGTTGTTGGCACGACCTGGCAAAGGAAGATCTCCGACTAGGCATACTAGATTCAAGGCGATGCAAGTATTTTTTTTTTCACATCGAATCTCCCTACTCCAAGCCCCTCTAACTGCAGTTGACATACTGTGACTGAGTCACAGTCACCCGTGGCACAGTCACTCCTCCCCACTCAATCCACGCCAGGCAGACGAAGAGGCGATGACCACGACCACCACGACCACCACCACGAGCAGCACGCTGTCGGCCAACCGCACCGACGCGCTGCGGAAGAAGGCCCGCCCGTGACGCCGTGACGAAAAACCGCTTCGCCGCGGCGGGGGTTTTGGGAGATTGAAATGGTGCGGGTTTCGCTACAGCAGCTATTCGTCACAGGACATGCAGTTGAAGTTGGGATGTTGGTGGGGCGACGGTCTCTGCTATTCGTCACCGATGGAGGGCTCTCAAGTCCTTTTCAGAGCCCATCCGTGGGCATCATCCTTGACTGCTTTGCAAACAACATGTCAGTGAAGAGCACCCGATGCATCCTTGAAGTTGGGAAGTTTGCAGTTCCAGATATGACTTTTTGTGCAGACAGATTGGAGTAACAGCTTATCCTGGTGGATTATGGTCAATGTCAGGGACACGAACCAGGAACATGGCGGGCAGCACCCCCCTGACAGCCATGCAAAGTGCAAGCAAATGTCTGTGATCTAGAATCTAGATCTCCTCTCGCGTTGGTTTTGATCAACCAACTTTGGCCCGGCAACAGATCTCGACATCTCATCATTCCACATCCTCAAAGCTTTCCCGCCCCAAATAACTCTTCATGACCGGGCATGTTCAGCATCAGTTCTGAAAAAGAAACTGGCCATGCATCCACAATCCTTTCGCCAGTGGTTTTCCAAATTCCGGTTCCTGCCGGGGCGAGGACTCCCACCAGTCTGGCTCAACCTGCCACCAGTCCAAGCATGAGACTGCAGACAATCCTCACCTCTGAAATGACACAGTGTGCCGCACTACGGCAAATCGATATCTATTCCTTGATGCTCCTGATCTCATCGATCTGCACATAAGTTCGTCTTCCCCTTCCTAGGAACACATTGAGTTCTTCTCGTCAATTCCTTCGTTTTCACCAACCAGCCGCCACTCAGCTGCCCTGCGAAGAGGCCTTGGAGCTGCTGCATGTGGCGGCGGCCGCCACAGCAGCGGAGGCCACCAAGGAAGCCGAAGCCGAGAAGGCCAAGATCGACAAGGCCAAGGCGGGGTCTTCTCTTAGCCTGGGCCTGTTTTCCAGTGAGGGATTTTTGGAGTTGCTTCGAAAAAGGTTGTGGTTGGTGGGTGGTTGGAAGGAGCGGAGTCCAGGTTTGGAGAGTCTTGATGAGTGACCTACTCCAATTGTGGAACAGTGCGAATGTGTCTTGGATGAATGGAGGAATCTCTTAGATCCTTGGAAAGAAGGTCAGCTTCTAAGCTGGGGACCTGCTCAGAAGCCCACGTAATCGGACTGGTCCAGTAGGGTGGTAGATGAGCAAAGCCGCTTTTGCCCCTGGCCTCGATGGCCTCGATGGCCTACCGCGATGTGTGCTCCTGTTTCCAGGCTGCGGAAGAGGATAAGAAGAAAACATCCAAGAAAGAGGACCCAACAGTTGGAATGGAGCCGTAGAGTACTTGTAGATACTTGTACCCAAGAGTACCCCAAAACAGATTTAGGAGTCGATCTAGGGAACTCGACAAGAAGCAAACAGACAGTTGTTGGCCAAGTGTTGTAAGATTTATAGACATGGACAGCAAAATCATGCCAAATCACACAAGGTAATGTGAGGTCATGGGGCCAATCCTCAATTCTCAGTGAGCTGAGCTGTCGGAGCTGCGTCAGAAACCCGTCAGAGCTGTCTCTTTAGTCGAAGTGAGAGTAACGCACATCGTCTGGATGATGACTATCTCCCCAGGATGAGTACAAGACGATCTTTGATGATCAAGAAAAAAAGCACAAGAAGCTACGTTCATGCCTCAGATCTGTTCAGTTCTCAGCTTATCATGGAGTCAAGGGATGATGACGACTTTACTACCTTCATACAAAGGCTGCCCACAGGCCCACAGCTGTCTATTGGTGATCTCGGAAGCGGTTTTTTGGCCCTCAAAACGTCTCCGTGTAGAGTCTTGGTAGAAACGAAATCCCTACATCCAGGGTGCATCCAGATGACCCAAACGAACGGCGTCGTCCCACCCGGAATTCAGCAACTCGCCGTCCCCAAGGGTCATCCTCCGACTGATGAGTGATGGGCGCTTTTTGGACCGAGGAAGAACAACCCTGGTGAAAAAGATTGGACATCAGTGGTTCAAAGATAAAAGCATGAGATGGCTGGAGGGTCTGGTTGGTCTTGCTGACCATGAATGGGATCACGCCACACACGAGGTCCGACCTCAAAAGACCAATGAGAGGTGCACTGTCTGACTGTTTGACTATTATAGATTTGGATTCACAACCCATTTTCAGGGCATCCATCTCCAGATCCCTTCAACTCCATATCCCTCGCCAGAGCCTTCCAGATCGGAGCCCAGCTTGGCCGCCAGCCTTCGGCTCAAAAGCTCCGCTCACCGCCCGTCGCGCTCCTGTCGCGCTCTGCTCCCGGTCGTCTCTCGTCATGGCGCCCACAGAGATCTCCACCATCGCAGAGAACGAGTTCGGCAGCGCCTTCGAGGTGGGCTCTGCTCGAGAAGGGCTCTGACTCTTTGGTTTTTTCTGCTTGGAAAGGAGGTGAAGAGAGAGAGAGAGAGAGAGAGAGAGAGATGGCCACGTTTGGCGGCGGAATGGTTCCAGAAGTTACAGTGCGTGGGTATGCACAGAAGGACTATGACCAAAGTGGGCTAGAAAAGGAGTGCAGAGGAATAGTTTGTTTTCAAGTCTCTCACTCAAGTAATTTTAGCTTCAGGGAAAGGGAAAGCCAGGCAAAGAGCCGGCAAAATACCCTGAACCCTTTTGCAGAGCCTGGACGAAGATGTTTGGTCGTTATCTCCGGTCCTGGACCTGACCTGCCCCAACTCCGCGCGCCGCGCGCGAGCGCAGGTGCAGATCAAGAGTCCCAACAGCCAGCAGAAGACGGCGGCCCAGCTGCGCTTGGAGTCCTATGCAAAGATGGAGCGGTTGCCTCGCTTGAAAACCATGGAAGGAGCTCCCAGGAGCGGCGAGCGCGCAGACAAGGCCAGGTGTGGGAAGGTTCCTCGCGGATCGCTGCGGATCATGGATGGCTGGTGGTGAGGTTCATAGAGAGGCTCTTCCCGAGTGGGATGGGATGGGGTTGTGAGGAGTTCGAGGTGAGGGAGGTGGAAGACGGGAGAGGCAGGGCTGACTTTTTCGCAGCCCTACGTGGTCCCGAAGCAAGGGTCCACTGTTTGTAGCATATGGAGATGCACAGTCACCAGTCACCTGCGCATGACCTGACAGCCAGAGGAGACTTAGAGAAAAGCATTCGCAAACCTCAAGACTTCGATGAAGTCATACATGGCACACGCGCCATGAAGCTAAGGTGGTTTGGTTCTCCAAACTCAGGAGGGAATCTCAGACAACCACCTGGCAGGTTCCAATTGCTTCTCTTTGTTGCAGAGGTTCAGGGTGAGGCCCAGGTTCTAGCTAGCCGCTAGCCCCTCCACATCGATTGGTCCCCGCACCAGGCCCGGCAGCAGAATGAGCAGAAGAGGGAGGCAGCCGAGCGTGTGCGAATGGGCTTGGCACGAAGCAATGATGCTAAACGGCAGGGATTGGCAGAGCAACTGGAGAAGGCTCATGGATTGCGTCAAGGCCGGAGAAATGGATGGAGATGGACGGCATCTGGGGTCCCTGCGATGGCATTTGGGCCGTTTTGAACATGACATTCCTCGGAAAAGGTCACCCTTTTCTAGACATGGCCTTCCATCGCTTCACCACTTCACCACCTGAAAACCACTGAAAATTTAGAGGAAGATTGTCTTCCATCCATGTGACTTGCTTCTTACGTGATCCTTTTCGATGGAACCGGCGAACACAAAGACGGACGATGGACGGTTCTGGTCGCCTCTTGCGACGGAAAAACGATCACCCAGACACTCCTCCAGGAATATATGCCGATCAATTGACCCCAGATCAACCACCCCCAACCAACGGAGATTTAATTGAGTGAAGGATCTTCAGAATCTGGACATTTGATAGGAGACTTGCAAATTATGAATACCTGTAGATGGTCTTGTGTGTTCCTTGTTGGCAGGTTGCTGTTCTGTTGAGCGAAGCAGCACCTGTCAAAAACCAAGCAGAGGTCTGTGTATAGCAAATTCGTTATGTTACGGTGAGATCTTTGAAGCTTTAGTTTCCTCCTTTCCATCCCCAATCAAAGGTAGACTAGAGTAAGAGATTGGGTGTACCACGCATACCCTGTGGATCCAGTTGCTAGAACAAGTAGGACACCAGTGCTTCCAAAAACAAAAAGCGTAGATTTACAGTTCGAGGTGGATTATGCTTTTAGTGGTATCTAACTCATGTATATGACAAATATACATGTATATACATACGCATACATATCAAATGTACTATATGAATGTGTCATATCTATATCTATATCTATCTAGATCTATATAGCGTGTTTGAAGAATAAGAGTGTCATCTCAGAGCCGTGCGCTCCCAGCTCTTCAGGTGCCATTCACAGCCGCAAGGAGCGTGCAGCACAGCACTATGAGAAGGCCCTCGGTGTGGAGCCATCGGAGAATATCGGAGAGAAATGAAAAACCGGGGTGGTTCCAATCTTAAATGGGCATATTAGGGGCGGTTCATTTGATAGTTGATCGGTGGTGAGTTTTTCTGATTAGACTGGGCTGGCAAAAGGTGGACCTTCATAGAAACTACTCACCATGTTCCGGTGAATCCTCACGATGCTGAGCCGCTGCTTCTTCGTTTCGACGCAGAACCGTGCTCTGAGCCGGGGCAGGTGATGAAGGCCAAGGGTGGCTTCCACTCAACGAAGATCGGGGAGGTTGAGGCGAAGCGCCAGAACTTGGAGGAACAGCTGGAAAAAGCCCATGGCTTGCGTGAAGGCAGGGGGCCGCAGGGCCAACTGGGATGAGGAGTGATGAGGGTGACCTGGTGTGAGAGGCAGGGGATCTGAAACGCCATGGAAAACGATGGAAACGCCATGGAGACCTCATGGAGACCTCGCGCGTAGGGTTTCCATGCACGAATCACTGTGCTAGTCACTGCTAGTATTGCTCATCTGGTGATAGAATGCTTCTTTGGCTTCAGGGAAACTTCCCACTCACAAGGAGCTTCCCACTCCCATCCGACCCCCCTTGTGCTCGACTCAGGTGCCATTCACAGCCGCAAGGAGCGCGCTGCTCGGCACTGCGAGAAGGCTCGGCACTGCGAGGAGGTTCTGGAGTTGGAAGAACAAAGGCCGGAGCCAAGTGGCTCCACACTCCTTTCTCCAGAGGGGTTTCTGGAACATAGGTGCCTCATCTTGCCTGAGATTTGAGATGATTCGGTGCTCGTGTGGGTCCAATCTTGGGTGCTTTGCATCTCCGTTGTTGTTTCCAGTTAGGACCGATTGAGCAGAGGTTTCTCAGAGGCCAATCGACATGGGTCCATACAGCCCAAAGGAGGGCGCCCGAAGTCGTGAGTCGCACCTTGGTGTTTCTGCCTCCAAGTCACGCGAAGTCAAGTCGTGGGGCGCAAGCAACCAGAGGAACACTGAGATAGATTAGAGGACAGAGGCAAGGGATCTCAAAGAACTCCCATGTCCTTTCTCACTCCAAATTTCTTCCATGTCCTTTTCTGTTCCCATGTCCAATTTAGGTCTAGTTCTGCCAGCCACTCTCAGACATCACGCGCCTCCGATACCTACGAACGTCCCATGAAGCCCAGCGGCGTCCCAAAACGGGAGAGCGCTTTCCACGACGGTGGCTGGTCTTCGTGCAGTGATGTGCGTGCGTGTGTATGAATGTATATTAGTCCCAGGCAACCACCCTAAAAGAAGGGAAATGGAGCAAAATCCATTGGGGCAGGGGGTCGTCCCATTGAAAAACAACAACCATGTGTGTTTGATTCATTTCCTGGGCCCACTCAGACGCTGATCTTCCAAAAGGTCGGTCCCAAGTCTGGATAGCAGGTCCTGCATTACAATCTTGATGACCCCACACCAGATGCACAGCTTTAGAGTGTAGGCATTTGATGCATTTGCTCCTTTCTAGGATCTTCACATCTTAACCCCTGGCAGAACGCTGCGGCCGAGCAGGTGATGAAGAAGAAGGATGACGCACAGCAGATGTTGGCGATGAGCGCTGCCGAGGCCAAGCAACGCCTTGAGGAGGCACTGCTGCAGAAGGACCGGAGTGGGCAGGAGAGAGATTGGTTAGTCTGGGTGTGAAAAAACCTCGATCTAAGGGGAGATAAAAGGAGAGAGTTCAGTGATGTGTTCCACTGTTATTGTTTCCAGTTATATACTTTGCATGATTTTATGACCCGAAAAATAAAGGTCCTTTCAAAGAGGAGTGACCAAAACGGTGCGCAAAAGAGGTCCTGGACCGGCCTCTGGCGCCTCGTGTCTCTTTACCCGGTGGGTCCGCTCAGGAGGCGCTCCGTGACCAGAGCCTGGCGGAGATCATGACGAAGGCCACCAAGCACAACGAGAAGGTGGCACAGAAGGCTCTCAGATCGCGAGCCACGCTTGGCCACACTGAGAAGTTGGGATGTTTTCTTTGGGCGGGAGGGATCGTGTGTACCTTTCGGGATGATGCTGCAGAATGGCTCTGTGGACACTGCATGTGGTTTAGTTGGACTTGTTCTCGCATAGCACTTTCTGATGCACCGACACCACTGACCTATTCAGGAGAAACATGGAGAAAGGAAAGCAACGCAAATCGTGTGTCTTCTCAAGCTGAAATGCATTTCCAAGTGGACTAAACGATTCACAGGCCCCGCAGGCAACCCATGAGCCACAACAAGTCAACAAGTGGGTATTTGGAACGAAGCACAAGGATTCGTCCAGCAAGCTGAAACAACTGCTCATCTCCAGTGTTTTTTACTTGGGCTTTCAATTCTTTCTGAGAAAGCCAGGTGCAGGAGCAGCAGATTGCCATGGAAAGCAAGCGCCAAAGTTCCAAGACTCTGCCCCCCTTCAGAGCGTTTGTTGGACCTCAGCATGCGCCTTTACGAGCATCACCTGCCCTACCCCGAGCAGCCCGAGCAGTGAGCAGTGAGCAGAGATAGACAGGGATCAAGGTCTCTCCCACCGATCCTAACAGCTGCGTGTTGCGTGAAACAGGGGGGTGGAGCCAACTCCCGTAATCCGGGGCTTGGCGTGTTGGGGGGAAAATGGTCAGCATCGTGACATGCAAAAAAAAGAAACCAACGCAGACACACAGATTCACATGTTCACCCCCACAGGAATCACTAGAATCGCTCGAATGTGACAGAATGTATGTCATATATGTTATCTCAGTTTCCCAAACACTTCTTGACTTTACCCCCACTGTGCAGTTCCAACTCTTTAGGTTTCTTCTGGGGAGAGGGCCTTTCTGCCCGATTTCAAGCGGGGGAAACTTTTTCGTCGGCCCCTCCCCACCCGTTCGAAATGGAGACCTGAAGACGCTGACGTTTAACAGCGCAACCAGACGCAGACCTGTGTCGGGTAGTGTCGGATTTTCGCCAATGGCTGCATGCGAATTCCTTTGAAATGGCAGGGTCTTCGTTCAATGAGCAACGAACCACCGAGGGCCGGCAGACAGGTGAAGTGATGGCAGACAGTTTGAGTGTGTGGATCTATCGCCCGAACTGGCGGAACTCGGTTCATTTGGAGAAGCCCTGTGTTGTAGGCCGTGGCAAATGACCATCCTCCGCTTTCGCTTATGGAGGAGAAAGGCTGCACACAAGGACGAGGGAGAAAGACCAGGATACGTGATGCTTGAACAAACACCTGTGGTTGAGGTGAATACAGGTTCATGTAAGTTTCACGGACGGAACAAGTTTAGGGGCTCTGGGGAGACACCTTTCTCGAGCCACGGTGGACGTTTCTGCAAAACTCGTGGTGTGGCCCGAAATCTTCGTGCGAAAAAAACGTCTGTTGCTTGGGCCGAGATCTTCATTCACACCGGAGCTCAGCGCCCTCTGGGAACGTCTTCATGGCCTTTCAGAATATGATCAGCAGCACCTATAAGGAGAGCCGGTTTTCTGGGGCATTTTGATGCTGCGACGCGGTGCAGCGATTGGAGAGGAGCTTTGAGAACTTGTTGGACTTGTTTGACCGCATGTTGACTCATGACCATAGTTCAGGCACGTTTATATAGTTGCTTTTTTGATCTATCATTACTCTATGAGAATGATCGAACATTCGGCAGAAAGACGGTGGTTGCAAAGCTTTTTCTGAGGCTTGCAAGGCCAACATACACAAATGACCAGCACAAAGGACTGTTTCTCTGCAAATTCTAAAACAAGCTACTCAAAAAGTCCACACAGAGATGCCAGCCTGTGAACCACCTAAACCCTAAACACCAGGATTCCTATACCGCGCAGTGGATCTTGGTGAGTTTGTACTTCTTGCTCGCGCTGCTGGCGGTGAGATATTCGAGCTGGCTTTTGAAGGCACGAGGGTCCACGAGAAGCGACGGATTAGGCGCAGAAAACGGTGATAAAGAAATAGAAGGAGATCACAAGCGATGGTCCAAAGGCTACACTAATTCGAGATAATTATACATATATATATATATCAGGAGCTTTTGGGAGGCTGCGCTGTAGCTTCGCTGGTGGCCCCGATATAGGAAGCACCCTGTCAGACAAGCCGCTGTTGCCACACCTTCGCCCGCCCGCGGCCGAACTCGGTGTGTCGAGGCCTCGCGGCTGGACCAATGGCTTGATTGGTTGATCCCCAGTCTCAAGGACCGGAAAATACGTTCACTCGCACCGGGGACGCCTGGGACACGCATCGAACGGAAGGAACGGACGTGAGATTGCAAGTCGTTCGCCTGAAGAGGTGTTGGTCCGCCTTAGTCGCAGGGTTTTTGGATGTTTTTGGGTGATCATGAGGCCCCCGATCACATCAATTGCACATTTTCCCCTGATGGCACTTGCGCTTGATTCTTATGGTGATGATCCGCATGGTGACGTGTTCGTACCATGTTCACATCCAATTTTGGAAGGACATATCAGGGGTTTGGCAGGTACAGGGATTTTCCGGTGGCAAGGGGTCCTTTACAAGTTTACTTGATCACACCGTGCCCCGATCCAGTGTGTCCGCTAGTTACAGGTTTGCCAGGCAACCCTGACCACAGCGAGGTGTTTGAAGGGAGTCCAAACCGGATGCGTTTTCGGTCATCTCTTCCAACCCATCCGCCCGGCTCCACCCTCGCCCTCCTCCCTCCTCGCCCACATCTGGGTGCTCCAGGTCAAGGATGCCTTGCCGGATTCACTTCCACCCTGGTTGGAGTTAGAAGAGCTGCTGATGAACGTGGGAGGTAGCCATGCCGACACCGGGGTCGATGCCGACAGAGAGTGCGAGCGGCGGTTTTCGTGGGTTTTCGTCCGGGGGCAGGCATGAACGAAGCAACGCTTGCAGAGTGCCCTTCAGGCGTCCCAAATCTCTCCAGTGCTCATCACCTACTAGGACCCTTCAACCGGTGTGTCCTGTAGAGAGGTGCCCAGAAATTCACCTGTTAGCTCTGCAGATCCCAAAAGCCATCCTCCGAAAGCTCCCAGACTGATCAGTGTGGTCGTCGCAGTGAGTGGCCACTCCGCATGACAGGGGTTTTCAAGGGGGGGGTTCGCATGACTTCCACCAGGCACAGTGGAAGAGCTGGTGAAGCCTGGACCTCTCTTCGTGGATGACCGCGTGAGCACCTTCTCGGTGTGCAGCCCCGACAGCAGCGTCAGCGTGCTTGAGGCGCTGGCGAAGCAACGGAGCCGGAGTTGTTGATCCGTCAAGTAACCAAAGACAAGACCACACGTGATCGCTGGTCCACATGTTGATGCTTTGGCTGTTGCTGTTGCTGTTGCTGTTGCTCCTGCTGCTGCTGCTGCTGCTGCTGCTGGTGCTGCTGGTGCTGCTGGTGCTGCTGGTGCTGCTGGTGCTGCTGCTGCTGTTGCTGCTGTTGCTGCTGTTGCTGCTGTTGCTGCTGTTGCTGCTGCTGCTGGTGTTGTTGTTGTTGTTGTTGTTGTTGTTGGTAGAGACAAAAACAGCTGCCCAACATAGTTGTCGCATGTTGCAAGTCAGGGATTTTAAAGGGACACTGTTAGGGATAGGGTCGAAGGTTTGGAGAGATGTTAGTAGCTGGACTTCTTGTCGTTGTGGTGCTCAAGTCTTGGTTGGTCTGTTTCTTGGTTTTTGATGTTTTTTGGGGTGTTGTTCTGGAGGGGGGGGTCAAAAAACAACAACGGGGCTGCAGATTTTGTTTCTAGGGGGGGTAGAGACAACAACATCTTTTGAGGGGGGGGGTCCAAAAAGCAAAAAACAACAACAACGTGGCTGCAGTTTTTGTCTCTAGGATGTGGTGGAGGTTCTAAGTAGAAGTTTTACAGAGGCCCCGCTGACCGGACTACTACTACTACTACTACTACTACTACTCCTACTGCTACTGCGACTGCGACTACCACTACCACTACCACTACTACTACTACTGCTACTACTGCTACTACTGCTACTACTACTACTACTACGACGACCACTACAACAACGACTACTACTAGTACTAGTACCACTAGTACTAGCACTAGTACAAGCACTACCACTACTGGTAAAAGTACATGTTGGCTGGTTGTTTTGTGGGGGGGTCAAAATAACAACGACGGGGTTGCAGATTTTGTTTCCACCCCCTTGCAGTTTTTGTTTGTACCTTCTTGGTAGAGACAAAAGCAGCTGCCCAACATAGTTGTCACATGTTGCAAGTCAGGGATTTCAAATGGACACTGTTAGGGATAGGGTCAAAGGTTTGGAGAGATATTAGTAGCTGGACTACTTGTCGTTGTGGTACTCAAGTCTTGGTTGATCTGTTTCTTGTTTTTTGATGTCTTTTGGGGTGTTGTTCTGGAGGGGGGGGGCCAAAAAGCAACAACGGGGCTGCAGATTTTGTTTCTAGGGGGGGTAGAGACAACAACATCTTTTGAGGGGGGGTCCAAAAAACAACACAGGGGCTGCAGTTTTTGTCTCTAGAGGTTCTAAGTAGAAGTTAGAAGCTTTTCAGAGGCTTAGCTGACCGGACTACCACTACTACTACTACTACGACTACTACTACTACTACTCCTGCTACTACTGCTACTACTACTTCTACTTCTACTACTGCTACTGCGCCTACTATTACTACTACTACTGCTAGTATTACTAGGCTGCTTCCACTTCTTCGACTACTACCACTGCTACTACCACTACTACTACTACTACCACCACTACTACTACTACTACTACTACCAGTATTACTACTACTACTACTACTGCTACTACTATCACTACTACTACTACTTCTACTACTACTACTACTTCTACTAGTACTAGTACTAGTACTAGTACTAGTACTACTACTACTACTAGTACTACTACTACTACTAGTACTACTACTACTACTACTATTACTACTACTACTACTACTACTACTACTACTACTACTACTACTACTACTATACTACTATACTACTATACTACTATGTTACTATGCTACTATGCTACTATACTACTATACTACTATACTACTACTACTACTACTACTACTACTACTATACTACTACTACTACTACTACTACTTATACTTACTACTTACTACTTACTACTTACTACTTACTCCTTACTCCATACTACTTACTACTTACTACTTACTACTTACTACTTACTACCTACTACCTACTACCTACTACTTACTACTTGCTACTACTTACTACTTACTACTACTACTCCTACTACTACTACTCCTACTACTACTACTACTCCTACTACTACTACTACTACTACTACTACTACTACTACTACTACTACTACTACACTACTACTACTACTACTACTACTACTTACTACTAGTACTACTACTACTACTACTACTACTACTACTACTACTACTACTACTACTTACTACACTTCCTACTTACTACTTACTACTTACTACTGCTACTACTACTGCTACTACTACTACTACTGCTACTACCACTGCTACTACTGCTGCGACTACCACTACCCACTACCACTACCCACTACCACTACGACTACTACTACGACTACTACGACGACGACGACTACTACTACTCCTACTCCTACTCCTACGCCTACGCCTACGACGACTACTACTAGTACTAGTACCACTAGTACTAGCACTAGTACAAGCACTACCACTACTGGTAAAGGTACATGTTGGCTGGTTGTTTTTTTGGGGGGGGGCAAAATATCAACGACGGGGCTGCAGATTTATTTTCCACCCCCTTGTAGAGACAAAGGAACAAGATATCTTGTAACGGGGCTGCAGTTTTCGTTTGTACCTTGATCTTGTTGTTGTTGTTCTTGTTCTTGTTTTTTCCATGACAAGGTTCGCCAATGCACCCGATCCTCCCGCTCTAAATGGCTGACTGTTTCACCTCCTCCATCACCGCCACGCAGGCCACTGATCACGCTCTCCTCCCCGACTCGCAGGCAGATGGGGCCGGGGGGGTGTGCTCAAGTGGTGTTGATGTTGCTGTACAGATGGGAGGGACTATATAGATGAAGATCTCCTGTGGCTGCCAGAGATCCAAAAAGATCGACACCTTTAGCAAGAAGCCCCCAGGCGTCTGCTGGGGGAGGCAGGGCCCAGCCAGAAGAAGAACCATCGACCATCACAATCTGTGACACTGAACCAAGTCTTATTTGAGCCAAGACATTATACTTACAATTTTGGACATAAACTTCAAAACACTCAGAATAAACTATACCTGGCATACCGGCATTCACACCTAGCTTGAGTACGCAAATCATCGATAGCTGGTGGTTCAGTGACTTGATGTTGGCGACTTACTGGGTTCATTCCAATTTTTTTGCATGTGCTCGAACTTCCTGTATTATCATTGAACAACTTCTCTTCCAAGTTATAACCTGTGCCGATTGAGGCGGTTCCTTCACAAAACTGGTTACTAAGATGAAACGAAAGGAGTGCCAGCGAGAGCTAGACGCCAAGAATACATCTTAGATCATCTTAGAGTCTTAGAATCCCATGGATGAAAAAGAAACCGCAACAACATACTGATAGAACATGTTTTGATCAGTCGATACTTCCTCTCTCTCTCTCTCTCTCTGTCTGTCTTTCTTTCTTTCTTGCTTTGCTGACGCGACGCTTTCCCTGACTCAGGACGCCACCTTGGCCCTGCCAACGCTCGTTCCCACGTCCCCGACCAACGCGGACTCCGCGGCGCATCCCGCGGCGCGGGATGCGCCGCCGACGGGGCCGCGCTTCGCCTTCGGCGTGGCGCGGTACATCGCCTCGCTGCACGTGGTTTTGGGTCACCTGAATGCCCGCGGACTGGCACCTTCCTCCGTGTGGCCCGGATTTTCTAATTGGAGGGGAGGGGCTGCAAGTGGGGGGCGTTTTGGGAGGGAAAGTAGGTGATGAACGTGTGGGTCCATGTCGATGAACCGGTGGCGGAACTTGATCGGAACAAATGGCGGGAAGAAGAGGTGTACGAGCCAGCCTCCTCCGAAGATTTCCGAGCCAGCATTTCTTTTGCTTGTTGCCAGCCAGGGTCAATATACAACACAAAGCACATGTCTAACGTACACAAACACAAAAATTACTTGCAAGCTGAACAGGCACCTGCAAACTTGACAGGTGAACAGCGAGGTTGTGGAAACAATCCATTGTTCGCATCGGAGCGTGTTGATCATGATGCCTGATTCTGCGCATGCACAGATACTGTATATACTGTATACAAATACAACAAACACCGCGTTTTGAAGGTTCACCAGTGTTCAGTCACAAAAGAGCTGTTTTCAGTCACTGGGCTAAAAGTTTTGGAGATGTTGGTTCCCACAAGGGTCTCTTTTCTCCGAAAAGAGGAAAACAGGTGTGGCTGCCGTGTGGATACCTAGGTATCTCTGCTGCTGGGGCTACACCTGGGTGCCGTGGTTCTTCATGCTGAGCGGCTTCATCTTATGCGCTGCGGAGATGAACAAGCCGCGCCAGGTGCCCGACGCTCGTCGGGGGCGTCCCGGCCCGGCCCGGTTTTCTGTGTCACATGGTCAGGGTGTAATCTGCTAGTTGCAAGTGAGGGCGCCACATTGACATAGGAAGGATGGGGGTCACCTGGGTGGCATTTGTCAACATAACTCATAAATCAGTATCATAGAGTCCCGACTTGCCAAGGCACCCATTGTCGCCCCGGGGTTGGTGATTCATGCCAAGTCTGAAAATGCACCGGTGTGTGGTTCCACCGTCACGTAACCAGCCGGACCAAACCCCTCGCTGTTTTAGCAGGGTTTCCTGATAAAACAGTTGACTGTCACTTGGGGGCCCTGGGGGTGATGTGGGGAGAACCCAATGTCATAGCCTTGTAGAATCTTCTCATGCCAACATCTCAACAAGATGAGTCGTTTACCGCGGGTGCCCACAACGGTTCCCTCCTACGTGTCGCGGAGGAGGGGCCTGTGGAATATGTGGCCAGAAGACTGGCCTGGGGCCCCGGGACGAGAAGCAAGGATGACTTGAGACAAGACCGCTGGGCCCACGGGGTTTCTCGCACAACTGTCTCTGTGCAGTGGTTGCCCTCAGCAAAGCGTAAGGCAAACACGAACCTCAACCAACGGGTCTTGGTCTATTTCTCTTCTTGCGGGTCCAACTGGGACGTCTCGCTGGTCTGTTCGCACACACCCGGATGAAGAGAACGCCACGGACCTCCCACGCCGAACGAACGCGTGGGGAGCGATCTGAAGCGCCGCCTGGTACCAGAAGCTGTTCTTAGCTCTTCAAGGATCGTTGTGCTTGATTGTCCCCTGCCTTCGTTCTTTTCAGCCAGCTCCACTGGCAAACTGGGTGATTTAGCTGGGGGTCCCATGATGGCAGCCTGCTTGGAGAAAGACCGCTGCACTGCTTCTTGCAAGAAAGATGTCCACATCCTGATTAGTGCATGGCTGCATATGGTTGCCGAGGTCACCATATATCCTGTCTATGCCTTTGGCCTCCTCCTCTCCGCCTGTTTAACCTCAGCAGGGCCTCCCTGCTGGGTTTTGGTACTGCAGGCTCGATGCACGATCGGTGATGGCATTGGAAAAGCTAAGGGTGTGAAGCACTCATCACTAGAATATGGACACCATTTTCTTGGATGGATGCTCATCAATTTCCCGTGTTCAGACAGGTTTCGAACATTGAGGCTAGGGTTTCAAGGATGGATGTGACCACAGATGTGTTTTCTCCAAAGGCCTGGTGGCAAAACGGCAATGCTAGACACTGAGCCAGAGGAATATGGTCTACCCAAAGAGTCGTTCCAGACATCATCTCCTCAGGGTGCAACAGAACCATATCCTGGTCGAACCCCCCTGTTCAAACGAATTGTCAGTGAATGATCCCCGTCTGGATCAACTGCTAGTTGGTGACACCACTGAAACTGTTGGAGTTACAACTTGCATCGATTCGCCGAAAAGCACAGAGAAAGTTGACTGGTCTCAGAGAGACTTTCCTGCCAACGCCTGTATTTTTGCCGTGAATGCTGCAGGAATGAACGTGCATGGCGAGCGCAAGAAACATGAATAGTATTGAAGATAGTGTTGTATAGATAGTGCAAATGCAAGAAAGTCCAAGCGCTCAAGAGTGCGAAGGAAACCACTTTCGGGAAGCAGTTTCCCGTTTGGTCCCGCCTTTCAGACCAAAAACTGGCCAAGCAGACCACAGCGACTTCAGCGCCTTCCCATCAATCTCCGCTCACTCGTTTTTGCATCGGCGCCAGCGCAGGCCTGGCTTTTGCAGGCCTGGGTTCCGACCATCACAGAGTGGGGCCTTCAGATGCAGCGTCTCGGCGCGAATAGGATGACTCTGGGTGGACCACACGCGCTGAACCTTGCTTTGGGGAGGCAGAAAAGGCCTTCTCTTTGATGTCTCTGATTTGGGTTTCCCCACCTGAGATTGGCCTTGGAGTTACGGCAGGGGCAGGGCGATTACCATGCATTTTCCCATGATTCTCCTGTCTTTTGGGCTCCCAGTTAATCCACAAATGCAGCGTTGGTTGATTGATTGACCTCTGATCTCGTGGTCTCGAGTTAAGTTACAGTTACGCTTTTTCCCCCACCAGCTTGGCAGGGCATTGCACGAGCATACGACTTTGTAACCCTCCTTAAACGACCATCTATCAGCCAGTATGAAGGTTTTTGTTACTAGACGTTTGGACCGTTTTTTTTTGATTCCCCAATCTTTTGCTTTTGCTACGAATGAGTGTTTTTGCGCGTGGTGGCGCCGCCCTGCTTCAAGGTGCTGGTTCTTGTCCTGCTTGGTCGTCTACTGGGCCATGTTTCCCTTCCTTTTTGGGAGTCTTGGACAGCAGCAGGTGCGCTTGTTGGGTGTCCATCTATGTCCATGGCCCAGTCGAAGTGCAGGGAAGAGCCGGGGTGTGTTGAGTCAGGTGGATGGCCGCTTTGGTGAATCTCTTTGGACAACACTTCCAAGTGCCAGTGCTTGCCTGGGAATGTAATACAACATAGTACAACCCAAACAGTGAACAGGTTGACTAGATTGCATAAGAACGCCAGTGATGTTGTAGGAGAAACCCTGCACCACTTCAGATGGGATCATCCCAGCAGCCAGCATTTGTGGAATTAATCATGAAGGGTAATTACGTGGTTCTCATTTTCTCTTTGTCTCCATTTCTCCATCTGTCTCCATCGTTTGTAGGACAAGGTTTGACTATCCTAAACTGATATCACCTACAGCCTACAGAAGCCGCGAGGCGAAATCCTCGGGTTGCATCGAGGCAGAACATCGTAGACCAATCGACCTCTGCGGATGAGAGATTGGGGCAGATCGGGTTTAGGGGTACATCTTTTTTTCACGTTGAAACTAGAGACTGCTGTGGCAGGTGAGTGTTAGTAGAAGAATCGGAACTCATCTCGATTCGCATGATTTCGGTATTCAAGCTGTTCTGCAGCAAAAAAGCATGCCTATGTAGCACCAGGGATCAGGTTTAGTGCAAAACTTTGCCTGTGCAAAACTTTGCCTCTCCAGTCTGCCTTGTTTTGGCATCCATTTGTCCGCCACCCCAACAAGGCCCATGCCCATGTGCCCATGTGCCTTTGAGGATGGTCCATCGAATGACCATGCCACAGGCAGGGTGCATGATCAGGGCACGTCTTGGACCGGCCGGAGGATGTGGGTGACTCTTCACATGACGAGTACGGACACCAGGAAGATTTACCTCGCGCTTTGGAACCCAATGTGGTTCCTTGTTGTCATGAACTACGCATCCTCCTTTCACAAATTCACCTTTTGGGCATGCCTTAAGAGGAGGACCTCCAGGTTTTCGTCATCGACGGCAACAAGGGCGTGGTAGATGGAAAACCACGTTAAACACCATCCCCCTCTATCAACGGGGCAAGCAAGTAGTAGATGGAAAGCCACGTTAAGCACCATCACCGTACGTCGGCGTTCCTTTTTTTTTGGGGGGTAGGGAGGGCCTCCGGAGCTTCCGGGGCCCTTCCTACCCCGCCCCGGGAAATTCTACAAATTTGGGGCAGTGATTGCACCCCCTTGTTCTGCTGGCTTGCCCAGGCCAGGCAGACAACATGAGGGCAAATACCTGGCGACAGATACTCCAAGACGAGTCGCCTGTTAAAGTCGTTTGTTGGTGCCCAACGAAAAGGGACTGAGGGAGAACTATGAGAACTGACCCTCAATAGTGGTCGTCTCTTGAGATGGTATATATATATATATATCAGTTTTGAGTCTCAAGGTTCGTTTGGTTTATCGATGCTCTCTTTTTCGGGACTCGCTCTGATTTGGACTGCCGGTGCTGTCCCTTGGAATTCGTGGCCGGGGCTGTTGTGCAGGCCGCCGTTTTTGCAGCACTTTCGGCCTGGGTCATTTTTCACACCGGGAAGCCTTTTATTCATGTACATTTACAAGGGTGTGATGAGTGATCCGCAGCTGACCCTACAGTGTTGTTTGAACATGGTTAACAAGCATACACTTTGGTTTGCCTGAAGTAGACACTCACACCCGTGGCCAGTCCGAACGGATTGCACTGAAGGTTGTGGGAGGGTTCCCTCAAGTGTGCAAGACATGCGGGACGGTCCTGGAAGTCCAAAGAGTAGAGCTGATGGAGTGCTTCCAACCCAACCAGTCACAGTCAAGTTCTTTTTTTGACCCCACATGAACAAAATCAAGTGGATAGCATCTAGCTCAAAACACTTAGGACCTAGGATTTGCCTTACATGGCTCATGGATTAGACCCCATCGGGCAGGTGTGTTCGCAGCTGCTTTTGTGTGCTGACGGCCCCCACGGCCCCTTCTTTATTCCCCCAAGAAGCCAGCATACAAGCAAGAGATTCATCACTGCAGATGGCCCTTGGCGGCTGACTCCTGCCAGAGCATGTGGTGTTGGGTGTGTTGCTCAGGCGATACTTGGAATGGTGCTTGCCGTTTGCGTACCAATCCTCTACTTGCTCATCCCGGATTTGTTCTATGGAAACGCTTCCTGGTATGTAGCTCGGCATCAACAATTGGTCGAAGAGACAGGGAAGCTGCTACTGCGACGGAAACCAGTCACAGCTCGGTGGCTTTATCCATGACACATGCAAAGGGATCAACCATTTTGCCAAATCCACACATGTCCTTGTTTGCACCCCCCATCAACAGTTGTGTAGTTCCAACTTCACGACCGCAACAGACACCCGTTTTCAATGAGAACCAAACAACAACACCCAGTTTGTTTAGCCACCATCGAGATCTCGCCCTTTCTTTGCCTCGGTCTCGTCCAAGGAGTATCATAGTTGGGGCCTCATGAGGAACTTTGAGGACTCCTTGGTGGTGATGTTGAAGTTCCATCCCATGTGCAGCTTGCCCACCAGCAGATGGCTGCAGGGACGGACATCCGAATGGCTTCACCACAGGGCTTCGTCCGGTGAGGGCAGAAATCCAAAGCAATCAATTTAAGTATCGAGTCCTTCATTCGGATGTAAGAGATAGCTGTGGGTTTGGGAGAAAGGGCTTGTTTCCATTTTGCTGAATTGTGCTGTTATTTTCCCCTGCTTGATCTTTGTGATAAAGTGCAAGTCCATCTACTGAGAGTCTGAGGGTCTTCACAGCTGTGGTGAACGCGTTGGGGTGGGCAGACGAGGAGTTGAAACACGTAGACACTCTCCACAAAACTTCCTCCGAGAGCTGGTCAGAGGAAAAGGTGTGCAATTGAAATCAAGACTCTTCGAACAGAAAAAGATCATCTACGTACATGACACTAGGAACGGATTGGTATGCGGGTGAAGAGCTTCGCATTGCACGATTTCTTCATGTTCTTGTCACTGAAATACTGCAGACCCAGGATGAGGCATAGGTCATGCTCCACTTGAAGGGCCCTGTTTGCGGAGCATGACCTGGTGATTAGCTCAAAGATGATCTGGCCAATCTCAGCAAAAGCCGAGGCTATGTTCACGTCTTCCTCTTGGGCATGCTGCTGGCTCGATTTCGAATCCTCCTGCCGGGACACTCGATGTCCCTTTTCCCCAAACTGACATTTTAAACGTTAGTGAATCCCTTGAAAAACGCGTTATACATGGCCTCTACATGGTTGAGGATCACTATAGCAACAAGCTCCTTTGCAGGGGGTTCTTTCTGGACAAGTTCTCAAGGCCGTTCTGCATTCATCAAGAGCATTACCAGCAAAATGAAGCGGTGTAGTTCTTCAGCGCTGTAATCTGGCTGATGCTGACTCATGGGAAGAAACATTATTATGCCATGCCACTGTGGTTGAAGAATGCCGAGAGCACACCTTGTTCAAAGACTCCGAGCATCCAGAATCTCCTCAAGCCGAGAACCTTGACCTACCACGGTTTGCTGACACCACTGTGCCGATCGCATGAAATGAGGGCATATCATAAATCATCATAAATCCTGATCAACCCACCGATACAAAGGAAGACACTGAGTCTTCTCACTGCTGACACGGCCCGAGGCATGACATTGCCGGCTTCAAGGCTGGCCACTTCAAGACATATGCATACATATGCGGTATACGGCCCATTGAGAGATTCCGATGATGGTGACATGCTCAGTATGACAAAGCATGCTCCCCCAAAACAATTCGAGGCGGTACTTGTAGAGGAAGGAAGTTGCGCGCAAGATTTGGACATATGCACGCGGGATATCGCGGGATCATGCGGGTAATGCGTGTTTCGTGCATTTGTTTGGAGCATTCATCCCCTGAAAAGATGCGTTCAGACGCGCTCAGCCATTTGGCTGCGCGCAACCCAGAAGTTCTTGAGTTGGCAAATCGTGGAGCTTGCAGTAAGCTTCTATTTTAACCCCGGCTTAGTTCCTCCGAGCGACGGCAACCACCCGCCGCGTGCGTGCGTGCGTGCCCCGATGGGACTCGCCTTGTCGACCCCACGGGGGCGGTGGCTCCGTCGGAAGGAGCTGCCAGTGATCATGGACTTTCTGGCGCCCGTGGGTTACCTGGGGCTCCTCTTAGCCGCTTGGGCAGCGGAAAGTCCGGAAGGGTGAAGGGTGAGTCTGGAGGGTGCTGGTTCTGGGAGAAAACATCAAAACAACCATTTAAAGACATCATCTAGATACCTGGCGACTTGGAGAGGAGGTACTTTTTGCTGGTGCTTTTCGAGAAGTGAGAGCAGAGCCGGTGATTCTCTTTGAGGTGGGGAGTTGTTCAATGACCGGCCGCAGAAAATAGAGGAGTCAGTTCTAAATGTCGATTGTTGATTAATACAAAAAGCCCTAGCAGCCAGCAGGCTTCTACATCTCAATATGTGGTGCTTTAGAAACAGTAGAAACCTGATTGATTGTTGTCTGTTGATTGAAGCCTGGGCCTCTTTATGACACTCCACGAGACAACATTAGAGGCCCAGGCTTCTTCCAGATCCCTCTGCCGAGGTCTTCAATGTGCCAATGGCTGCACCGCCCTATGCGAAGCTTTCAGCGCGGATCTTCGCGCTGCTGCCACTGCAGGTGGGAAGATCAAGTAACCAGAGGAGATGCGACTGGAGGATGTCACAGAGACTTCTCTTTTAGGTGATCAGCGTTCTTGTGTTTGGGCACTTGGAACACATGGGTCAGTCAGTCTTCTGGTACGTTTCAACGGTCATTTGCAGCTGCATCACCCGGATCATCCCTGGTGGCATCCACCTCTTCGCTGCGACTGAGGCGGCAGTGGTGTTGGGCTTGGCGGGTGTGGAAGGCCTTCGGGAGCCCTTCTTGGCCAGGTTCTTCGCGCGACTGAACTTCTTGGACGCTGGGCGGATGTAGAAAGTGTTTCTCTTCAGCGGCGAGGGATTTGGTGAACTTGTGGGACGCGTTTGCCTACGGTTTGAAGACCCGAACCAATTGAGTCGCTGGGGCATCTGGGTTGCGAGTTCGAATGCAGCTGTGCCTCTTGGGGTTCTGGTGAGTGCACCTTGCACATCCCAACATGCCCACCATAGATAATCTTCAGTTGTTTTCAAACCATGCATCCAAAGATAGGGGGTGAAATAGTTATTCCATGTTGTTCCCAAATCTCTTGGGTAAAAACACCAGGCCTTGAGAAGAATATGCCTGGTGGTTTAAGTCTTCGTATCTTCGTATCTTCTGACAAGCTGCTTGATCGTATCACACTAATCTGTCCAAGGAGACTTATTCCTATTGCGTCTACGTGATGCAGTTCATTTGCATGAAGCTTTGGTTTGGCCAGGAGCGTAGAACCCCTCCGCGCGGGTAGAACCCCGTCGTCGACGTAGGCGGGGTCGTTCTTCAACACCCAACACCGAAGCTTTAAAAAAAGGGGTTCAGGGATATTGCAACCGATGCAGGAAGAGATTGTATTCATTTGTTTTCAACTTTTACATAATTTGAATTTGTTTTTGCAACCTGGCAACCTGCCATTCTTGGTAATTAACAGGGGTTGAGGAGGTTCAAGACGTTGAACAGCGGTATCGAAACCATGTTTTTCTCAACCTTCAAGCGGACGCCCATGAGGAGTCACTTGTGAAGCCTTTAGAGTATCCAGGATCAGCTGTCCGGAAGAGGGACTCGGGACACGGTATGCTGAGCCAAACGGAAAGCAAAAGCACCATCAAAAACCAGGGGAAAGGAAAAGAACAATATTTTCCGACGTCTGGAATTGTGCGGATGTTCATTGTTGTGAGAGTACCTGCACTATTGTGCCAGGAGATTGTAATCCAGGGATGCTGTTGTGAACTTTTGAGAAGTATAAGTATAGTTTTTTCTTTCTGATGAAAGTTGCTCGGAACAGCCAGGCTGTATACAATTGTCCTGTCAACCATGCCAAGGCCCAAGAGTGTAAAAGTTCTTTGGTCAATCAAACTAGACGTCAAGCAGTCCTCAGGTCAGACACGTCTGTGCAAAACCTAGCCGACCTAGCTCACTAGCCTGGAGCTATCTACTTTCATCAGGAGTATGATCTGTCCTTCTTCATTTTCCTCATTGCGAGTGCCACCTTTGTTCAAGTCTTTGTCCGGACACCCAGACCGCGCAGCGCGACAGCACGACAGCTGCTGTTTTGACATCGGCCGTGCGGTTAGAACCACATGGGGTTGTCCAACAAAGCTCTTCTTTTTGAGCTTGTATCGCCGGCCTTTCGCGGTCCTTTCGCGTTTGCAGAAAAACCACAGGTGTTCCTTTCGCGCATTGTGATAAGCTTGTTCCATTGCACTGAGTTCACAGTGTTTGGGATATCTAAACAAAGGTTTCAAGGCCATGGATGGGCAGATGCCCTTCCAGGCAATGCGCCCTTTCGCGGGCCTACCGCCGGCCTTTCGCGGCCCTTTCGCGAAAATCCGTGTTTCTGTTCGGGAAAAAGGATGTGTCATGTATTGTCATGTATTGTAATGTTATGCGCATTGTATGTTATAAGTCTAGGTTGGCACATGTCTTTCGCCGTCCTATCGCCGGCCTTTCGCGGACTGCAGTTTCCCTTTCGCGACATGTATGTTTTAACATTTCATCTAAATTCCTTCACTGGCAATAACGGACGGCCCCGCCTGCTCCCTCAATACACATCACTGAAATGAGAATTAAGTAGAATCAAGATAAGGATCTAGAGGGAGGCGCGCCAAGAAGTTTCAGTGAATCTTGGGTTCCAGGCAGCTTTCAGAGAAACCCATCAAATGTTGGTCTGTGCGGTTCAGGATGGCTTTTGAATGGATTCTGGAACCATTTCAGGTGAGGTCCCACCAGGTTGCAGATCGGATCCGAAAGGTTCTAAGCAGGCTCTGAGAAGGCTCTGAGAAGGCGGATGCCACTGATGGCAACGATGGCTCGGGGATTCCAAATGGAATTTGATTGGTTCCGCATTCTATCTACTACTGGAGGATGATGGCTTTATGCACGTGAGTCAAAGCCTCATATCCATGTGCCCAAAGTGAACAGAAGAGTCTGGGCAGGAGATGTTCACCTAAGTACTCTATGCCCAAAGTTTGTAAGTTCTGGCCCAGATCAACCATAGTGAGCAGGTGTGGTTATTATATAATGTTGCTTACACATAGAGCTTTGTAAGGGTATGTAAGGGTCGTACCTTTTCTCTCCGGAACGACCCGGACTCCACATCCTTCCACCCCCGCGATGAAACTTTCGGCGCTCAACAAGCTTTGCTCTTCGGCGGGCACGTCTTTCGCTCTTTGGCGCTTGGGACCGTCAGGTGCAAAAGCCTTCGGACAAGCTTTGGAGGCTCTCGCCCGGTCAGGCCGGAGCCGGTCTCGAAACCGGTCCGATCAATCCTGAATCGGCGGCGACGTGATGCCGTCGATCCGGACCGGTCGTTGTCCGCACGCTGAAGGGATTGGTTTGGGACGCTGTTAGTTTTCGGAGATGTGAAAGGTGTTCACAAGGTGTCGCCAAAGCCGTGGATTTGTGGCGAAGTCAACACCGATTTGACGCAGTGAGTTTTTTTTCCCATCCGATGATGGTCGATCGATTTGGTTGAGTTCTACTCTTCCCCAGGCTGTAAAACCCAGCTGACTCTGTAAATGACGCTGTTCGACCCTTTGAATACGAGAAAAACGAACGTCGTGGTAGCCCGGGCGTCGAAGGAGTGCGTGGAGGGTCCTGACTTCGTGCTTTTGAATGATCGGTTTCCTAGGCTTGGGACAACTCAAATTCACATCGATCAATCTGTGTTGTCATTTGTGATATGAACATCCTTCCCGCAGAGCGGAAAAAGTCAGTTCTGAGGCATAGGTATAGGTTGCAGTTCTTTCCTCCTTCAAAGAGGATCCGTACAGTATCTCAAATATATAATTGAACTGCGCAGATCAGCATCCGATTGCCCTGCTCCTCGGATGATCCGCTGATCTGCTCCACGGCCTCTTGTTTTCTCTCCCATGCTCCAGGCCTCTTGGCTGGTCCCTGCGGTGATGTCGCTGCTGCTGATCCTCCTCTCGTGGCTTGGCGAGACACAGTAAGTGGGATCAAGTGGGCTTCCACTCACTGATTGTTTGCACACAGGGTGATTTGGAGGCCAAGTGGTATGAACTAATGAATGGCTTTGGCACGAAGATGTCGTAGGTTTGGGTGAGTTTTTCTATTTTTATGTTGACCACACAAGACAGCAGCAAGACGCCAGAGTTGGACATGGGTGAAATGAACTTTTTTGATGGATGTGGGATGACGCAAGGCACAAAGAGTACACAGTGCCGTGCTCCTTGACCATCTCCGAAGACCCATGGGCGTCTTACACTCCGGAGTGACTCCAGACCCATCCACGGGCCTTTATGGGTTCCAGCAGATGAAGATCAAATGAAGGGACACGTTGAGGATGCTCTTTTCTTGCTTGGGAGCTGGAGGACTGGGGCAAGTGCCCCCAAAAAGATCTCACTTGGAAGCAACGACAGCGGGCAACAAAGAGATGCCCTTCTTAGGTGCTCCCATATGTGCATACAGGGGGTTGCTTCCAACAGGATGGGACACAATCGCTGGATATCGCTGGATTCTGTTGGCTTGGGACATTTGGGAAAGGTCAGTGAATCGGACTTCAACAATACCATCACGTCGGACACAGATCCCAAGCCTCGAGTCCGGCTTTTCGTTGCTGCTCCTCCCCAAAATGAATGCAACATGACGCAGAGCCACAGAGCCCAGAGTCATTTCTGGTGTTTTGCTGGACCTGCGGCGACCGGGTCTACCCCCCCCCCCCCGGTGGCGCCGCCGCACGTGGTACCGGAGACGGCGCTTCAGGTTGCGGTGGACGGGGGTTCCGGACTGCCGGGTGGGGGTGAAGGGTGAACGGGAGGGGACACAGCATTGAGCTGGTCAAGAAGAGGTTGGGGCTTGGTGATCCAAATGGCTTCTATCTACAGTTCTCCTCCCGAAAACGGTTGGTGAAATCACCCAGATCAGATCAATCGGCTGGCTATGTCCAACAAACATGTTGTTGGGCACTTTTGTGGGTTCCTTGTCATTTCTCGGTGGTCACTTTTCCTGGATTCCTGTGCTAGAGACCTCTCGTTTTCAACTATGCCGATCAGACGTTTTCTGCGGATGGTCCAGGCATCTGACAGGGCGCTGATTGGCTCCATAGCTTTCGACAGGAACTGGGCACAAACTGGAACAACCTCTGAACTGGAACAACTAGCTCCACAAGAACTGGAGCTGAAGGAGCTCCCCAAGCAATCCCAAGCACCCTTTATTTCCGAGACCATCCTGGAAGACCTCCCTTTCGAAACATGACACCTTTGAGGTAACTCAAAGAGGCTTAAGAAGGCTTATCAACCATCTTCTCCTCAAGAAGCGGCTTGGAGAATTCGTTCAATCCGAGAGCGGTGCTGCAGGACCATGTGCTACCGGATAAAGTGGAGGGAGATGGCTACATGGATATCCGTTTGCCTTTGCGATTGGAAGCACAGGAGCAGCTTGAGGTTGAGCGGATGACTCAATGCCCAAGACCAGCACACGCATTTGCTTTTCCAGGAATCAAGGGGACTGTTGCACCATAATTACCGACTGGATTGTCCTATAGACTTGGAATGGAGAACAGCAGTTTGACATCGGTGGCAGGGCTTTGTTTTGGCCGAGCCGTTGACACTCGCAGCTTTCACCAGGTGAGTTTACAGTTTACCCAGCACTTCCTGTCTGGGTGCCCTGTCTGACCTATTTACGTAGGGCCTAGGGCCTAGGGCCTAGGGTAGTCTATGACACCCAGACAGGATGATCCTGGTCTTAGTTGCCTTGGCCAGGACTGGTCGGCCACGGGCGGTGGAGCCACTGGGCCACGGGAGAACGGCCGGGCATGCATTGGATGGTGTGGGACATGAACGGAACGGCCTTCTTTTAACATCCAGAAGGTCGTGGTTTTTAAAAGAGATGTTTCTTTTTGGGGTTTGTCAAGAGAGTGTTTTTGGTTTGTATATGTTTGTATCTTTTCCATTCTCAAGACCTTGGCTTAATATATTAATTATGCTATGTGATGTTGTCTTGGGGACATTTCGCAGTGTGGACTATCAACTGTACATTGAGCAAGGTGGCGCACGGAAGAAACCACAAGGGACATCACGGGACGTGGTGCGGCGTTTTAGACTGACGGTGGAATGACGACCGTGTGGAAGATCTTTAGATGTGCTCCTTGGTCGCCCGTGGCCCTGTGCGGGGATTCTCAAGGACCTTTGGTTCTTCTTGTTCGAACGCATCACGGACGATCTCGCCATGGCCATGGATCCGGAGAAGGGGTCCATTTCGGTGTTGGGCAGGCCAGTGGATGATCCGAGGGCACCGATGTCAACGATAGCTTTTCAGGAGACACGGGAGGAGCTGAATGGGAAGTCTTTGAGACTTCCAGAATGTAGCTATTCGACGCTTTTCCTCATGGTGCCGTGATGGCTACTTGGAGACTATGCCTCAGCTCGTCTTGGCCGTATGCTTGGTGGTCTTTGCCACCGCTACACCATCGAAGAAGATCATGGGCATCCGAAGATCATGGTCCTTCCGAAACTGGCAGTGGAGCTTTGGCTTCTTGTGGGCAGATTTCTGCTTACGCAGGGTGACACATGGAACATCCTGAACATCCTCCAGAATTTTCTGGCCGCGTGTTTTCTGACCGAATTTATAGAAATAAGCTTCAAGTACTTCTCATCAAGTACGAGCTCGGCAAAAATCCTGGAACCACAGGTGAAGGTTGTATCAAGGGTCGGCATGTGTCTAGCTTCCTACAAGCCGGTCTTCAAGCTCTTACTTTGGATTGGATTCTTGTGGCCATGCGTCTCTTGGGTTTTGTGCGTTGAGCAAAGACATACCCAGTATGCGCACCACGACTTTTATGACTTTGACACTGCAGAATATGCGCTGTGTGAGAGCCCGGTGTCCACACCTGGCTTGCAATTGTTGAACAACCCCGAAGATATGGCAGCCTATACCTGGGGCACTCAAAACCACAAGAATGCAGTTTTCACAGTCCTTAATTCTTGAATTCACTTTGGACATCTTTGGTACCTGGCATTGCTCCATGATAGCCTAATCAACGTTAGCTGTTGAACGAGATCAGCTGCCTCGCTGATTTTCACGCGCCCGTTTTTAGTCGGTGATTTTCGCTTGGCTGAATGGGGAAGAAAGAGCTGCTTGTGCCGTGATCCCTACACCAAACAGCCGAACAAGATTGAGCTTAAAGCCCCAACACGATTTCCTGTGATCAAAAAACAACGGGCTTTTCTTGGATCCGGCCTCGCAGAATTCGGTGTTCATTCCTTCGACGAAGTTGAGTTCGGGCAAAACCCAGCATTCCCGGGTTCTCGACCACTCCTTCTTAGATTCCCAGATAAATACCAAGATTCCCACTCCTTAGGTCCTCAAGAAGGGATGCCACTCCTTTTCCTCTTTCTGAATTTCAACCTTTTCGAACCCGCCGAAGCTGAAAGATCCTCTTTCCGGTCGCCGAAGCTTGGATTGTCCACGACGGGTTCGCTCGGGAACGGAACTCCGTGGGGAGCGGGCCGGGGTCGTCCTTGGTGGATCTAAGAGGTGTGATGTTCAGCCAGTCAGCAGTTTTGATTAAAAGAAAACATCACTCTAACAACATGGTTCATGATCGAAGTCTCAGATGGACGTCCATGTGATGGATGTCATCTTCATGGATTGCCCCTCGTCTCTTACGACGGCTCTTTGCGGAGAAGAGACACTCCGAGGCTTTCATCAATCCTTCGCTGACCTTGTTGGAGGATGGGCGCCTCGTGGTGGCCGCGCGCCTCCACAGGTGCGCGGGGATGGGGGTTCCAAAGCCCGGAGAGCGGAAGGTAGGTCAACCGGTCGGTCTCCTTCCGGGTTGACCAGTTGACCTCGGCTGGAAGGTAGGTCTCCGTGTTTGGCCTCACAGTCTCATAGCCATTGTTTTTGGCGCCAGCAGACAATGCAGATGCATCTTTTCTTGGGGGTCGGGCCACGCTGTTCAGCCGAGCGTGGCGTGTGTTGGGTGGTTCTTTGTCTGGGGAGTACCTAGCTGTAGTGGCACAGGGGGCTTTTGCATGAGCAACTCGTTCGGCAAAAAGCACTGACCCGGTCAGCGGTCAAGGTCCTCATTCAGCACCATTCAGCAGGTGGTCATTGCTTTCCATCCCGCCCAAAAAGACCTGGACATGGATGTTCGTCTAAACCCGTTTTCCGGTTTGCACCACGGTTTTCCTCCGAGCTAATGTGATTCTGAGCTGCACTTCCCACATCTTCCGAGGGTCTCCCATCGATCGATTTCCCCACAGGCGGTCTTCTCACCTGAGCCATTTTCATGGTGGCTCCTTGCTGGAGGAGCGTCCGAGTCCCGGTCCAATTCGCGGATGAAAGGAGCGTGCTCCTGATCCTTGGAAAAGGATCCAGCTGATAAAAGTTCAAAGGACTTAAACTGTGACAATTTTTTAAAAATATCAACAGATAGAGACTCTGCGAAACAGCTTGTTAGATCGGTATCTCCAACACAAGGAAGGCTTCCGCCTTCAACCGCTAATTGTCTCCTTGAAGTGGACATGTTCATCACTGTAGACAGGGCCCGTCAATGTCGGATGTATCCTGCAGGAGATTTGGATCTCGAAGATCCTCCTCGGCAGCGTCGCCATGAACAACAAGAGTTGGAAGTTGCTCAACCGTTCCGGGGAGATGCCAGAGATCTTGCTGAAACTTTGGGACGGTCGCCTGCCGCAGAGAGCGCAACAGCTCTTTTGAGGGTGATGTTGGAGGGTATTTTTGGGGGGTGTTTCTTCCAGTGGCAGTGGTCGTATTTACAGTATTATCAATGTTAGATTTTGATGCCCCTCATGTTCATGTATATAAGCAGAAGCTCAAGCTCCTAACCAGATATCCAAAGCCTGGATTCTGGTGGCTTATTCAGTCGAGAATACTAGACCCCCACTCCATGGAAGCGCCGGCTTGGTTTGGGGATGATGGAGGTTTGCGCCGCCAGTGAGGCAGACCACTTGTTGGCACGCCCGAATATCATTCACCAAAGACATTCACGGTCCCAAGTCATGGCTCTTTGAGTTTCCTGCCTCCACTGCGCTGACAAAGTGTCATTCAGGAACCATGCCCAGGAGTCAAAGATTGTTAGGATTTTTCAACCTGCAGTCCCTGGCTGAGTTCCACCTGCTTCACCTTCAGACCACCAATTGCACCTAAGGTCTGCAAATGGCGGATGGCAAGCCATGGATCTATCCCAACATGTGCTACAGAGAGAAATGGCTCCCACAGAATCGGACCATGATGAGGCGTGGGCGGACGCGGGCGTGCGCAGCAAGCACCAGACATCCTAGATGGCTGGATTTGCCAGTGGAGTAGCCTCGAGGTGAGGGACTGTTTGGTACTTTTTCACCCTTCAAGCAATGGGTTTTGCGGCTTTGCATTTTGCTATCTCCCACCGATTTGGGACCTGGAATCCCCCCAGCATCATGCGTGAGGGATCAGAGAACTATTTAAACATTCGATCATGCACCATCTAGGGCCTCATAGAAGGCCAGACTGCCTGAACCGGGCAGAGTCGGACCACCACACCGGCCATGGGAGTCGAAAAACGAGCGAAAACCGGACCAAGTCAGAAGTCTCTTTCATGCCTAACTCTCAGGTCACTGAAGACCTTTTCCATCTTCACTTGCTTTAGGGCCCCTTCAAAGCTGTTGAATATAGAGCCTTCGCCCAAGCCGCTCACAGCCGATCAGGTTCGTTGTGACAGGGCCAGAGGACAGCTCGGGGCGTTTTTTCGTTGGGCGCCGCCGCGCCGCCGCTGCCGTGGGGGTCATGTGGCCACGCAGCTTTCGGCGTGTTTTTCCAGCCCAAAAGCAGCACGTCACTGTTGCAGGATCCCAAGGTCTTCCCCTTGACGCGAAAGGGCTCTTGTGCTGAGTCCATGGCAGGGTGTGCCTTGGTGCTGGGGTCGGACTGCCGGAGCGACTTTGCGATGATTGTGGACCGGAAGATTTGAGACTAACTAGAGTGAAGACCACCAGCCAGGTGAGTTCTAGAGGCAGCCAGGTGTCATGATTTTGCAGCCGGTCTTAATCTCCGGTCTCAGGCTTGCGATGTGGGAGTAGAGGATTTTTCAGGTCAGGTTCCGTTCTCTCTCTCTCTCTCTCTTTTTTTACTCAATCGACCCATTGAGATCCGGTTTTTTTCTACCCGATGAGCTCGCCAGACATGTGCTGTTTTTGCTGCCCAGGTTGGGTGCTGCGAGCTTCCTCAGACTTCTGCCAGACATCCCAGCTCTATTGGAGAGGATTTTTTTGTGTTGACGACTCCCCTGAAGAAACGACCGGTGGATGTGGCGGAAAATATTTGCCGACTAGGGGGCAGTAGTTTTTCTGATCATAATTACGTTCTCCCTGTCTGGGACATTCATACTTGCCCATGCTGAATACATACTCAAATGGGAATGGACAGCCCCACATAGGCACGTCATGGCATGTTTGACTGTAGGGGAGTGCCACTGAATTTCACGAGGGAGGAAGTTCTTCAAGGGTGACAGAGCTGGATTCCCTCTCAGAATTCACTGTGTTCACGGGCGAGCACCGTTTCCATGCGGAGAAGTCCGGCGGTTCCGTGCTGGTCGGTTGGGCGGTGGGGTACTTCTTGAAACGAAGGAAGAGACGTAGTGAACACATGTGAACACAGTGAACGACTGGCCTGGCACGCCCCGTAGTGATCAGAGGCTCCACGCCACCATTAAGAGTGTTCCTGAAGACATCTTAACACCAAAAGGCACAAGAACCCCTCTGAAAGGTTTCAATCCCACCATCACTTCTAGTGTCCTCCCATCCGGTGTCCTCCTAGAAAACCCCATCGAACCGATCGTTTGGCCGCTCTTTCTATCGTAGCGTCCTTGCTCCGTTCGTCGCGATGCCAGGTTCGCCCCTAGTAGTAGCGTCCTTGCTCCGTTCGTAGTAAGGCCATGTTCGCCCCGATCGTAGCTTCGTGTTCCTAGTAGTAAGGCCAGGAGCCCCGATCGTAGCGTCTTCTGATTCCAGGCCATGTGAACCAGAGCTTCTGCGAAGCCAAGTGCAACTCTCGCTGGTGCTCTCCACATGAGGTGCTCGACCGGGAACCGGTCGCTCAGAAGTCAAGTCCAGAAGTCGAGGAGGGATGTGGTGGAGGAGTTAGACTCATGTGAAACTGGGACCTGGCTCTGAATTTGAGCAGAATGGAAGCAGTTGAGTGAATATTATATAAATCATATAGATGAAGATACTAGCTTTGCACGTGGATTCCAATATCATCCACGATGGATGTGCATAAGACCCTTTGGAGCTCTCAGAGGATGGATTGGGGGTCCGTGCAGTTCCTGGTAGAGCGAGGGAACCTGAGCAAAGCCACGGGTCTGCAGGGTCTCCAGTTATACATACTCGGTGTCCCCAAGCAAAGATCCGTGCAGCTGCGCCCAGATGTGCTTGGTGAGTTCATCAGAGCAGTGGTGGAAGTCAACCTGTTTGCACAGTAAAAAGCAAGTTCATTGTTGCTTTTTCTTATGATCTTGTAGTCCTTGGTAACGATCCCTGACAGCCAAGACTAGCGCAAGACCCATTGGTTCTTTTCCTTCCAAAGAGAATTCACCTTCCGGGCATGGTGCAGTCTGTCGAAGAGTGTCGACAGGTGCAGGTGGCTTTCAACTCTTATACTCCCAAGGCCGGGGCGTTGATCTGGCCGAAAGGATTGGGCATGTATTTTCATAGAGAGACCCCTGATCGCCCGTATTTTCATAGTAGACTCGGGTAGACCTGTCTATCTCCCGAACCGAACTCAAGGGGTCGTTGCGTGGGAGGCTTTACCTACATGATCCTACATGTACATAATATACACCCGGATGGCTCTAGGGGTATAGTCAGAGTTCTAGGGCATTACCCTTCCTCAGACCAGACTGACGCAGATCACCAGCGGAAGACCAGGACATCCGTTGCCGGTGTTTGTTGCCATGTGGAAAGCGAACACGGCACACCACGGCGGAGCTCAATGTTTGGTCGCCCACTCTTTGTCTCTTTCGTTTCGAAAACCACCTGGTGGCCTCCTTCACGCCTGTCACCAGGAGGGCAAGAGCTGCGACCATCGCTCCGTGAGCCAAATGTTCCTGGCGTCAGGCGACGTCGGACCCGTCCAACGGTGTTGGTCGCCCTGGGGGTTTTTCGGGACGTTCATCTCCCAATTCTTTCGCTGAAGCACTAAAGAAACAACGACGTTAAGACCAGCTTTGAAGCATGTTTGTTAGGTCTCCCATTCTTTGACTCAAGAAGTTAAGACCAAACAAACATGCTGATCCTTGGATCCCTTGTAGCTCGACCAGAAAAAAACATGACGAACCGCGTCGTGGAAGAACCAATCACCCTGATCTGCTGATGACACCGCGGCTCTCATGTCGGGTCGTCCGACATCCAACGGACATCTAAAAGCATCATCCAAATGGTGTCCCAATGGAGAGTCCATATGACATATGCGACAATAGTGGAGGGTGAGGGCGACATATCCGACCCCATTTATGACATGTGCCTCCCACCGAGTGGCTGAATTGAGATCGGGTCCATATTACATATGTAGTGCAGGGTAGTCGAGCCAGGTGACGCATTGGATGATCCAGATAGTGTCTGTTTGTAGATACAGACGTCCCACACCTGAGACAGATCGATGATCATTGATGCCGACAGACACAGACAGTGCATCCGGCCCAATTCGCTGCGGAACTTGCTCCATCCGCATGGCGCCAGGCGCCAGATGTTCCCAATATTTGCAGCACCTTCTCTCATTTTTCCATCCTCCGAACATCTCGAACCCCTCCACCGGAGCCCGAAAGCACCGAAAGCACCGGGCGCTTCAGCGCCTCTGCCACCGTGTGTTTGGAGGCATCGATGTGGAACGTCCGGAGCTCGTCGGGGCGCCCATCGAGCGGATTTGGCCGTTCCGAGAAAGACCGGAAGATTGGAAGATGGGCATGCTGGGGCTCCAAAATCAGAAAGGACCCCCGAACTGGCTAGCTCCGCTAGCGATTTGATTTTGATTCTTCCACTACTGACGTACCGGGTGCAGTTGGGTTGTTCGCTTTCACCGACAGCATCTCACCCCTGCACCGCTTTTTAAGCGAACTGTTCCCTACATGCCCCCCCCTCACAAAGGTGTCCACCAAGACAAATGACGTCGGAGGGTTAGGAGCTTGATGACCAGAACACACTGCCACTAGAGTCACTAGAGTCGAGGAAGCAATCTACATTTTGGAGTCCATTTTGGCATCTCCGGGGTCGAGCAAGTCCTCATTCTTCGCACTGAAGAGGGGTCGAAACCGAATAGAGGCTCAAGAAACCATACAATTTAATGAAGCATAATATTATATAGGTTGATTTTCCCAGTAGTTGATTTGGTTCATTTTCAGGAGTTCATCGGGGTGCCAGTCATTTGACCCATAGGCTAAGGCCTTTTTTGAGGCACTCTTCCTGCCAGAATCTGAGCCAGGTCAGTCAGGGCCAGCACTTGAAATGTGGACGTCGGGCTCTTAGGCGAAAGCCTCCAGGACTTGCATGGAAGGCGAAAGCAAACGTCGACACGGACACAGCAGGAGAAAAGGAAATGGTGACACCATGGTGACACCATGACACCCCCTTTTGGTTCGTTCTCAGGATCTCAGTCTCTCTCTCTCTCAATATATGATTATATGACGTGAGGATTACTTGACTTTATTGCAGTGGTTGAGACAGGAGATTGACACGTGCCATTCGGTCCCTCTCTCTCACTGGATGAATGTATTGGGGGGCCCGTTTGGACCATTCCTGGTGTGTCACAAAAACATAAAGGAGAGGAGTGGGTGCCACAAGTTTTGCGGCTGGGAGATAGTCAATAGTCTTGCTTCCACTCTTTTCTATTTCTGCGTGCGCCAGGGGGGAAGGGAAGGACTTAGCATTAATTTATCACTTGTCCCGACCATAGTAAATAGTTCATTTCCATAGTCCTTATCCATAGTCCATACTCTTTTGGGGGTCCTCTCGTCCTTCTCCTTCGCGCATTCACCAAGAATTGGACCATAGCGAAAAGAACTGGATCCCCTTTGAGCGTGAGGGTCAGACCTACGTGGTCCGGGCCCCTGGGCATCCGATGATTGGACCGATAGACCGGGCAGATTCCTCCGAGTGGGGGAAGTCAGTAGAGACTCAGTAGAGTCGAGACAGTTCTTGTAGGTCTTGCTGAAGAGTGACAAGCTTTGACGAACAGTCAGTCCGGTTCTGCTGAAAGGGAGTGGATACATGTGGATACCATGCTCAGAAGGCTGGAGCAAATCTCACACTACTTGGATTTGATCATGCTTTTAGCCAGCTACTCTTCTCGGAGAGTACCATGTTTGGAAGATGAGGACTTTATCTACACAGATGGTAACTATGTCAGGAACTGTTGGAGTGTACCTTGCACTTCAATGTACTCTTGCCACACTTTTTCTTGGGCCAAACTGCTTGCTACTTGGATCTGTTTGGATACTTTTTTCTCACCACAGCCATGCCACCCTGGCCCTGACCATGTGGCTTCAGACAGGTCTATAGCATGATCCCTCATCTCGTCCGAGAGCTCAAGGGCACCGGCAGCTGCGGGCCCGGGGCCCTGGGATGTGGTCTACTCCGGACGCGGTGCCGGGGAGTACGGGAAAAGGCTCCCCGCTTTTCAGCATGGAGAACAGGTGGAGGACACTTAAATCCTGAGGATTTGAGTCCATAGCTTCCCTACATAGCAGCGATAGACCGCTTCGGGCGACGGGGATCACGGATGGCACCGAGCCGACGGGGCTCTGGTTCGCTCGGACGGATCCTGAGACGGCACCCGAGACGGAGCACGTTGGATGGGAAGAGGTGAAGACCTGACGGTAACCTTGGCATTGCCTCTGGTTTTGATGGAAAGTGAGAGCTCCTTGGAGTTGACCGTTTTCGTTCTTTCCTTGACCGTCGGGTTTCGGTTTATGTACCCTATCTTTGACCCATAGGCACCTCGGCGTCTTCGGCGAGTCAGTGAGCTGCAGGCAGCAATGGCGCAGCATCTTCCCAAAGCTGGAGGAGATGCAGGCGTTCGGAGGGAAGAACTCCAGCGCTGAGCATTTCTGAGCAGTTCACAGGTTCATCAAAAGACACGAGACCTGGAAGCCAAGTCTCATGAATTGACCAACAAGACGGTTCAGACAGCGACCATTCTCTGCTGGGGTAGGTCACTCCATGAATCGCATTCTGCCATCCCCGTGTCAGCTGCTCCAGTCGCATTTGCTGGACGCTGCCATTCGGGGCTCTGCCTCAGCGATCTACCTGGACGCTTGGGGGCTTAGCACTCAAAATCGGGACACCAGGTGGATTTGCAGTAGACAAATGATGTTCGAGTTGATTTTTAAGAGAGGTCGAGCGGCCAAAAACTGTTTGCGGGGATTGGACTATTCAGCGACGCTGCACAAAAGTTGCAGTACACACTTTTCCCTAGCGCAGGACAATTTCCCTGTAGGTCATAGACTCATAGATCATAGACATTTCAGAAGGTAAACTTATCAGGATTCTAGTAGTTTTTTTATTTCTTCAAAGTAGGGCATGTGCGTGTCCCGCGGCATATCCTGTACCCTCAACAAACTAGTGAAAGAACCACCCAGTGAAAGAGAAAACATCTTCCAATCCAGCTCTTGTTGTTTGTAATACTATATGATGTAATCTAAATATAAATATGACGTCATCTTCTACTGTCTACCTCCGGCGTCCATGCCAATTGTTTCGAATCCGAGCGCAGCCCACCGAGTGCCAGCCCACGCAGGCGCCCAATGCGACAGCACGACTCCCTGAGCCTCACTACCTGGCGCTCTTCCATGCAGCGGATCTCAAGGTGAATTCCATGCGATCACGGGGAGCGAAGGTTGAGGGCTGGGTAGCAGGGGCCAGGCGAATTCCATCCAAAAGCCGAGAATCCATAGAAGTCCAAAGACTAACATCCCACCAAAGTAAAGGACATTCCTAGACTCGGGGTCACCTAAAGACTGTTTTAATGTGTCTTGGACTTTGAGGGAATCGACTACCGATGGAAGATCCTCAAAACATCCGGAGTTTTGCAACTTTTTCCAAGAAATGGGATCATCTTTTTAGTGAATCCTGATGTGACAGGCCATAGGTGGTCTTGTACATCCCCAAGAGTCTTGGGATTGGACCCTGATCCCACGGATCAGGGTCTCCCAAGAACCTTTCGACACCATTGCCACACATGCCAAGACTCATCCGACTCATCCATGCAAATACTTCACCTCCAAAAACACAGGCTTTTCAGAAAACACTCAACCACACCATGGAACCGATCCCGGTCTCCTTCATCACATCCGGTCCATCCGGTCGTCCCCTTCTCACCTTCGTCGTCTTCGCGACACCGGCCACCACACGACCCCCGCGCGCCGGGAAACCAGGTGCGCCGCTACGTGCATTACGCCTACCGCTTTGCGCCCAAGCCGCCCTTTCAGATCCTGCAGGTGCCGGTGGGACGGTCTGTCGGGTGGGGACGGTGCGTTTGGTTCGATCGGGAGAGGAGGGAGAGGAGGAGTTTGGCAAGGGGGGATGGGCATGCTCTGTTGGAGTCACAAGGTGACTGAGGTGAGTGATGTTTGCGGCGCGCCAAAATCGATGCAGAAAAACAACAGGATTAGGGCAATCTAGTCCCACTGCTGGTGTGTCACTTCGACTCTAGCCTCGATGCCGAAAAATATCTGGTCGTACTCTGGGCCATTTTTGCCCGAGGAATGCAAATGCAATTCCATATGGCTGGGGCATCTATTTTGCATTTTTCCAACCGGCGTACCTTGCGGATCGATCTATGATGTTATTGGCTCAGCACATCATGACACAGAAGCAACAGACACAACCCATATTTCCCCGTGAAGATCCATTGAACCGGACCATTGCTTAAAACTAAACAGCCAAGGTTTCAGGTGAGGAGATGTGATCAATATCTGCATGATGGATTGAGGTCATTCTCATTCATTCTCCATCAATCCCCAATTTCCTCCCAGATTTCAAAAGCGACTTTCGTCATGTGAAATGATTTGTATATTATGCCAAGCATCAAAGTAAGCTCCTGATCCATGAAAGTCAGTATCTCCAGATGAGTGATATATAATAAAAACAGAACTCACAAATACATGTGATCAGTATCTCCAGATCAGTTTTTTCAGAGTCCATCACTGCTAGGCTCGCACCCCTTTTTTTGGCCCGGCTTGCCGGGCTGCGGACCGGCCGGACAGTGCGGACCGAAGGTCTCAAAGCCTCTACCCTTGCAGATGCTTCCACCGATGCCCGGGTGTTGAACTCAGCGTTGAACTGATGTGCAACACACGTTGAACGACCCATGATTGCTACCTCGAACTTGCCAGGAGGACTCCACGCGTTTTTTTAGATATGGACATGGTCCTTTTGGGTCTTTGGAGGTTTCTGCTGAACATGTTCGCGACCCTTTCGCTGCAATGACACGGAGCTGCAGGGCGCCGCCCTTCGCGTTTGCCTCGGGCATCTTGCTGCGTGAGGAGCAGGTTGGCACAGGAAGAGCCATCTGAAGATAGACTCCTGTTGATCTATAGTCTTGATACAGATCTCATACAGCTGATGAAGGTGAATGGATGTTTTTGAGTCTGGTTCGTAGAGGATAAGGGTCTCGAGTCTGAGCCAAACCACGCGGAACTGAGCTCAACCGCCGGAGGTGATTCTCACCTACGCAGCTGGGGATCGGGAATCAAGAGCTTGGGTGCTCAGAGTCGAGCAGGCGTCGGTGTCAGTGCATGCTGCACGTCCTGCTGTTGATTCTGCCAGGCATTCCTGTTGATTCTGGCTGGTTTTCTTCAAAGAAAGAGCTATATAGACGAGGAAAAACTCAGGAAAATCACCAGTCACTACTTGAAGAAGGTGAATAATTATCAATTTTCCTGAGGATGTGGATGATTTGTCATGACGAGACTGTTGACCTGATTTTGATCTATGATTTACCCCGATTTGCTTATTTCATTTTTTGATCACTTGGACATACTTGGACCTTGTCTTGCGTGTCATGTTGGTCGCCATGCTAGTACATTACCAAACAAGATGACGCGCGGCACACATATGGATACAACCATACAGAATCCATGTGTTTCCACATAGTCGGAACTTGCTTGTCGGTAAAGATCCTTACCATCATCATGAACTACCAGCAGTGAGGAAGAAAAGAACCCAACACAAGCCTTTATGGCATGTCATGTGTAGTGTGGATTTATCTACAACCAGCCAGCGAAGTCCCACTGGTCTTTGCCGAAGATAGACTCGTTGGTCGGTTTATGCAGCGGTCCTGCTGGCCCTCTCCACCCACGCTCCCTTCTTGACGCCATGAGGGCCTCGTTCTCTGCTTCGAATGAGGCCCTCTTGATGTCCTTGAAGCAGTTGGACAAATACTTCGAGTAGATCGAGGTGGGGGCCCAAATGGCGCAAGAAAGCAAGTGATGCTTCTCAGTTCTTTTAGCCCAACAAGACAATGTAGACAAGAAAACCGCCTTTTATTTGAATGCACTGCATGAATTGATCCAAAATATAAATTGTGGTCATTGTGGTCCAAGTCTCTTTCAACAACATCTCAGAGGCCACTGCCCTGCTGGCGGCCCTTCTGTACAAAGCCCGCAAGCCAACGGCATCGCCGGTCGCTGCCGGGACGTTTCTGCTGCGTCGGGTCTGAGGTCAATGGAAGGAATTTCGAGATTCACGGGTGTTCTTAGGGTTTCGCAAGAATGTTTGAAGGTATCTCGGTATCTGTGAGATATTGGTGGATGGCAATGGTAGGTTTTTACCTTACAAATACAAGCAGCATGGAAGTCTTAAAATATGACATCCTTGGCTTATGCGATTAATGCGAACTGCAAAAACATACAAAGTGCCAAAGAAATTGGTCAGACCCACAAGACAAGGAGTCACACGAGTGCCTACCACAGGCCTCGTGGTTTTTTTTGATCTCCAGTGCATGGCGGTATAAATGGTTGATTCTGTCTGTTAAGCAGGAACAAGGCTTGTGTTTTGAGTAGGAATGTTTGGCTTTACTTGGATCTAGGAAACAAATGATATCAAATGATGACTGGTGTGTGAAGATCGAAACCCAGTGAGTTTCTAGGTGAACAAAGTCTCTAGCATTCTCTAGGTCTTGATTCCCAGCATTTCCTCCTTTGCGCAATCCGCAATCACTGGAAGTTTGGCCGACGGTGAACTACAGCTTTCGGTCGCGTGTGCGGTTCAAAGAGACTGCGCGAAGTTCGTTAACGAGACGAGCAAGCGAAAGCGTCGAGACTCAACGTTGGTGCAGTTGCCAGCAGTTTTCTCCACGCTTTCACTCAAGGACCAGCGGAGCAGAGAGGTTCTCCGAGAAAAAGAGGTTGTGGTTGACTTCGTGTGTTCGACAACCTCGCCCCAAAGACGGAATCATATACTTGGTTTTACGGGGATGCTGAGCTTGCTTTTGCTTAAAATGAAAAGGATATTGACGTTGCGCAATATCATGCCATATCTATCCCCAAAATGTACCTCTGTCAATTTCTGGGAGAGTCTTGGGGTGTCCCCTCAATTCGGAGTACCCAAAGATTGGAGTTTTTGTTCAACTTGGAGGTGCTTTCAGCTAGGCTCAACCGCCAACATACCCCAATCACGCGAAGCCGATTGCCGTAGTGAAGGGGAGACATTTCATTGGGAACTCAGAGGTTTTGGTCAGGTAAAGTTATGATACCAACAAAACAGATCATTAGGGAACTCGGTGTTATTTTGGAACTCAGCGATAGAGTTATGATACGCAGCATGTCCCCAACCCTTCTCTTGGCCCAACACCGACAGCCTTGATTCCGTTGCTCGGCTCAGTGATATCGTTAAACAGAGAATGAACAGTTCAGCCCACCAAAACACCCAGCCATACATCTCCCGTGAAGATGAGAAAGTCAGTCGATTCCAGCTGAACTCACACATCTCAACAAGTCAATTCCAGCTGGAACATGCTTGATCGACGAATCTGACAAATGCCAATGCAACAGCTGAAACTTTTGTACCGAACAAGGCAGCTCTTCCTTTTGACTCCTGTTCTCTTCTACGCGTTCTGACGGCGAAGAAGAGCGCATCGCACGGCCGGACGGACGTTGCGTGACCCCAATGTGCCCTGGCCGAGCTGCGGGGTGATGGCCCGGTCGGTCACGCCTTCTCATCTCTAAAGTCCGGTGCTTTTCCCACAAGTCCGGAAGGTCGGGAATCTGAATCCCCTCCGCTCTGATTCCTGAATTCTCATATGCTGATTCCTTTTCTCAAAAGATAGTCCCAACAAGTCTTGTGCAATCGTTTTTAGATGGGATTCATCGAAAAATGGGAAAGACACGTTTTTCTCAAGCAGAGGTTGAATACTGGGTGGTCCAAATGTACCAGATTTATTATGACATTGAATCATTGGAAGGCAAAAGCTATACGTCTTGTCCAAAACAAGCTACACCTTTTCCGTAGATGTCTGTGTTTCATCCTTTCACCTTCCAATCCGAACAGCGGATTCGTGCCGATTCAAGAGTTTACGAAGCTGGACGGGTTTCCTGAGGTACGATCCAGCGTGCAAGGTGAAGAATACCTTCTTGGAGTTTGCGCCGGTGGAGGCGGGTCCCAATCACATCCCGGCCGTCTCCGCCGGGTCTGGGGTTCAAAAGAACTGCGAGAAATCCGACGATTTGGGCAAACACGGACAGAACGAAAGGACTTTATAAGCAAACAGTGATCACTGGAAGTATGTTACTCCAGTTCATCGAAGCATGGCCATGTTGAGCTCAGGACGAAGCCGCGCTCCGGAAGAGGCGAAGAAAGAGGGCCATCGAGGACCCACTGGTCAAACTTTCAGAAAGCGCTTCTGAGGTGGTTTCTGCACACCTCCCTCCACTCCCCGCCGAAAAAAGGAATGCTGTCTTCCAATTCGTTTGAACTCATATCTATATATTATATATATACTGTATATGGTCATCCATTTATTCTATTTTGGAACTTGGTTGACACAGTTCGTCATACTTAGTTCAACCTCCCAGCCGCAAACGTTTTTTCTCTGCCCGGCTGGGGTACAACTCTGGGGTGACCTGTGGGGCAACAGGGCTAGCAGCCCAGATGAGTGTGGCGACCGACAGAAAAGCCGTTTGACCTGGGAACCACCACGCTGTGTTGGGTCATCGCATCTTTACATTGTTCCTTTTTCTTTCTTAACTTGCATTGAGAGCACCCGATTTGAGAGGCATACAGAAATGTAATATTCATCTACTTTATCTGGTTTAGAGGTAAGTAGAAGTTGACTTTTACTGTGATTGATTCGGGCCATCATTGCTTGCCCCAAGCAGTGGCTGACCACGGCGTGAAGCTCTGGGATTTGTTCCTCGGACATCAGCTGATGTGGGTGCTTATCAGCGATGGGATTTGTGTCCTTGGATGGATGGGTAGTCTTTCATGTTTTGCCCCGTGGTACAACCATCTCCTGGGTTGGTAAACAATTATAGTACCTGTAACAGTCGGTAAACAATTAGAAGGCCAGGATAGGATAGACCCAAACCATCTCATCTTGAATTCATACTTGGCTTTGACCACCCGTCTCACGGTGGTTAACCAGCACATGTCCCCTTCAAGCGAGCTACATCGTAAGTTTGAAGAACGCTTGGCCGCCTTTGGATTTTTGGACACCGGTCAACCCGGCAGAGAACCACATGCCGTGTGGGCGGCATCAAAACTGGTTCGGTCCATACAGTTGGTCATAGAGTTGTGCCGATACCTCGGACCACAGGCGCAGTCGCAGTGATGGGCCCTTAGTGGCCCGGAACCTCGGGCGTGGACGTCGTTTAAAAAAAAACGAAAACAACAACACGGCACAGTTTTCTGCACAATCTTGAAGAAAGGAGATGTCCTTGCTCACTGACCGAAGGAACACTTTTCACACAGTCGCCCTTTGCTATATCCCTGTCTTCTGTCTTCAGACGATGCACATCTCTTCATAGTTTCAAAATATAGGAGTTCACTGGAGGTCAAACTTCTGACAGCTACCAACTTATCCTAGTGTTTCTCAGGATAGCCTTTAGTCAATCCTTTTGGGCGTACTGTCCTGATGACTGTTTCGCTTGTTCTCTGCAAGACATGCTGTGGCACCAGCTGTGGCCTCTGCTTTTGTCCCTGTCTCCTTCTCCGTCCAACATGCTCCGCCCTCCCAGGTGGCCTCCAAATCCCCGAACGCCTCCCCGCTGTGGGGACACTGAGCGAAGGAACGGTCTCGACAGGAGGACACTGAGAGAAGCAGATCCCAAAAAGCATGTTGGTCGAGTTTGGGAAGCTGGGAAGGTCCTAACCGCCGGGTAAGCTTTTCAGTGAGTGTAAAGAATTGCACATTAGAAAAAGAACATGAAGACACATGGAATTTCCTAGGCATCTAGAATTTCTTTGTACGGACCAGGGATTGGGATTTGCCAATTTCCGCAGTGACGCAGAGAAGAAGTGCCATGTAACCATCCCAAAGTCTGTGAGTCTCTTAGGGGTTGGTTGCCTTTGAACGATTCTCCCCTTGACGAAGAGAATCCGGCTACGGCTTGACTATCTAGAGACTTTTGATGGAGCTTTTTCCTATGTGCTGAAAAGGGTTGCGTTCTGGAAGGCTTCAAGAAGTACTTACCGGCGAGTTCGATGGGAGTCACCATCAGTCTTCTGTCTAGTCCAGTCCAGTCTTCTGTCTTGTGAAGGAAACGGAAGATGGAACAAACCGCTGCAACCAAAGGGACAAGGTCCTAATTCCTGTGCATCAAAACAAACCAATCCCCAAGCATGTTGATGCATTACTCTAGGTTCAGATCTTTTGGCGCTAGAAAAGGTCACGGGAGAGCGGAATGCACAGAAAAAAAAGCAAACCAACAAGGATAGACACCTTGCCAACCAGTCAGAGAAGGCCAACCATTGGAAAGCTGTTGCAGCAGGTGATGGGCACAGTAGATGGCGCAGGGGAAGGGGGGGGCGCAGGAGATTTCCACCCACTCCACAAACCATCAACAAAAACATCGCTCCATCTCCTGATGCTTGTACTTGTAGCGCGCAGCTTTCCAGTAGCTGGAGCGAGGCCGTGTCTATGAATAGTGTTGCGCCATCTTATGTGAGTGTTCTGAATTGCCCAAATGCGCCATCTTATTTTTTGTCGGCGCCATCTATCACGAGCCTAGTGTATTACATTTTCCAACCCTCTCATAGATGGAGATATTGGACCAAGCACGGGGGGTTTCACTCATCAACAGCCAACTTTCGTTTGTTCCACAACCGATTTGCTCTTTTCTGGGATCGACACTTTCCTCCCATGGGCTTTTGACAAGAAGCCATCTACCAGGTGGATAGCTGATAGCTGTGTGTATCATACAGCGATGTACTGATATACTACTTTAAAATACTCTAATACCTTTACCACCGGTTTGCTGACATTGGATTCTTACATGATGCACTCCGCCTTTTTGGGGTTTGACGCAGCTGCGGACATGCTGCTGGGTGCCAATGGTGGCAGGTAAAGGTTTTGGGGAGGAGCTCCCCTCTATTTTTTGACCGGGTCTAAACAAGCCACACGGAGCGGTCGAGTGACATGGCCTGGAGCGGTCCTTTTTTTGTGCCTTAGCCTGCCTCAGGTTACAAGCGGTCGATGAGACTCGCCAGGTGTTCGGCGTGTGTTCGGGGCATGTTCGATGAGACGAGCGCCCAGAACAGGATCCGAGGACGACGAGTCGTTTCGCTGGTCCTTTGGCTTCGAGGGTTGGCAAACACTGGTCAAGCAGCGTCTGTTGATGCGTTCGCGAAACAAACAGAGCTCCAGTTCGGAGGGCGGAAACACGATCCTCGGATCCTCGGATCCTCGGATCGCACGGGGCGCCCCTTTCGCCAACGCGACGACTGGTTACAGGGAAACCCTAGTGATCCAACACCCTCTTGCAAGACCTGTAGTGGATGCACTGGACTGTGACAGTCGAGAATCCATCAGGGGATGGAAGGGGGAGCAGATCACAAAGTGTGTTTCTCAATCAAAGATAAGGACATTGCTCTAGGGTCCTTTTGTTGGAATCTCTATCCGTGCCACCAGTGTAATAAAATGGACACTCGCTTTGCTAGACGAGTATAGAACCTCAGAATGGAAGCAAAGGACCCCTGCTCCCACGTGAAGGGTCTAACTCACGTGAAGGGTCTATCTCTGCAAAGAAGACCTTCTCCGGAAGAAGGAATCCATCACATACCATCTAAGCAAGCTTTCCTCTCAGCGTCCCCTTTTGCCCCTTGGACTTGCCTCTCATACCGAACCCACCGAAAGAACCCGCACTGGCAGGCAGTGCCCATCGATGAGGTGGACTTCGAGATGTTGGAGGAGCCTGCCCACCAGGCCGTCTGCGCTTGAACCCTCCGCCCGGGTGGGACGAAAAACACCGGAACCCGTCAGAGGAGGAGATCGCCGCGTCGCGTCGCGCAGACTCAGAGGAGATCGCCGCGACGTCGGGACGATGAGGTGGATGGCGACTCCCCGACGCATGTTCCCAAGACAAGGAAGAGGACGGCTATCGATGCAGCTGGATGGGAGGGGGGTGATGATGCGCACCATTGCGCAGTTGATGCACAAAAGACTGGTGAGTCAAAAGATTGGATCATACGATGTTGTAAGGGAATGTAATTAAGGGTATAGTTCTGTTGTTTCTTCTGCCCACAGCTTTGTGTTTCATTCTTGTTACTATTGGTTTGTGAAGACCAACAGGAAACGAGTATAGGCTCAGCAACCATAGTACGATCCCCTTCAGGTGCCAAGTGCTTGTAGACACTAGTAGGGGGCATACATATGACCTCAGAAGTGGACCAAATCCAGCGCTGGCATATCGAGACATTCTGCCAATACCCAATCCACCAGAAAGGCTGAGTGACCCAAGGATTGTCAATGGTCAGATCGCAAACTGACGGATTACAGTCCTGCTTGCCTGGTGGCTAAAACCTGGGGGGCAGGGCGAAGGTCTTTAATCACTGCAACCAGCAACTAGTGCCTGGTAGGGCCTAGTATAGGGTCTAACTAGTATACAGACTACTTAGGGCAGTTCTTCATCTTGGCGGCTGGCATGGCGGATTCCTCTTCTTTTTCTCCCGGTGGGCGGTGAGGACCTCCTCCAACGGCGAGTCCGTGGCGCAAGTGGCCGGACCGGCCCAGGGGGCCAACAGACATATACATCCAACAGACATAGAGGCCCAAGCACCCCGCAAGCCCCGTGAGTTGAGGCTGATTCAATCTTTCATGCAACATTCCACCATTTTTTACGATTCTAAGGACATGATAGGACATGAGAAAGCTGCGATATATGTCTGGCCCAAGATTTGTGTGTCCCTAAATGAATGACGATAGACTCAGGCAAACCGAAAAAGAGGCCTATAAGAACCCCTAGCACCCTGCAAAGTTGCCCCTATTGAGTGACTTTCATAGGGGCCCTCTCTTTATCAAACATAGGACATCATTGAGATATACTGTAACTAATACCTGAAATACCCTGCAAACTCCAATCCATCCGACAGCCGCATCTCAAGCAGCATGGAATCCTCTCGAAAATCGGCCACATTGAGGCAGCCAATATGGGCAATGAGCCGGCGTGCGCAACCGCTGGCTGTGGAGGGAAGCCTGGGTGGTCAACCTTGACCGGGTGTTCGATGCTCTGGTGAAACCAATGAATGCTAACCAGTATGCTAACCATTAGGTAGCTTTTCTATGCTTTTCTGCTCCTCCTTGGCACCACTTTTGTAACATGGAGGAGGTTGCTCCGATACCTCAAGGGTTCCAGGAATGAACACCAATCAACACCGATACCCAGCGACCATGCGATTGGTATTTTCAGCACAGCGCTCGGCATTTGTGGATCCCTTTGAGCAGATCCGCTGGCCATGCGCGGAGGTATGTGGTGCCCACGACGCCCTCGCCGTTTCTCCATTCCTCGTTTCCACCGCAGGCGGATCGTTGATGTGAAGGTGTGGGCTGCACATGATCCAAATCCGGAAATCTCTGCAGGTGTTCCCGAGGGGCATGTTCTGCATCCCGCTACGTACTGCGTCGGACCAACACGGACTGGGCAGACAGGCGGGCCCCGGAGCCCCCACCCTTGCAGTTAAGGGGATAAGCTAGGTTGTGGAACATTCAAACACAACAATAGTCAATAGGATACAATAGGTGTTTCATACCAGAAGAATCCAATTTGGCGCATTGTGTTTCTTTTTTCTTCTTTGGTTCCTTCCCAGGTTGCTGGTCGCCCCAAAGTTTCCCGCCTGACTGAATGAAACACACAGCGACCTTGCAAACCTTGGTTCGGGGTGATTGGGAAGATGGGCGGACTCAGTTGACTTCTGAACTCAGTTGACGAATATCTAATCCAAAAGACTATTGGAGAACGACTGAACGTGAATAACATGCCTACATAACGTTACTGCGTTGGCAATACTGGACCAGTCGCATTGTCCAACTTCATCTGTAATTTTTTTTGCATGGTGGGTATCTTCCAAATGTTGCTGAAGAACCTCATGTCAAAGAATGAGAGTCCGCGTTCAAGGTGCTTCCTCATTTAGCCTTCCTTGCTTTGGTTGGCACCCACAGACAGGAAGAACTGCAGAAGAATAGATATACCAACTGCGTCCTCGGCCCAAAAACCAAAACTGCAACAACTTAGGGAGGTTGTATGGAAGGGGCATGCTTGAGTTGCTTGAGCCCCAGTCGACGAGTTCATGTAGATTTGAGATGTTCTCAGGAGGTTTTTAACATGCTGTCTTCGGAAAATACCTGGATGGAGGTGTCAAGTGACTCAAGTGCATCAGGTGTCCAGTGACTTCAACGGCTACAACTACATGCCAGAGATGGGTGGGATGCTGATGTTGGGGTGCTGGGCTTGCTAGGGCTGGTTTTGATATGTTTTGATGTCATCCTGTTTGACCCAGTGCTCGAGGACTTCGAAGAAAGACATGGGCTAGCAGAAGTGAAACAATGGCGTTTTGACGCTGAACTTATCCTGGGTGGATGGGTCATAGGGATACTTAGGGTAGATGAAGCTACAGACATCACACGCTGCTTCTTCAAGATTCTTCCCCTATGTAGATTAGGTGTGCCATTGGGTTCGACTATGAGACTCAGCCGTCGTGCTAAAGATTAACGTCGATGAAGGAGACACGCTGCATTATGCGGCCCCAGAGGGAAACAGGTTCTTTAGAGAACAACCCAACCTGGGACGCAAATATCTGGAGAATCCTCCCTTCTGGTGTCTCAACAGTTTACTGTTCTCTTAAAGCCCTTGCTTTTTACATCAGGGTAACCGTTGGCAATGGTGTGTCGCTTGGTCGTCCAAGGAGTCCACCATGCTTGGTCAAAGGTCGTAGATGGATGGATGATAGGATATGATAAGATACATGGTTGCAACATGATGCATATATTATATATATACTCCTCAAGAACACCTTGTTTTGCGTATGATGTTTTTTTTTATCCCCCTTATGGTTAATTACATCCCCTTCTGGGGAATCTTTTTGCACCTTTTTCCAGGTTCCTTACGCAAATCCAAGAACCTGTGTACCCCATGGGGTGCTTCTGTGCTTGTCCTGTGACCCGGATGGCTCCGATCTTGCTTAGTCGTCCGCCTTCCTCAGGCCTGCCGCCTGCCTGTGACGAGGAGGTGACGAGTTCTCGGGGCGACTGGAGTTCAACGACCGCCGGAGCTCTGGTGTCCTTTTTAGAAGAAAACGACGGCTGGACCGCAGTGGATACTTTAGTATACTTTGGTAACGGTTTATATGGTGATATCTGAAACGGACCCACAAGGGTGGATGTTGTACAGCACACTCCATCTCTCCATCTCTGTACTGAAATTCTGCTGGCGAAAGCGAGAGTGGTGATGAATGAGTGGTGACTTGAGTCTTGTCCAATGCGCGAATCGCTTGTCACATTTATATAGCAACCTTTTTTGCGCGAAATAGACTCCTCTACCATCAAGGCCGTCTATTCCTAGAAAGGATTCTTATTTGGGATAAGCACCCCTGATGGCCCTTGCTTGTTCCTTGGGAATTTCAATCATGGGCGAACAGTGTCAGCGTCAGCCTCCCTCACGACCATTGAAACGATCCCGTGTCATTCCCAAGCTGAGAGCCGAGGCTCAAGAAAATTTGGCGCCGAGAAGGTCGTCTGTGCCACAACCGTGAATGGTCTAGAGTCTAGACCCAAATAACCCTGGCAAAAGATCCGAACACGGTTGTTCATCTCAATTCGATGATCTTCCTTTTTTGGTATCTGAAGCTGAGGGACTTGATTGATCTTGATTGTGATCTCCAAACCTGGCACGACGCCCAGAAGGCCCACACGTGCAGCCGACGGTTTCTCAAAGCCAAGACAGGATCATGGAATTGGCCTCCTTTGTTGGAAGCTCCACTTAGTTGGAATTGGTTGGGTGAAAAGGAACCGCTCCATTTCTTTTCTCCCATTTCGAGGGTCTCAGTCTGGGTCGGCTGCGAGGAGAACGGTGAGATTGACTACAGTGTGGGAGGGCTCGGCTCGTTTCGGAAGACTGGGTTCGGCGGTGTCGGGGAGAAGGAATTGGGCTTTTTTTTGCGGAAACTCTTAATGTAAGTCTTCTTCAGTTATTTTTATATGTTTTTCTGAGAAGTTTTCCACTAGAGACTGAGCAAGCCTCAAGATTTGTTCCACTTCAAGGTATTGGCTTTACAATGAGGAATTCTCCCGACTTCTCTGACACTTCGACGACTGCCTCGGGGCGCGTGCGCAACCGCGAACCGCGAACCACGAAAGCTTGAGAATCGCCCCATGGGTTCGGTGCGGCGAGTTCGGCAACGGCGCGGTGCTTCCGAAGTCGTTCTTTCCTACTGGAGCTGGTACATGAGCTGTCTCAACATGTTTCATCGGATGCATCGGGGATGTTTGGTCCTCGGAGGTTGAGAAAACTCACCCATATGGCGAGGCTGGGATAGTGGGAAGAGACGATCCCAGCAAGTCGTCAATGGGGAGGAGGCCTTTTTTCACGAATCCATTCCCCCTCACTTTGCTATTGAAGGGCTATTGGGGCTCTGTCATTCTAGTCCGTAGGTCAGGTACAGCAATTACATGTCTTTTTCTCAAACAGTCTTCCAGAAACGCCGCGTTGAAAACACAGACCTGGTGATCGACCTGGTGATCGACGGGTCCGTCCGTGACCCGTCACGGTTTCCCAAGGAAGTGGCCATGAACGGCGGCTACATGCAGGCCGGTGGTTTGTGGCGTGATGCTGGTGATCGGTCTGTGTGTTTTGGCGTAGCTGCGAGCTGACTCGCTCGCCGTTCGGAACAGTTTGAATGAAAGGAGGAATCGTTTCTGATATTTTTTCATGCAACATGCTCGAACATGAATGTTCAATAGGTTGTTGGGGGCTCCAATCTATCAAAGTATTTGAAAGGTTGCTGGCTGGAACCTTTGCCAAGTTTCAGCTTCCATGTTTGAGGTTTGCCCAGGTTCCACTTGATGTGGAGTAGGAAGCTTCCCAAGCCCAAACCCAGATATTGTTTTGCATGTGGGGCAAAGCAACTTCCTCAAAGCACAAATATCCCTTCACTCAAACAAGAAGACTCTGGAACCACCACTATAATCAATATACTATACATAACATATTTATTTGTAATATATAGAGCCTACCGACATCTCTTTCAGTGGCCAGTCTTCTCTCTTTTTGGCAGAGTGGCCAGATGGACCCACGGACTGGCTTTTGGGGTTAAGAGTGAGATCTATAGATCTATGGCGCCAATGGCTGTATCACAACGACTGTAGGATAAAACGTGGCGGTGGTCGGCTTCCATGTGAGTTTGTGGGTATGGGATGGTATGAGTAGGTCTTCAATACCCGGCTGTGGCCAGGGCATGGCGTTCATGAGCCCGGAGATGTGCCAAGAGAACTACATGCAGGGCATGTGGGGGCCTCCTAAACAGGCCTCCTAAACAGGCCTCCTTCTTTGGCTGGGCGCGCTGTAGCAAGCAGGGGCACGCTGGTGCCTCTTCTTGGGTCTTTGGTGCCATGTTGCAACCAGCGGGTTTGAGTCGCCTCTTCACATCTTTCATATCGCAAGCTATTAAGCCATCCATTCCTGTCAATGCCTTTGCCTGGATCTCTTCGATGCCCAGTCGAAGTGACCGTCAACGACCAACCGCCGTGGGGCGACCGAGGGTTTCCTCGCCGATCCCCAGACACAGGGACCACCCCAAACGACATCGACATATCCGACCAAAAAGCATCCATCTGAGGTATGGTCAGAATTCATCGCTTCTCCTCTTAAAGCAACTGCTAATTTCCCTCCAAGCCTGCAAACTCCTCTTAAACCACAGTTGCTGAAGATAGATATGTTCTTCTTCATATGCCGGCCAAAAAGAAGAGCGGTCTTAAACCTCGCGCCCCCGAGGTTTATGCCCTTCTGGGGGCAGATGGGCATGGACGGGCAAATGGCGATGGATGGGTCCGCTGTCTCAGCTGGGATGCGATTGGAGCGATGTCCTTCGAGTGGACGTTTGAATCACCAAGTGCAGGAGAAGTGAGAGGAAGGAGAACAGATCCCAAAACATCAACCAACGTCTTGCAACTTGTTGGGATCCTTTGGGCTAACAGGATAGACATGACAAGGAATCACACCAAAGCTGCTTTGGAACTCTTTTGCAATCATCAAATTTGACACAACGGACGTCTCATCTGAGACCAAATCACCTCCCCTTACATACTACGTGTCAGGATCGCATCTGCTCGCCAGGCAAACCATCATGAGCGCCGAGTTTCAACAGGCGCGGATCTGGGAATTGGGTTTCAAGGCAAGACTCTTGGACTGATACTCAGTTTAGTATGGGGTTCGGGTTCTACTGAAGTTCTACTAGCTGGTAGGAGCACGGTAGGACTATCAGGAAGCGTCCATAGATCTTTGTCAACGGGTTTTGACCAATTTTATATATACCAGCTACATACTTGTTGTATACACTGACCATAGACCATAGGTGTAGCTCAGGTGGTCTCAGTTTCAGGCGAACTCTAGCCACTCAAAATCACATGGACAAGAGATTTCGACCTCAACCGTGAGCTCGGATTCCTCGGGACTTTTCGGATTTCTCGACACTGAAGCCACGCACTGAGCCAATTCATTGGGATCGAATGATTTTTGCCCGCAGGAGCTGCAGCGTGCGGCTGAGATGCAAGCCGCTGAGATGCAGGCGACTTCGAGCTCTGGGACCCCGCTGGGGAGCTCGAAGAAGCAACAGCAAGCCGGTTTGGGGACTGAGGACTCGACTCTCTGGGTGTTTGGATCGGTCGGCGGTGGGCGTGGTGAGTCGGGTAACACCGACTCGACACTTTTCGATACACCTCCTTCGAAGCTTCATGAGCCACATTTCGCGTGTGGTTCGTATTTTTGAGCCATGCCTCACTCCGAAGAGATAAATCCTTGTGGGTGACCGGTCATTCGGTGATTGATTTCGGTACACATCCACACAGTGGGGGCTTTTCGCCAGGCCTTTGGTGGAGATGCCCAAGAAGCAGAGCTTGAACAGGACTATGTTGAGCAGGTCCAGGCAAGATGCTCAGAACTCCCGCTGCTGGAGGGATCATGCTTCTGCTTGAGTGTGGGGATTGGCTGATCGAATCCGAAAAAGCACAATGGCAAACCTATTCTGTTGTTTATTGCTTGAATTGCTGCCAGGAGTACTTGGCACCCATTGAAGAGCTTCGAAAGGAGGAGGACGGGGACCATCTCTGAGAGATGCCAACGATGCATGATGGTTTTTCTGTGCATCATTTACATATGACTTTTGCTTTCTCATAGATAGGTTCACCGCTGCAAACACAATCCTGCACTTCATTATGCTAGAACATGTGCGTTCCGTCTCTGAACGAGCGTTCCGTCGCTCAAGTGTATCACCCAGCCCCAGCAGGTGACATTGTTATTGAACGTCCTGGTTCTTCTCTTCTTCAATACTTCTCCTCCCCCAAAAAGCTGATCATTCGGCTCCCAAGGACAGGTCGGCCCATTGCCACCAGACCTATAGAAGACCCAGGGCTCACACCAACAACAGCCTCCCCTCTTCCTTGATCCGGTTTGGTCGGCTTCATTCGAACTGTGGGTCTGGCGTGCGTCGCTTCACCCCTCTTCTCTTACAGTGGAGATGGAGAGGAGATGGATCCCCAATGTCGGTGGTTTATGTGGACTCAATCTAAAAGACACTTTGGCAATCTTAAAAAACTCTAACCCACTTCTGAATGTATCTTGAATGGCACCACTTCTGCCACAGGAAGCGGAGAAGCCGAAGGGAGCCCGTGCTGCTTCCAAGGAGGTGCACAGCAACGGCAAAAGCACCGAGCACGAGCAGCACGAGCGCTCCGAGGCACCTAAACGGACCGACGGTGGATGAGGGGGACCACTGATGAACTGACCTGAGGCGGCCAAGCAACCAGAACAAAAAGGGTAAAGAGTAATGAAAACCACCCAACGATGGAGCTCCCTGTTCCCCTGTTCCTTGCTATCAGTGCATGGAGCGTCTCTCGGAACCCCCTACATACTGCGCTGCATGCCCACGCCCAGCGCAGGATGTGTCCCTTTCGGGTTCCTTTGGAGACTCGCGCGTGTCGTCCCGAGGCCCAAACCAATGGCGAGAAACAGAAGAACTGGGAACGGCTTGGGCCCTAAATTCGCGTCTCGTGTTTGCAAGCCATGATGCGTACAGAGCAACACACAAAGTAAAGAGCTAGGCAAATCATGTGTCAAATCGGGCTTATTCATTTGCAATCTTCAAACTGAGGGTTCAAAGAGGTAATTAATGGCCTCTTGAGGCCTTGTTTGGGACCTATTTTGGTCGAGACAGGACGCCCTTGGATCTTCATTCGAGCCCATGCTCTCATGATGTGCAGGTACTCATTGAACGTATACTAAAGATATCTAAAGGATTCTAAAGGGTTAAAGGATAAATGTATGCGTGCAAAGTAGGGACCTAAACCCACTATGATACGATCCTGGGATATCCTGAGAATGTATGCATATTTAGTCTGAACATCAGCATAGCCTGGCTTTTCCATGCTTTTCCAGGATTTTGGTTGCAAAAGTCGTGCGAAGGATTCACGATGTCTTCATCCTCGAAACTCCCAGGGAGCCAGCGCTCTCTCTCTCTCTCTACCCACAAGTGTGCGCCCTTCCAACCCAAGCCGCCCGAAACAAAGCTGTAAAGAGCAAATCCTACCACCATAGGACCATACTCTACCCGGGTGTGAAATGTGAAGCATGTTGGTCGGCAGGGCATGGAGACTGTGCTTCAGCTTGGAGACACCCAACGAAAGACCGACACCCACCCGATACGTCGTCTTTTGGAGTTTCTCCAGGGATGACTCCAAGTGGAAAGATTGGAATTCCTGGGACTGGCGAGACAGCTCTTGGCAGGCGGGTTCCTGAACCACGCGTGAATTTTCAGGGTGGCACACCGTTCTGGATGCCTGAAGAGTGGCTGTGATTAAAGCGGAGGATCATACCAGCCCAAGCTAATATTGTTCCCTAAGTCTCTAAGTTTCAGCTGAATCATTGCAGACCGACACTTCCAAGTAACTCGACTTAGACGGGACCCGTGACGCATGATGGAGTTCTACATAGTCGCCTTGATGTGAAAACTATCTACCTTCACAGTTCCTATTTCGGTCTCCACTTTCACTGGCCCTTTCACTGGGACGTTGCAGGATGGCAAGCACGACTGGAACGAGTCCCGTGACTGGCGAGATCGTTGGGACGAGTCGCGAAAGGCGGGCGTTTCATGCGCGACGCGGCGACGGGGCGACGTGAGACAAGTGAGACGGGAAGGCGATGAGAATGGGGTTTCGCCATGTTTCGTGATTGCTTTGCACATCAGACTTGCAGTTGCGATCTCAATTGGGGTGATCCTTTAGTTGATTGTGGTTCGTTTATGCCTTTACAGGGGTACACCTGAGGCAGGCTTTACCAGCCGTAGGATTGGACCTGGTTTTCGTCGCATGGTACTTGGTACAGATTCGAGACTGGCCCTCTGCTCTCTCCAGTCTAGTCGGACAGACCGGCCCATTCCGGTCCAATCAGGATCCGACCATTTCCGCGCATGAGACTGGACCAGCTCTTTGGCCCCGCAGGACGAGAAAAGAAAAGGCAAAGAAGGCAAAGGCAAAAGCAAGGCGAACAGTTTGACGACCTCACAGCTGCACTTTTCGGTTCGAAATCCAGAGATGAGTAATGTGGAGTACTCCACCAGCTCACGTGGCGATCAATCACAGACATGACATGTGGACTCCACTCAGATAAGTCGTAAGTTCAAGAGATGAAGTGCTCATAGAACCGACATCGCTGTTGGGTTGGAGGCCATCGCTCTTAGGTGGAGGCCATCGCTCTCAGGTTGGAGGCCATGGCTAGTAGGTTCCTTAAGCTTAGGTTCCTTATGATATGAACTGCGAACCGATTGGAGCGGGCGAAGGGGCGAACCGGATCGGCCGAGGCTTCTCTTCCTCCCCCCCTCGCTCCTCCTCCCGCTGCCCTCATCACACAACTCAACTCAGCTGACACCAGCTTAACTCACACCAACTCAACTCACACCATCAAGCAGATTCCAGTCCACGGTTTAGTGGGGGTGGCTTGCCCGGCTTGCCCATCTTTTGATTTGTATCCCGGTCTAGGCCGGCTGCTGTTTGCGCGCGCTGCCGACCTCTGCCTTTCAACTGATTTCTGTCTTTCTATCTTGCACATGTGTCTTCCTGTCTACCACCCTCTGCGGGATGCCCAGTGCAGCTTGGGCCGTGGGTTGGTGCTGGTTGCTGCTGTTGGTTGGCTGCTGCTTTGCTGGCTGCTGTTGCTGGGGTGGTTGTGCGTTTCCTGTGTTGGGGCTGTTGGGGGGGGCTTTGTTGGTATCCTCCGACCATGACAAGTCTCCACCCTCTTTCAACTTCCTCTCCGCAGCCCTCCAGAACTGTACGGAAGTGCAAGCAAAAATTGTGTGAGCTTTGCTGCTGCTTTGCTGCTGCTCCTGCTGCTTTGCTGCTGCCGCTGTTGCTGCTGGTGCTGCTTCTGCTGGCTGTTGCTGCTCTGCTGCTTTGCTGCTTGCTCCTCTTCAGAATCTTGCAGGCCCCACCTTTCGTCCACCTCCATCGCCACAAGTATGTTGGAACCAATAGAATAATTAGACTAGGTAGGGGACCGTGTTGTTCTGTGTTGTGCTTCGAAGCAGGTGGAGGTACGACGTAGTCTTGTAGTGGACGAACGGCTCAGGCAGAGGAGAAAGGAGAGAAAGGAGCTGGAAAAGATGTAGACAAGGCCTGAAGGACTCTTTTGCTCATGTCTTTCTGCCCAACCCATATTCAGAAAAACCGGAGTGACTTGTGTACATGGCTTTTCTTTAGGAAAAACTGGGGGGAGAAGTCCCTAACCGTTCCGACAATTGTAAATCCACGTGCATAGATTCGGTGACGTCACTAGCAACTGTTCAGAGTCAGGACCAAAGCCGCCGGTTTGTACGTTATCCAACTGAAACATAGGAGGTCGTTCAACAGGGGATGGGTAACCCAACGCTGATCGAGCAAAGTCACTGATCTCTTGAACACTGAAACTCTCCGACACTGATCTCTGTGTTATAAACCCCACAAGTTACACCGGGTTTATCGAAGTGTGACAGACAATGGAGGCTTCCAAAGAGAAGGTTGAAAGCAGCAAGGCCGGCGCAGGCGCTTGGCCCACTGAAGCGGGGAGTGTAACACGGTCAAATGAGGACACTCGAATCGGTGACTCGAGTGGTAGAAGAACGTCTGAAAGGACACGCACTCGCCTTCTTTGGAATCAAAAAGTTGAGAATCCATGATGTTCATTTGTTGCAGAGAACCTCAACTACATGGTCATCCTTGACCCTCTAGCATGGGTGTGAAACCCTGGTCTTATCGCTGCGTGTCATCAGCAGATCAGCTTGGTATGTTGTGGAACTGCTCTTCTGTTGCCACTGCGGGCCAACCCCACATTCGCTCTTGCATACTGTAGCACATGTGCTGCAGGTAAACTTTACTAAATGTATCCAAATGTTTAAGTTTCTGCCACTCTTTGGAAGAGTCTACTCTACTGCATACGCCTCGAACTGCTCTTCTGTTGCAGCAGACTTCTGTTGATTTGATCAAGAGAACCCGCTTATGACCCGTGGATTCGGTCCGCTAGGTCCGCGCCAGGGACTGAACAAACAAACGAAGCCTCACCCATCTGTTTGTAACAAAAGGATACAAAAGGGGTTTTCTAACTCACCCATTGATAACTCACTCATGCACCCATCTGTGTCTTCTTTTTAAAATGCAAGCATTGCATCTGAAACATGCTTCTTCACTTACGACCCCTGTGGATCTCGACGCAGGTGACTCCTCCAAGGAGAGGAAGGTGCCTGCGATCCCCTACGTGGCTCGGCTGGGAACAGTCGAAGGATTCGTTTCCCCACTAGGAGCAAGGGCATCGCTACAAACGGGGCTCCTGGCATCGCTGCGAACGCAGCAAGGGCATGGCTACTAGGAACAAAAGGCATTGCTACTAGGATATATATATATATATAATGAATGGATGGAGAAAGATTAACCTCTTTTTCAGGGAACACTGAGGAAGTCAGATGAACAGAGATGCATGAGATCCTGCATTCGACGTAGACCCTTCTGCTAGCTGTTCTTTGTTCTTTTTGCGGCGGGGTTCTGGCACGCCTTCATTGCTTTACCGTGAAGAAGCCAACACTGCAGCAGCCAAAACTATCCGAGACAGCCCAGGAACTGTGGGTCAATGATTCGATCTATATGAGTTCTTCCAGAAAGACGACTTCCTTCTCAGCCCCCCACAATGAGTTACTATAGTTTGTCTTAAAATAGAGTATCCTCCATCCAGCACCTGAAGTTGGAAAGACAGGCAGCCAACCTGGTGTAGTCATTTTAAATACATGATTTGCTGTCCAATCTTCGGAATCTGTCCGCTTGAGCAGACCCACTCGCTTAGGAGCGTCCAGAGGGCAACGAGCAGGGCACACAGATGGGACGTGCCGCAGCTGGACCGACTCCTTTTCGATGAGATGGCTGCTCAAAGACCTAGAGGATCTCTCCAACATGGAAGTGCAAGTCCTGGTTCCGGGAAAGACCATTCTCCTCTACAAACATGTTTGTTGCAGTGAGAGTATATTCTCACGATGACCGTCATGTGTCGATCATCACCCATCTGGGTGTGTTTGGCTCTTTCTTGTGCCTGCCTTCCATTGCTGCTGATGGTAGTTCACATAACAAAACGCATGAACATTGAAATAATTATGGAAGGCAAACTTATCAAACACTATAAGAGAAAACACTTTGGGCATTTCTGCTTGCTTGCTGAGGGGAATGACCGAACACAGTACGGGTTCTTTACTAGCAAACTCCTTCAACCTTGCTCAGAATTACAGACTCCTGCAAGATGCCTCATGATGAAAGATATCCGATACTTCGCACAAGATCTGGCTCCTACTCCACTCTGTACAGATTGTTGTAAACCATGTTCCTTTTGCTTTTTCATGCTTTTTCCCCCACATATTCCCCACATATTAATAACGTGTTACACTAAATGATTATACAATTCGTTCTAACGCCCGCCCGCCGGGTTTTCTGGACATTCTTTCGATTGCGATCCATGTCACCAAGGCCGTATACCACGGTGATGCTCCGGAACATCCCCAACAAGCAACTCGAACGGGAGCCAAATGCAAGCTGAACGCGTTCCGTTTCGGTCGCACTGCTGAAACAGAAACGAACAACTGGGAGACTCGGTTTCCGTTTAGTCGAAGTGCCTCATCGGGCAGAAATGGGGTGTGAGGCTTATATCTAATGGCGCCAGACCTTTTGGGCTGGGATTTTAGTCCTGTCGTGCCAGCGACAGCTACTTGATTTTGCGCCTCCCATCTTGACTTCCAAATCCGCACACGACTATCCTCTATCAGCATGGGGTCACCATGGAGCTTCCAGCTCTTCCAAATGCTTAGGAAATTTGGCCCAGGCCCAGTAATTATATAGGCTGGGAAAGCCTCCCCACCCCTCAGCGTTCTTTTTTGTTTGGAGGTACACAAGAGAGATGCTCATCAAGCAGCTGAGCATCGAGTTTCACGGGGAGCTTCTTGCCAGAAGATATTGTCAAAGGAGCAAGAGCCAGGAGAAGCTGGGTTGTCCACCGCTTTGATGGACATTTCCTACGAGCCTTCATGAACATTTCTTTCAGAAGCCCCCCTTTATGCCTGTGCCTTGCACGGATGATTCCTGCTGAAGGATTCTATAGATTCTATGGGTAATGGATATCCAATGGATGCTGTTGGTACTTTATCCCTTAATACACACCAAGAGCTTTCTTGATGAGACATAAGTAAGTAGAACACACATGTCACATGTCCTTCTTTTGAAAACCGCTACAGTTTCTCGACCAAGAAGGGAACCCAAATAGAGTGGTGAACAGTTTTGGGCCGCCCGTCCTGCGCCGTCTTCTCGTTTCAGACATGACATCGCGTCGAATCGCATCGCCGGCGGTACGGGTCTCCCGAGTCACACGAGCGACTTCCGACATGGTGATATCCGACATGCTTGGACTTACTAAGTGTTTTGTTTGGGAACCTGATGCTTCAAGTACCAGAAGCTCTATGTCCAACAATCTAATAGTCAATCTAATCTCTTCATCCCAGAAACAGCATGAACAGCATGAAAAGCTCGGAGCCATAGACAGGCGGCTAGAAGCCTTGAACTCGCTGAGGTTTGATTTCATGTATCTTCCCATCGACTTCAAGAACAAGTGCAATGTCGGGTGCCTCCCGTTCACCGAGCCGCCGCTCGTTCCGGTGGATCCCAGAACTCGCCCACCCGTGAGTTCACGGACGACCGGGTGGATCCCAGAACTGGACGCGACTGGCTTCGCTTCGAAGTCGAGCATCGCCAAAGCATTTCGCTATAGACTGTATCTATTCAGTCAGGTGCCATTTGGGAATTGGCTAAGGAAAGCCCGCGCGCGACTGTTGTCCGGCACAGCTTGCCTGGTTGGAGCCGGAGTTGTGGGCAAGCTGTGCCCAGACGTTTGGGCAATGAATGGACTAATTACCCTATACTACTTGTGGTCTCCAGTCTCCAGCCAGAACAAATGGATAGTGGCAGTGTTCACTTGAGGGTATCTGAGTTTCAGAGGGTGGTATACTTCATAATACCACCCTGTTTGTTCCACCAATGTTCTACACTCTCAAGGGTCAATCTTTCAGCCTGCGCCTGTGGCCGCTTGGAAGGTACGGCTTCATCAATTTCCGCACGCAGGATTCGTGCGAGAGGTACGACCAGCCTCGGGAGTTCGGACAGTTTAACGATGTCAAAAAGAATGAGGCTACTAGGAGCAAAGGGCATTGCTACTAGGAACAAGAACGCTACAAACGGGGCTCCTGGCCTTACTACTAGGGGCAAGGAGGCTACTAGGAGCTTGTTTCTTTGCGATGTCAACAAAAGAATCGGGCGATCCTTTGCTTCGGAAGCCTCGGTGTCAGCCTCGGTGCCGGCCTCGGCAGCACAAAAAGGAGGGAGCAAAGACCCCACCCGCCCAAGAAGGTCCTCCAAGCCTCGGTAAAAGCAACAGTTTGGACACGAGTCAAGAGCTACAGAATGCAAGGTCTAACAGTTTCCATCCAGGAATTGTTTTTTGGCGATGCCTTAGGCAGTCCAAGAACTCCCTCAGAGCCTCGACTGCTTTGTTGCTTTTCCTTTCGTCCACGATTGGAAAAAATCAATTGCAAGAAGTCACCCTTCAGACTCAAAAGCATTGGGTCAAAACCTGAAGGTGCCAGGTGTGGGTCTTCATGTTCTTTTCCTTTCCCTTCTTAGATATCTCGGAAGATGTCCGTCGGCTGGAGGTTCATCGGACTGTTCCATGGTGTGGACGTCCGGAAGTGTTTGCCCGGGCTGAATTCCAAGAAGATCGTCGAGGCGGCCGAATGGGGTCGTGGAGTCGTGGGTCGGTCAGGTGTGGATGACTTATCCTTCATGAGTTTCAATCCATCCGAATGAGTTGTTGAGTTTTGTAAATCAAGAGTCTACATGTCTGGATACTGCACCCTGAACCAGATGTTTAGGCCTGAAACCAATTGAAACGGTGAGTGTCCAAAGCTTGTAGGATCAATGATTCCATGGAAGCAGCCGTGCAGAAAACACGGATGCTACGTGGGACAAGAGCCCAACAGATGGAATGTTTTCGAAGGCCAACCAAGATCATCGTGTTTGCAAACTTAAATCACCGAAGATTCCACCACTCCTCGCGTCCTTCCGGTCTCTCCCATGCGACAAGACAACGCGGCGAACGCCCCGCGGCAAACCGGACGAGGTGACGCCTGCACGTGTGCAGGGCCTCACCGAGAATGTTCGGGTCGCCCAGAGAAGCCCCAGCATGAATGGGCCAAGGAAGAGGTTCGACTGAATTGATCGATAAGCACCATAAATGAGCACTCTGCCGAAATCGAAGCAGAGCTTATGCAACATGACAAAGATGTCTTAAACGCAGCTCACGCTGCCGGGCGCCATCCCTACAACTGGTGTGGTCCAATGCGGGAGCCTTAGTGCACCTCGCAGTACAGACGGTCGTCCGGCCAGGATCTCAGAAAAAAAAGGGCTTCTTTTTCAAATTTAAAAATTACTTCAGCTTTGAGTCCAATAATCCTGCCACTCTGGCTTTGCTTGTATCGGGATCCAAATACATGGCCCAACCCTTTTTCATGCTCAACTTTGAGACCAACATGCTCACCTGGGACCTATCTTCGTGGAGTTTTCGACTTGTAGCCATTCTGATGATTCTGATTTCTCACTCGGATTTTTGGCATCAACCCTCCCTGGCTCTTTATACGAACCAACATCAACCCTCCATGGCTCGCCGGGGTTTGGTTTTCGGCACGGTCCATGGCGCTTCCGCAGAGGTTCGGCGGCTAAAGAATTCGCCCGTGATGAATCAGCTGGTTGATCATCCGGAGTGTGGCTCGGCCACGGCGCACTGGGTCGGATTTCCGAAACGTGAAGCGGTGGAAGAGCAACATATGAAATACCAGATTTTAAGACACCCACAAGTCATGGCAGTAATGATTAATCAGGCATTTTATGGAATCCGAGCCTTCGAATGAGACGTTCGCTCATTCTCCGAGCGTCTTGTCGGGGTTCGATGGATCTGGTGGTACCCGTCGGAGGAAACAGGTCAGAGATGGTCACCGAATGTAGAGGTGTCCGTAGACATCGTGGAAATGACGCGTGAAGTTCCCTGAAGCACTGGGTCATTTGCCCATTGTGAGGAACTCTGATTTGACACACACGCACAGATCCTGGAGTAGTTGGATTATTCAAAAGCTCGATGGCGTCTAGAGTCGATGGCGTCGACATGTAGCAGGAACATGTCCTAGCAAGGAACGAGTTCTCAAATTGCTACCTGTTCTATCCAAATTTATAGAAAAGTGAGCCCAATGTGGAGAACCCTCAAGAACCACTATGACCACACACCGTACCTATTGCCATTCTTGCTTGCTAGCCTCTTTGAAAGCAGGCAAAGGTCCCGCGAGTGAAGAGGTGAAGAAAACAGCCCGTCACACTGGAATCAACCCCTGTGCAACCACCCGGGGACAAGAACTCTTGCAACCCCACTATGACTATATTAATATACCGAACCCCATATCCTATAACATGGCCAGTAAAACCCGCCGACCCATTTGGGGATGGGTATACTGTACACTATACTAAATTTTAAATGTTTGGGGACGCTTCAGATGACTCGCCTAGAACTCTTCCTTCTATGAGCCAAATGCGGTAGGTTATCTTGGTGTGTTGAAGTGTGGCCGGGATGACATCCAGAATCAGTCATAGTAAAGACCTTGCGATGAAAAACCCAAACCAATGAAGAACATAGCGCTGGACCAAACACTCAAAGGGACATGCCGCACCATAGCCTATAGTGTCCTTACAGCGAGAGATTCAAAGAGTATCAACAATTTATATAGAACATGTTAGGCATGCAAAACCCATCTGAGAGAGGGGGCCTCATACTTTTTTTTTTTTTTTTTCGGGGCTTTGGTCGTTGCTCGGCTCAGGGATGCCTTTGCTCTTCGATGAGGATGGTGTCGACCAACCCTTTCCAATGCCGGTGGGTCAAGCCCAGTGTGGGGTGGGTCTTGGTCAAGCAGCAGCGCAGGAAAGAACGCCCTTTTTGAGAGCCTCAAGAGCGCCAGTCAGTTGAATTTTGTTGCTTTCGTAGATCCTCAATTGATTGCACCAACATCAAAGCAACACTTCTCTGAACCTCTACAGAAGGGGTGCCCAGATGATGAACACCTCTACAGAGTGGAAGTTAGGGCAGGTTTTGGCACATACAACAAGTTGAAGGTACACAAGGAGACAGGCAATCATGTATGTCAGTATATCAGCAAGTAGCCCGGAGCGGCCTTCTAGATTATTCTAGATCAAGTGCAACTCCTTTCAGGAATTACAGACATTCCTCAAACAAAAACACTTCAATTGATTGCTAGTGCAGCGAGAGCAGCTAGTGACCAACAAGCAAGCTGGAGGACTTTTGGGGATTGAGTCGTTTTTCCACTAGAGCCACGGAGCCAAAGGTGGTTTTGTGTACCACTTCTAAGCTAAGTTCAAAGGACTGCCTTGTGGGGGAGGACTGCTAAAGTGGACAATCTTTTGTACAGGACTCTGGAATTAGGCGGGACTAAGATGTCCTAGTCAGTTGGTGTTAGACTGGTAGACCATTGTGGAAGTCACCTGTGGGTACGCTCTTGTATATAGTATCACAGGATAGTATAACAGTAAGACCTGGTGTTTTACCTGTCGAGTTGTCAATGATCATACCATCCAACACATACTCCAGCAAAGAAAAAACACGCACCATAGTAAAGTAATAAAGATCAAAAGTCAACCAAAGTAGAAATAAGGATCAATCAAGTAATCCGAATGGACCCCAAAATCAATCCTCCCCTGCTTTTCTTTGGGCTTTTCACCCAACCATTGGCGCTGCCCGGTGCTCCGACCCCAACCACCGGGACGGTGCGCCCCATAAGGACCAGCCACTGCCACCGGTGAAGCCTCGGGGGCGCAACCGCGAGGCGGAACATGAGCAGTTGGAGAAGTGCAAAACAAAAGAGTTCCCTATGTGACGTGTGTTTGGTCCCATCCAGTGAGTGGATGTGACTAATGGGCACTCCGAACCTCCATTGATAGTCCGCACCCTGTCTTGCGATTCCTGGCATGTGTTTTTTTCCTTTTTTAAAGGTATATTTTCTTAACATTTGGTTCTTTCCCAATGTGTTTCTTTTCCACGGTAACACGAGGATCACACGATCAGAGAGATGAAATGTTCATCCTATGTCTTGACATTTACGGCCTTGTTTCTATCACGGCTTGCAGGTTTGCTTTTTCTATGTGCTCCACATTTGGTGATTTGGACATGAAAGGAAATAGAAGACCTGCCCTCGCCTAGAGAAGATTAAAATAAGTATGATAAGTTATCCTGTCTTCTGCCCTCCCTCCGGAAGAATCAACCCCCGGTTGTATGCATCCGAGTTGTCCGATAGTGTCAGGTGTTGGACGCGCCACCATGAGGTTCCTCAGTTTCCAAATTCTATCCACTTGCCCTACTACATTATGTGGCCCCATATATTTAACATTGAAGCTATTAAAAGAGCGACCCTGGGCACCTGTGCCGCGAGTGAGTCTTCTGCGCGCTTTCTCTTTTTACGGCCTGACCACGGCCCAGGGCCATCGCGGCAGTACGGGTAGCAGAGAAGGAGATGCCTCCTGGAACCTCGGCGAAAGCGGGCCGCGGAGGCGACCGGAGCGACCGCGGGTGACTGGGCGAGATGTGGGCACTGGAGTTCTGGAGTGCGTTTTTGTGTTGGTGTTTTGGGTGATTGTTTCCAAAGGCAACCGACACATGTCCGGATTTCCAAACATGCCTTGAACATGCTTGAGCCTTGTTTAAGACATTTTAACCACAGACACTGAAAGCTCTAGGCACACCTTCTCTAAATACAGGCAACGTATACCTTGGGAAACAACCCTTTTGTATTCTGTTTCTTCAAACCAACATGTGGGTATTTCTTCATATTCCAGGCAGTCCTTCTTCCCAACCTTCTCAGATCCGAAAGCGGAACTTCGCTTCATCAACAAGCCTGTGAATGCTGAACCTGTGAGGAAGGAATGTACGAGCCAGTGGTGAAAAAACTACGACTACAGCCAGCGAAGCATGTACAAGCTTCCTATCCTTTCAAAAACCTTCCGAACCTTCCGAAGTGAATGGAGAATGTGATGCCCCCCACCATGGGCAACCCACAAGCGCGTGGATTTTTGTAGGGGTGTGTAGTTTTGACACTCAGAGCCATAGAGTTCCATAAAGATCGCTCCTTGACCCGATTCGCTTACCCCCCCGATTCGCTCTGGACCCCTATAGCCTATGACCCAGGCTTTCTTGGAGGCAACGCGGCCATTTGACTATATTTGACCCCCAGCCCCCAGCCATCGCCCAAAACATGCTGAGGACTTGAGATGTCACTCGGCCAGGTCCGAGAGTTCGTCGAGTTTTTTGGGACGGGAGCGAGAGGTCCTGCACCCGAGATGGGTGCGATGCCGAAGTTTGAAGAGAAAGATTGAGAAACATCTTCAGTATGAGCACTTGATATCGCCTTGGCTGCAGAAATGAGTCGGATCAGTCATTTTCACCACCTGACTCGAAACCCATCGTGGTCAGAGCCAGTTCATTGCATGAAGAGCGGCTCCCCTTTTCCGCCAAAATCGTGGAGAGTCCTCGCATGGAACGCGCCAAATCGATGCTCTCAGCCATTTTTGGACGCTCCAGCCTCGTAGTTCCAGCCACCCAAGAAGGCCATGCCGCAAGGTCTCAGTTCCTTGGAGGGAGAGGGCGGAGGACACGGATGTTGACTTCAATTTTAATCTAGCTTCTTGTTACTACTAGAAAGGCACTTGTTACTACTAGCGATGCACTTGTTTCTAATAGCTTCTTGTTCCTAGTAGCTTCTTGTTACTAGAAGCAAGAATGCTCCGTTCGTAGCGATGCCATGAGCCCCGTTCGTAGCGTCCTTCCTCCTAGTAGCGATGCCCTTTGTTACTAGTAGCTTCTTGTTACTACTAATTGTCAATTGTCCTCCGATCCCATATGGATTTTGGGTACCTCCTACCGGGAGGACCCACATTGAGTCATTTGGCCCTCATCAAACTCATTGACTTGCGAAGAAACATGTGAAGCGAATCCCAATCAGTCAGGGCATCCACGGGTCTGATGGGATGCTTCCATATGTAGAAAAGAAACTATGTAATGTAGACTCAATAAAACTTCCTCATTTGGATTGTAGAACCTCTATGATGATGAATCATATTTTCCCCAGACATTGGAGGTCAGGTTCTTCTAAGAATCTAAAGATTCGCACGAACAGGGCACCCAATCGGACGTTGCCCACACGAAAGACGAAAGTAGCAGTGACCATGTCAAAACAAAGTCATGTTATTGCTTCTCATGTTCTATGTTGTTCTTGCTTTTTGTAGTTGTGGCGTGCTATCTTAGAAGACATGCCGACATCCATATCGATCGAAGCAGATATATGCTCAGCATTGGACCACGATGAAGGACTTTATAGTCAACACGGGTGCAGGGGGACTGTGAGAACAGGGTAATTCTACGTGCCGCTGCCACCGAAAGGTTTATGCTTTCATCCTGATTTGTTGTGCATTTGTTTTGCATCTGACATGGCTACTGGGTTTACTGCAAGGTTGTTACTTGTGGGACATTGGACAATTCTGCAGAGAACATGTAGTTTATGAACTCTTCCTGATTTGTTTGTTCCACATTCTTTACACACTGAAGACGTGCCGCCCCTAAGGCGATGCCGCCAGATCCATCAGTGCCCTAGGTGCGAAGATCAGCGGGCGAAGCGAGGAATCAGTGAAGGCCCTAGAGTCACCTTGAACAGAACGGGACATCCCTCAAGAAGTTCTACCAATCCTGACGGAAGTAATTGTTGCACCTGGAGATTTTTGGCAACGATTTGAGGGCGTGTGAGACGCTGAAAGCAGTTGGAACCTGCAGGTGCTGGCAACTTTTTATCCTTTCACCCAGTGAAAGGAGTGCATACTGCATACCATGATGAAAAGCCACGACCAACTGCAAGGCCATGGCAATTAATTGCGTGACAGCTGCACACTAGAATAGATTGTCTGTGTGCGAAGAATGGCCATTTGTTGGACAACTCCCACATGTTCCAGTTCCAGAATTTTTCATTTGTCAAAACGGAGCATGCAGGACAACTTCGAGATGTGAGAACCCAACCGAGAAACACCAAGTTAGTTCTACTAGCTGGAGGCGTTTTTTCCCCTTCGTCAGCACGACAAGTGCCAGGATTGGAGCCCCCAAGTGCTAGACTCCTGAAAGCCGCGAAAGCCGCTGTGCACCGTGCCGAGAGTGACGCGCGACTGACGGCAGCCACTGGGCAGAATGGGGGAGGAGATCGCAAAATCTCCCTCACACGGTTCTTTCCCGTTGGGTCCAAACCAAAACAGCGATTGCTCTAGATGTTGACCAAAGGATACCAGAGGTGTGTCATTTTTGACCCAAACTATTCTTTGATATACTTCGCAGTTGAACAAGTATACAGGACGCAGGTATACGCAGCTTTTGGGAGCAATTTCTCTTTTTGGGGGCTGCGACTGTGCTGTGTTCGACGTTAACACCCGATGTGAGGGGCCGAATCCAGGAACCATCGGACGTTCGGCGCTTCGGCGCTTCCGTTCCCGAACGGGAGGGTCGACTCGACCGCACCGTTTGGAAGGCAACAAGAGAAGTAAACATCGCTGGTTCTGCGGCATTGGTGCAACGGGAGTGGTGCAAGTCTTTTCTCACGTTCTTGCACACATCGGAATCTCTTTTGGGAGCATGCCATCCTAGTGATTTCTTCCCACTTGCTGCTTTCAGAAGACACGTCAAACATTTTGAAAATGATTGATGATGAAAGACTTGGTGTACATTCTCAGCGCAGCGTACATCCCACTAAAAGGTGCAATCCCTCTCCGACAGGTGGGTTTTGAGGACCAGTGGAGTGCTGAACCGTCACTGCGAACTGAGGCGAGCATGGCGCTGCACACCATCCCAATGAGCAGCATGGAGAAGGAGGGTAAAGATTCCAAGTACTGTGAGAAGTAGTGGGCGAAGCCTTTCGCGAAGCTTTTCGCGAAGCAACTTTGCGGGAGTTGCTCCTGGTGTACGCCTGCTTTTGTTTTTTTCGTCGATTGAAATGGTAGAAACCAGCGTCAATCCATGGCAAATCAAACAATGTTGATAGTTGATGATTGTAATTTATTTGATGTTTTTTTCACACCACCACGTATGATCATGGAGTCATAAGGTGTGGATGGGCATGAAGGGCCCTGCCGCAGGATTGATCGTTTTCCGTGTCTGGTTTTTAAACCGAGGAAATCCGGCGTGGTAGGCAATGACACATTTCGTGAGTTGAGATATTTATTACCATTTTCGATAGCATGAACCTGGGGCAAAAGCCTGAAGGGGTTCCCTTTCCCAAATACAGGGTGAGCTTGCCTTCACACACTGAATTTGCTGAATTTGGGAGAACATAGCAGTCAAGTTTGTTTTAGGGCCTTCCTATTTCCTAGGTCCATCTAGTTCCGTTTGCTTTGTTTTCGTGAAAGCAAGTCTCGTTTTGGCCAAAACGGCCTGCGACGGTGTGGAGCATCAAAACCGCAGATCGATCATCGGTCCGTCCGACGGGGCTTTGACACCGAGACCGAGTGGCAAACGCGTTAGACCGAGTCATTCTCCGCCCCTCGACATATCTCGTAGACTAAGAATGCACTTCCCCCCCCAAATGAAAAAACACACACACACCCTCTCGGGCCAGAGGTTCTTTGTTGTGGAATGCGGGAAGGGATTCGAAAGCTACGGCAATGGTGATTCCTGAAATAGACGTTCTCCTCTTGCGTGAAACAATGAATGCTGGCCACGGACTTGTCACTGGCTTGGAACAGGGCGCATGTGTTATGATGATCTCGATCCCTCTACTCAGGAATATGCAGTCAACATTTCTTATATTGTACCATTCTTAGAGTACGTGGGTCCATTCTCGGAACCCTCATCCACTTTACATTTGATAGATACTGAGCTAGCGAGACAGCATATTTTATCTTGTTCCAAAGAACAGTAAATATAGGACTCTGTAACATCCAAAATCGATCGGTTTACTCTCCGACTCACTAACATTGAAGCTGGGACCCGCCTGGTTGCAAAGGAACACAGGGCCCTGTTCCACTCCCATGTTGATCCGGTTGGACTTGGTTTTCTCAAGTCCTACACCATTGAGGCCTATGGTTGTTGATGCCTCAAGTGCCCCGCTGAAAAGCCAAACGTTGGGACTGACTTGCAGACTCGACTTCGATCGCATGCAACCAAGATCTACTGAACCACTTGAGATCTCACATGCTACTGTGGATTGCCTTTGGATGTACTTGTATCATTAAAGCTCGTAGTTGGAGGAAGAGCACCAAAATCCATGTTTCTGCATATTGACCTTGCCTTGTCAGCAAGAAGCTTCTGCTTGGAAGCTTCTCCTTGTCCTTTGTTTTGGGACATGTCAATCTTCAAGATCTAAAATAACAAGGTCGCAACATAAAGGAACCTTCCTTTTTCATGGTTGGGTATGATGTATGGCATTATGCTGGAGAGGGGACTGGTTGGGACCCGTAGACTCAGCTTCGGGATGTCACAGTGATGGTGAGTAAAGCTGGAAGAGGCAACAAAACGGCGGCAACAACACACCAATTAATTGGTATTTTTTTTGTAAATGAATGTTGAGACTTCAAGCTTTTTACGCCCCAAGTTGATTGACCTGGTCTCATTTTTTTTTGGCAAATCGTCCTGCATCTTTTATCTACGCTGAGACAATTGACAGTCCTGCAGCTCAACTGGCCCAACTTCAGGTTCGATAGGCAATGAATGGCCAGCACTCTATTGATATGCAATATCCAGCGAAGAAATGCCTCATGCATGCTCCATACTCATAGCCATCAGGACGGAGGAGCGGCCAAACGGACGATCGACCCATCAGACACAAACACAAAGCATCACAAACACAGAACACACATTCACCCCAGTTTGTGTGTTCTGAAACCCGAACTCCGTATACATTTTTGACATCACCAAACTCCCGGAATGTCGTGGATGGAGATGTACCGAGATGTGGCTGGAAACTCCAGAGGGCAGAGATCTTCACCTGCCCTACCTAGACCTGACCAGTTTGAATCTCCACTTGCGTCCTTTAGAGGTGTCCGTCCGAACTTCCTCGCTCGGAGCTCCGTGCGCGGCATGGCCTGGCGCTCGAAGGCCGCAGAGGCGCTGCAGGAGGCCTTGAGCGTGGAAAGCACGCGGGAATGGACGCCGCTCCAGAGCTCGGGGGAGGTGATGCTCGGAGGTGAAAGAAGACGTGTGTTTTCGGTGTGTTTTCCTAAAATACGGCCACCTGTGAGCCACCTGATGCACCAAACATTCACTGAAGGTCTTCCTCCGGATTTTCAGTGTTTTGATATGAATGTTGGTGTGTTCTTGTTTGTCCGAGAAGCTGGTGATGTTTGGATCATGTGTCTTGGAGGCCGCCAAGGGGGGGCCATGTTGGCGGCCACGGTCTTGAGGCGTGGAACCGGCTGTAACCGGGGTTTCCACCAGGGTGTGGCCACTGAGGCGCTTGTTCACTTCGCCGGTCTCTGGTCCATTGCCATTCTTCCGCGGATGCCTGGAGCGTTCGGCCGCCACAGTCGAGCTGGCAGATCTGGTACGAGCGGCTTGGAGAGGAACACCCAGACCCGGAGAGCCTCCTACCCTGTCGAGTGGACGCCACAAACATACCGGTTTCGTTTAGACTATATCGCATACCGGTTTTGTTTGCTATATCTGTATAGCAAAAAACATCATTACACACTTTTTCCACCAGGAGAAGATCCACAGCCTCTCAATGGGGGTTATTTTCGGCCGCTGTGAGTTCGCCACCCGACAGGGACAGGGATCGCAGGGGGATGAACAAAGCTCTGAACTAAACCATGACATCTCTATCTTGGGGGCAGCGCAAAAACAAGTCAACAGTGGCCTTCTGCCAGTTCAGACGGGGGGATGGACGGCGGAGAGAAGCCGTTGGTGTTCACTCAACTCAGTTGCATCTTCTTTGGACACATCCACAACCCCATACAGGTGGCCTCCACCGTGACCTACCGTGTGGCCTCCACCGTCACGTGGTGCTGATGATGTGACACCTCCACGTGATCCGAGGTGCTCGTGTCCGATTCTTGTCGACGCTTCTGGGATCCCTCCTTATGCCTTCAGCCAGCTGCTGGGTCACCAGGACACTATGGCGCTCCTGTGCACCCGGCAGAAAGCCTCCCCCGTGGCCAGTGAGTCTGTGTGGGCCCCCTGGTGACAGAATGGGGTTCGGCGCGTGCACGAGTCGGATTCGCTGGAAGCCAACGGTCACGAATGATGACACGGTCTGAGTACCAGGCGACCGTTCGAATCCAATGATTCAAACAACATCAACAGAAACCATGTTCAACCTGGAAGAAGAACTGATGTCTAAAGATTATGTCTAAACTGGCAAGCAAACAAGCTGATGAATTACATGACTTCTTCCTTCAGGAGTTGCTCGGTGCTGGTACCATCAAAGGCATTTTGCAAGAGCCTTTTTGGACGTTGCTATGGGCTGCGGGGGTTAACTGGCCAAACTACAACTCTTGCTACAACTTTTGCTCGAGTTCTCAGCTTATGCTCCTTGACCCTGGAAGCCAGAATGTCCCAAGCTTCTCCAACATACTTCTCCAACATACTTCTATGCATTTATACACAGTATATGTGCTTTGATTCATGGTGGGGAAGACCTGGACGTGTCACAGGTCAACGCCTGCACGTCCAACATGTCGGCGGAGCGCTTTACCTATGCCGCCACCAGCATCGAGGACGCCGACGTCGGGCAGTCGATGCCCGCAGCTCACGCGGGGCTCACGCGGCTGGCGACGCGGCTGTGGGCGATCGATGTGCGGAAGAAGGAAGACCATTGGGAGGCCACTGGGGATTGATGTGGAGTTCTTGGTGGGGAAGGTCAAATAAATGCAAATGATACCAGCCATTGAGTTCTTGAGTTCTATGGAGAGCATGAAGAGCCGTGCCTGGGATGCACCAACGACCTGAAGAGTCGGGTTCTCGGCCCAGATCGCTTAGATGGACCTCCTTGCCGGTACGAGTGTGAGGAAACAGCGGTGCCTCCATAAGGGCCCCCGTACGAATGTGAGGGATCTTCCGGATCACATGGCCCCAGCAATGCCTTTTTGAAGGAGATGTTGGTGTTTTTTCCGTCTTGGATCAATTGTGGAGTTGCTATAGGAACCTTTAGAATCCTTTAGATCTCTGATCACATCTTCTGAAGAACTGGAGAGACCTCTTGCATCCCGAAGTCAGTCGCTGGCAGTTGTCCTTCGTCTTGCACACAGCGGCCACATCTTTCCGCCTGCCAAACTTCATGTACCTTGGCCGCCCTAGCCCTTTGTTTGGTGAGCTTTTCCTCATGCTTCTTTGAGGACCAGATGGGCCTCAGATGGGCCAAACATGTATTTGTCCGGACTCAGTTTGAGCTTATGCCCCACATGACGGGGGTAGATAACACAAGACCCATGCATGAGGAACAGACGTCTCCAGGGTTCTCTTGAACTTGCCCTCTGAAACTTTAATGGCAACCCTAGTCTATGAACGAGTGAGGTGCTTTTTATTACTTCCTTCCTACCACCACTCTAGACCTGCTGCCCAAATACAGTCCCGCACACCTATAACATACTATAACCAACACGCTCATTGTTTCGCCACATCATTGCTGACAAAGACGTGGACCAAGCCCTACACAGCCCTGGTTCCCTCGTAGCATCGGTTTCGCACGCGTCGGGTTTTGCTCCGAAGTTCGAGTTTCTTTCTGGCAAATCGAAGCAAATCGAACTCGGAGTTTGATTGTATCGTTGAACTGTTTCACTGGTTAGCTGGAACTCCAGCCATGTCTCCAAAGACTCCGCAGAAATGCCGTTCCTTTATGGTGAATATTCCTCTTGAGGCTGAAGCCGTTGTTGGCCTCGTGGATTAGCAGTTGCCTGGTCTCCATCTGGCGCATGGCCTCGGCACAGGTGCATGATTTTCGCGGATCGCTTTCCGGATCGAGCACGGGGGCGTGGTGAAGACTTGGACGCTGCCCGAGAAACGAGCAAACGGTCTGCTAGAGGACGCCGTGGGACATCCTATACAAAACGGTCCGCCAAATGCGCGGCACACTTCCTCCACCGAACCTTGGGGGTGTGAAGTCGTGCGAAGCTCCGGTCTGTGTGATTCGTTGGTTTGTTCTACCACTGGAGGCAATGCTTGCTGATCCATGTTCTGGTGATCGCGGTGAGTATGGTGGTCGTGCTCCGTGACCTTTGGACTCTGGACTGGAGTGACCACTTCGAGTGGTTGGCCGCCCAGGACCTTCAGGGTCCTCCAGGTGCTCAGCACCGTCCGCCCGACGGTACCGACCGTACCCTCGTGGCACCGGTCCAGGTGGCGCCCAAGGGCCCCGTGTGCCTCATCGCAGCCCGAGAGTCGGAGCCCAAAGCGGAAGGAACTCCAGTGGACGTGGCCGGGCGCATGCTGAGCTTCGCCGGGCCCAGGATTTGGTGAAAAAGGGGGCGATGAGGGGAGCGAGCGGATGGGACTGGGTTGACTTGGGTTGACCTGCTAAAGACTTAAGCGGATGGGACGTGAATCACTGTTCTGAGGTGAAGGGACTCTTGGTGGCCAGTAGGCCAGTGGTGAAGCACATTGGTGAGTCTGAACACAGTGGGCCAGGGTGTTGAAAAGATCACTGCGAGTGTTTTGAGGTTTATTTGCTTGAAAAGGACAGGACTTTCAGTATGAGCTCCGGGACCTGTGGAAAAATGTACGGGATTGGGGGAATGCGAGATTGAGAATTACCAGCCCAGTTGAGACAGTTGGACGAGCTTCTTGAAGTTCTAAGAAAGGTGCTTTATGTTGGCGAGCAAAGTTATTGAGACGTAGACTTGGTGACCATGATGGACAATGCAAGAAACAACGGAGCTTTTTGTGTTCATATTTCGAGGTTCAATGCTTTGGACAGTTTGCATCTGAATGGGTCTGCGCCAGGTCTGAGGGTGAGCAGCTTTCAATGGCTCGACCAGCCCAGTAAGGCCGGGTAATGACTGACACGCCCAGAGCAAACCATGAATCAACGAGAGCTTGGCTTGGAGGGCTTTGCATGGCTTTGCTAAGAATATGGGATCCTGGGATTTGTGGGTAGCGTGTGATTCAGAGGTTGCTAGCCATACTCACAGCAGTCTTTGGCAGTGGTGACAATCACCTCTCTATCAGGACCTCTCTATCAGGTGATACAAAGGTCTGCCTGGAGCTTTCAGCGTTTGACTTCAAGTCTTCAGTCTCCAAAGCATCTGATCTATGTGGCATGTGTCCCATGTTTCCTTCCGCCGGTCTGTTGGCGACCTCAATTTCTGAAGGTGCCAGCCTTTGCTGCATAATTCAAGGCGAGGCCGGTCAAGTTTCATTGCAGTGCAAAATTGATCTTAACATTGTAACCTTGATGATTTTGCAGTTGGTGGACGTATAGAAGTAAAGTTAAACAACTAGATAGACATATAATATATATATATAGAGTTCAATCCGCGGTGTCAGACACTCTCATATCCACGTACATATATTCCGGCACAGATTGAGTCAGATTGATTCTTCACAAAAGCACTTGTTCCCAGCAGCTTCTTGTTACGTTCGTAGCGATGGCCTCCAACCGAGCATCGCAATGGCCACCGGACCGAGGTGCGGCACGCCGATGATCGTGAGCCGCAGCAGGGAGGTTGAGGCGATGAAGATGAAAACGCCGAAAGACGCAGCGGTTTAGGGAACGCCATTAGGTTCGAGGCCATCGCTAGTAGCTTGGAGGCCATCGTTAGTAGGAGAGATCGATTGCAACATAGAGCATATAATAAGGGGGTTGAGTCAACTTCTGGTGAGTCCTTCAAGGGCTAAACCCACGTGGTGCAGAGGACGTGTTTCTCCAAGGTCGACCCGCAGGGTCTTCGCTGTGTTTTTGTTGGGTCTTCGCACTTGGTTGGTGGTGTGATTTCCATTGGGAGTGCATTAATCACACCACCAACCAAGTTAGTCTCATTGGTCTCCCTGGTTAGATTGGTTTGGTGGTGTGATTAGATTCAGTTGGAGACACATCAAACCAGGGATCCGGACCGGACCGGAACCTCATGAGACCAGAGACGGACGTAAGCGCAAGCTGTGGATAAGCCGGTTAAGTCAGGAAGACGAACACATACGACCTTCTTGGATGTGGCCCCCCAAGAAATTACGATCATCTCCAGATTTCCGTTTGACTTGAATATACAGAGGACAAAGCTGCTTGTCGCTTGTGTCCAGTCTGTGGTTCTACTCATATTCACCATCATTGAGACCAGGAAGCTGTGATCCTCAGCAGTGCTAGCATGGCTACCTGCTACCACGAAGGTTGCTTGTAGGTGTCAGCATGGCACACTGCATCCGCTCGTGGGGTTTTGGACTCAGCAATGGATTTCATCGGATCTTCAACTCGTGCTGCGCAGTTCTTGGCAGAAGCACCGGAGCCTCACCAAACTGTCTAGCTGCTGTTTTCCAGCTGAGGTGCATGAGGCTTGCCCCAAGATGTCAAGGATCCAATATACTGAAATGACTCAAATGGTGATGGATCAAAGTTCAACGTTGAACGAAGAGAACTTCCTGGTGGATGTGGTTTAGCTTGGAATCGTGTTCAGTCTCTTTCTTTTGTCTCGCACCCGACATGTTCACAGCAATGAGCTGGTACAAAAGGATTCCTTGATGGAGCTGCCGTGGTGAGAACTTTCTAACTTTCATGGAACGTTCCTCAAAACCGACATTTCATTGTTGAAGATCATAGAAGATCCCTACCCTGCCAACAAGGCAATCAAGGGGGTGCATCAAACATGTTAGAAGTGAGCCGTGAGCACCTTTTTCGCCAAGTGGTAGGACGGGTATGAATCATTCAGGGGAGTTGTCGCTACCTAAGAAAAGCATGTCGATGTTTGCATCAAGTCTCACTAGGAAAGATCCGAACATGACAAGCTTTCTATATAGATCTGTATAGTGGAGTAATGTGAAGCATGGTGCAGTTTGCGCAGTGCTGTGACTTCTCTGATCCTAGATTTTGGACTTTCGTGGGACCTTTTGGACTTTTGGGTGGCTAACCCGAGCTTGCAAGAAGTTCCTTTTGTTTTGGTGAGGCCCTGGTGTCATGGGAACACGGTAAGTGCCACGCGAGGGTCCGTGATCTGCTACCCCATGGAGGGGACTGGACGTCCAGTGCCGTGAGGACGAGTGTGTTAGCAGCACTTGGATTTGTTTCCATAGGGAGAATACCGAATACTCCCCAAATCCCTGTGCAAGCTGTTGGATCAATCAACAATATAGAATATGGATAGAATATGGATAGAAGCTTAAAATACTTCTTTCCGGTCGCCTCCGGCCTCGTCGCCGCGACATTTTCCCGACTCAAAGGGCGGCTGAGGTGCTGTCGCAGGGTGGCAGGGACGGTTGGTTTAGAGCGCAATGGCCTCGCAGTGCAGACAGGACTCGGTGGGAGGTCCGTTGCAGGAGACTCTCCAAGGCCGGAAAATCACAGGATCAAAGCCTCAAATCTGAGAGAACCTACTAGCAATGGCCTCCACCCTAGTAGCAATGGCCCCCAACCTACTAGCTCCAACCTACCAGCAATGGCCTCCAAGCTACTAGCAATGGCCTCCAAGCTACTAGCAATGGCCTCCAACCTAGAAGCAATGGCCTCCAACCTACTATCGAGGGTCCTTGGATGATGTTGAATCCCAGAATCTTCATGAACGGCCGTGCTGCTTTTTTCGGTGTTCGCGCTGCGAGCCGCGCTGCGAGCAGTGCTGCTCCGTCGCAGCGTGCGGCACTGGTTTGGTTTCACCACAGAGCCTAGCGGTGGCACTGGCATGATCCCAGCGATGGATGAGAGATGCAAGGGGCAGCAGAGGATGTGGAACAATTTGCTTGTCATACATTATGATTATATAATATCGTATATATTGTTAGATGGAGATCATCAACCAATTGTGATGTTAGCCGAAGTACCGATGGTTTTTCCCCAACAGCGAGGCTTTTGGGGTCTTCAGCCATAGTATAGACTTCGGAGCAGATCGGAGCAAACTCGGAGCAGGTTCCGGAACAAGTTGCGGAGCCGGAGCCCAGAGCAGGTTCTGAGCAGGTTCCGGAGGAGGTTGGTTCCGAGCAGGTTCCGGAGCGGGTTCTGGGGCAGGATTCGGAGGAAGGTTCCAGACCAAGGGTTCGGAAGAAAGAACGTGCCGGGGAAGGTTCCGGCGAAAGGTTGGGGAGGGCGGAGCGACAAATGCAGTCAAAGCAGCCTCGATCTGGTGGCGCACCTGTTGGAGCAAAAGAGGTCTAGACGGTTTGATTGGTATCTCTGGTCTGATGGAGCTTGTTGAGTGTGATTGAGATCGCAGCACTCGTTCTTGTTTGCTTTTTCCGGGCTGAGTTCTTGACACTCAGCAGGAAAGGCAGTTTTTCTCTGCGTGCGAAAAGAAGCGCATGCCGCTTAGCTTGGGCTTGAGCAGCTGGTGCTTGCGGCGGAGACTGCTTCTATTCAGGTTTTCCCAACAGCGAAACTCAGAGGTCTTCAGCCATAGTAAAGGCCCCGGAGCAGATCAGCAGGTCGCGGAGCAGGTTCCGGAGGAAGTTCCAGAGCAAAGTTGCGGAGCAGGTTCCAAGAGAGAGGAGAGCGGAGCCACTCGCCAGCCACCTCCTCAGAACACATCTTCTTCTGAACTTCAGCATGAGGAGAGACCTCCACCCTTCCCAATGTCACCCAATTGCAGAGTCACAGCCGGCATAACTTGCGGGGCAGGTTCCCGAGCAAATTCTGAGCAGGTTTGGGAGCAGGTTCCGGAACAAGTTCCGGAGCGAATTACGGAGAAAGTTCCAAGAGATCTAGCCCTCAACTTGTTGTCGCAGCAAATCAACGCAAACGCCCTGAGAAGCATTTGCCTAACCTTCAGTTACGCCAGCTCCGTAATGTTTTGACTCGCTTAAAGGGTATAAGTATACAACACGCGGCGTTTAGCGCGCCCGCAGCAAACTTTACTTATCGCAAGTGCCGACGAGTGATCTCGTTGCCGGATGTTTCAGTTGCCGACCCTTTTTGTTAATAACCTGACTTCCCAGAATCATGCAAGTCAGCAAAAATCTTGTATTCAAGCTTGGAAGCATCGGTTGATGTCTTCCTTCCGCAGACGTCTCTGTTTGGGAACCCTTGGATGCTAGTGATCTTGCGGCGGCTGCTCGTAAACAACAGGGTCGAGCTGCTGGCATTGATGGATGGAGTGGCGATGAGCTCGCCCTTTTTGCCCATGTGTATTTGGGAGTCAATTCTCCCCCTGTTCCGCGAACTTGAAAAGCTTGAACTTTCACCAACCTCGTGGAAACAAATCCGTCAAATGCGCGTCCCTAGACCGGGAAAGGGTGTTCGTAGTGTTGATGGGGCATTTCATGCCTCTAGTTTGCGGCCTATTTGTATCATGTCCAGCTGGTATCGGCTGCACGCCACGGCCAGATGGCGGGCGCCGTGGTAGGTCCATCAATCACGCCTGCTGCCGGGTGCTATGTTGCGGCTTTTGGTTGCTCTTGCCTCTGACATGGCTGATCGCGCCTAGCCATTTGTGTCCTTAAAGGAGTAGGCATGCCTGGCTCCTGGGCTAACATGTTAATGCGCCCGCCCATGGCCAATCGAGAGGTGTATTCAAATCGAGGCAATTTACCCATTAGTCCGCCCATAAGTAAACTGCACTTTAAGAATTCTTCTCTCTACCTTCTAGGGGCCAATTCTTACAGCTGGTTGGGGCCCAGCTTTCTTCTATTCTCGATTCTTCTAGGGGCCAAATCTTACAGCTGGTTGGGGCCCAGCTTTCTTCTATTCTCGGCTCCCAGCTTTCTTCAGCTGTTGAGGATTTTTTCAATCCTTTTCCAATGTTTTTTGTTTGAGGGTCAATTGCCCAGTTCATGATTCCAGCGTTTCAAGTGCATGTGTTTTTTCCTGTGGCTTGACCTAAGGCCATGTGGCCATATTGTAGGTTGTTGGGGTATGTGGTATTGAAAAAGATTTCTATAGGCCCATCTTGAAACTCCATTGGACTTTTGCACACGACCAGCTTGGTGTCACCAGTGGGGCCAAGGCCATCGCAAGGTCACAGGTGCTCCGCACGTTATTCATGCGACCACAGTCTCGGTCGTCGACGGTTGCCGTTCCGTCACAGGCTCGGCCGTTCCGTGAAAGAGAGCGTTGACCACGGAGCTCGGGCAGATCGAGCAAAGTGACCGCAAATTGGATCCTATAGCTGTGAAGGAACTTCCGAACGTGAAAGTGGGAACTTCTTTTGGATTCAGCTCGACAGTTCGACCAATGTCGCATGCACTACATGTACATGTTACATCATGTTACATAATTATGCACTGATCAAGTGATGCTCCATGGTTTTGCCTTTCCATTCCTTACCGTAACCGCCTTCCTTCGGTCAGTGGACATTTTTACAGCTGGATGTCTGGTGACCTGCAGATGTTGATGAAATTTGATGAGTGTTTTGCAGAGATCACCAGTCTTTCGAGTCCTTTCGTTGCTGAAAACAAACCCTCTTCTGAGTCTAGCTGTGAGCTGTGGCTTTCGACTGGAGAGACGTCGACTTGGAGTTCCAAAGTGAAGAGTATCAGTGCCCGGACGCTCCATGGGACTGCCATATATGCCTACATTGACCCCTAAAACCACCTCAATGTAGGCATATATCATATATGGCATACATGGAGCGTCTGGGGTATCAGTATCTCTGCTTGCCGCAGCTTTCACAGCAATTCAAACTTGTCACGGGCCGCAACAACCGAACATTCGTATGCCAAGGTCATAGTCTGAACTGAAAGGGGTAGGTGTTGCAGATGTTGGCCTCTACTGCCCGGCTTGTCATGCCACAAAAAGATATATGTTCAACAGCCAACAGCTGGAGAATTCTCACCATCCCTTGGTGGGTGACCTGAAACTTCTTGAATGCTGGATGCTGGGGCGACCCCGGTACTTCATTTCGCCCGATTCTATTGTCTGGAGCCTTCCAAGGCCATTTAGACGCATGGTTGAACTGGTATTGTAGTCTTTGTAGTCTAAAATTCTTAGTAAAACATGTAAAACAATGGTGCTTGGAATCCTAGGGTTCAGGGCTTGGGCCACAGCTTTTGACTCGAGAGTGGTCCGACACCATGGCTTGGCTAAAGCTGTCCCCGGAGGCCGCCACAAAGGAGACGAGGGAAACTGGGAGTTTGTACAGACATGGACGCCCTTCCAAAAAAGATCCCAAATGGATGCTGGCTCAAAGACCCAGCGAACTAGTTTTAGGCCTCCCGATTCTCGAGCCGTAGCGAAAGAGTGACAACTAGCTATCGGGTTCTTTACAACAACGTAGCCTTCCACGGGATCCTGCAAGAGTTTTCCGTATCATGGACAGGACATGACAACCCTCGCCAAGGGGAGGGACATCCGGGAAATCGCAGTTTTTTTTTGGAGGAAGACATCTCTTTGCAAAAGCTTTGAATACTCTTCGGCGCATCGCGGTTTTGCTGGGCTGTCTCTGGTTTTTCCGGGCTGGATATTGATTTCAGGTGTGGGACCACCATGGGTGCTCTCGGTTTGCGGCTTTGCCGAGGGAAGATGGAAGGGTGTGCTATCAACATGCCCCCCATGTCAGCGACCCCAACCAATCTCCATTGGACAAATCCAATCCTCCAAAGTACCAAATGGCTATGAATGGCTGTTTCGAGGCCTTCTTCCAGCGAGCCGTCTGAGCCGTCTGCAGTGTTTGGAAGACACATGAGCCCCACATATCTGAAAAGCATCATCACCGCCCCATGTTTTCCATTGCTGACCCGACCGTCCCAGCCCCCTAGCGTCCAGAGCATCGGAGCCAGGTGGAACAGGCGCTGAAGAACGCTCGACCAGTGGTGGATGCTCAGCGCAGTAACTGGGAAGGGCTTACGGACCGCGCACAGCCGCATGTGCGTGGTGCATGTAGACCGGACATGCTTCAGGCTTGTGCCCTTGTGAGTGTGCTTGGAAGCTTTTTGTGGGGTTTACGGAGGATCCCCATCATCCGCATGGAGGTATCTCCGATGGTTTTGCTTGTATATGGATTCTCCAACTGTTGCTCTCCGAGTCTTCGCTTTGTTTCTCACCACTGGCACTCTATCATATTCCGTGAATCTTCATCCAGTTCCTAATTTTTCTTTCCTGAAGGGTTTGCCACCACCTGCTCCTTCCGACGATTCCACTACCAGGACCATCTGAGAGTCCTGACTACCCACCCTATACACTACCATCTGGGATCTCCGACCCTAAAAGACCGGCTGCTCCAGGTAGATCTTTCACTAGGAGCGATCGGACGCGAACCGAACGGAGCATTTCGGGCATCGCCACGAACGGGGCTCCGTCGTCCGGTCCGTCTCGGCGTGGTCGATGGAGTCGGGTGACGTCTCAGGCGCTGGAGTCGACGATCATCTCACATGGAATGTGGGTGGCCCAGGGACGAGAGTTGGACGATCTGACCGGACGACCCAAAGGTTTGTATATGATTCCGGCCTGGCCGAACTGCCCTTCATCTTCTTGTCACTTCTGTTTTGGGGGGGAAGTGAAGAGGAAAGCCTTTTGGTTGGCTTTGACCACTGATGTTTGAAGAAGAGCCTCTTTTGTCCGATTTATTGAGGGTCTATTCAGCTTCAAACAAGGCTAAGAAGGGCTTGGAGAAGATAGGTGGAGGTGTTTGCACACTGGATTTGCATATCTGAAACAAGTGCTTGAGGAACCTCATTGTGCTTCATGTTCATCTCTGAAGATTCACAGGATACATCCCATCTTTTTCCAAAAAAAGAAGGCCGACCGCCGACCGCTGTGCTTTGGTGAATAATCCCGCAAGCCTCAACATTTAACATCCTCGCCAAAACTCTGGCTTAGTGGATGTGTGGAAACGTGTACCGTGTATCCGTATCCTTGAACGCAAGCCATAGCACGCCCAGGCCCTACCCACAGAACTTGAAGACCGCACAAGAAGTGGAGGTGTATCGAAACGCGCCACTCACGTTTCACCAGGGCAAACTTGCCACTGAAGTTGTTGCCGCTCTCGGCAAATGACATTCTCGGATATTCTCGGGAGATGGACCTATACTAAACACTGAAGAGTTGATGACAAAAGATCTCAGAACCGGTTTCCGAGGTCGGGTTTCCGCACATGAACATGTTAGGAACCCCCAAGTGAAAGGCATCACTATGCTGAAAAAGACGTTTAATTTTTTGCAGGTGTACGCGATGAGCGGCCGAACAGTGAAGAACGTGACATCAAAGCTATCAGGATTTCCAGGAAGTTCAAGTTCTCAGGGTAAGCAATCAATTTGTTTCCGCACGAAGTGGTTGCTCCTGGTTTTCCCCCATGGTTTTCTCCCCAAATCTCAGGATTTGCTCCGAAATCGGTTCCTGTCAGGCGGTGCTCCGGGGAAAGGGCGTGGTGCCGGCGACCATCGGCATTTTGAAGGGCGTGGTGCATGCGCCTGGACTGTGATGCTGGACGGGTGCAACACGTTTTGCTGGCTGGTGAGTGGAGGGGGAAGTGGCATTGGGTGATTAAATTGGTTGTGAGTTATGACCCTATGGCTGAAAAGTATGTACACCTCACTGAAACCTCAAAGGCATGAGCAGCATCAGTAAATGCTTGGTTGAGAGATGTTGAGAGTTGACATGTCACACACCCCTTGGTATTCTGTGATCTTCTGTGCATGCACAGTGGGCTGACTCGTTGGGTCCTCAACGAAGTCATCTGCCGGTGTCTGTCGGTCCTCAGCAATCACAACCGTCGTTCTGTGGTGAAAAGGAGTTTCATCATCCAGAGTATGGAAAACTGATGGAGGATATGGAAGGGCTGAAGAGAGTGGGAGGAAGCGACCAAGTTACAGTTTAACTATATATATAGATTAGATCCTTTTTTGAGACACCATAAGCATACTACTGCTTGGAGATGGTTGCAAATTTGGAAAATGGCAAGGGTCCTGCCCAAACTCCCGCAGCTTGAAGGTTTTGCCACACGTCTGAGTCACCAGATCATCCAGAAAACCACAGAAATTGGTTTGCATATGTCATATGTCTGGATGAAATTGATGCCAGCTCCGGGTCAGCGAGTGGTGGAATGCTCGTGCTTATAATAACGTTTTCATTTCTAAATCTTGGCAAAAACTGTTAGGCTCCCGAGGGTCTTTGGACCAAGATCCATCATGGAAGCAGATCTTGGTTTTCGCAAAGGCGGTCACCGGGCTGGGCTGGGCTGACCGGCTTGGGAGGCGTTCGCTGGGGTGTGCTGTGTTGCCATGCTGCTCTTGCCGTACGCCACATGGGGACTTTTGTTGATGGTCGCAGGACGGTCGAGCAGATCTAAGCCCATTTTCGATCATTTTGACCTGCCGGACTGTCGGACGGTTGATCTGCTCACAAAAACCATCTTAAATCAGTTCCTACTCCATATGCAACGGACTGTCGGACTGTCGGACTCGACGGTTCCAACGCTTCAGGTGGGAATGGATGCGGAGCAGCTGGAGGTGCGGCCCGACTCAGGATCCCGACGGCAGTTGGGCACTTCCGTCGGACGGTCGGGGCACGTGGACGGCTTGAGACCTCATAAGTGACGTCTTGCAAGGATTGTTATACTTTCAGTGACGTGATATACACTGTACAGAAGCTTCTGTCGAAGCTGCTGCAACACACCACGCAGTGTGCCAGAGCATTCTGCGTCTTGAGCCCAGAAAATGTTCAATGCCGCGGGAATCTCTGGCAAGACCACTTTCTGCCTGTGCCCATTGCTGGTTTAGGTGGTCAAGCACTACAATCGGCGTAGTTGACAGGTGTACAGAATGCAAGACTTCCAAATGGACCTTTGTAGGCAAGCTCTATTTGCATTTATGCTCAGTTGTTGTCATTCAGAAACCAATCAATGCAAAGGGAAGCTATGTGGTGGTGCAACAATGTGTTACACAGCGTGCCAGAGCATTCTGTGTCTTGAGCCCGGAAATGTTCAATGCCGCGGGAATCTCTGGCAAGACCACTTTCTGCCT